CCGGCTTGACAGGAACCGCCCGTACGGCAACAGCAACAACGACGACGACAGCGACAACTCTCACTTGCATAGCATCCTCCACACCGGGCAGCGTCTCAGAGCGCTTAGAGACCCGTAGCCCTGTAAAGAGGCTTTGAGACGGTTGGATCTCACGGAGTGGAGGGGAGGGGGAGGTTGGAGCTGCATTAAACGCAAGGAATATTATTATGATTATTATTGACATTTAGAGCGCTCTGTAGAGAGGAATTTCAGACACAAGGCCACTACCCAAGTGGTTACAATGATGAGTTGCCCTCATGGTGAGGCTTTCACTTTACGGTATATTCTGTGAAGCGCTTTGAGACGTCTCGATGATGTGATAAAAAGCGCGATGTCAAATGCAAGGATTATAACTATTAGAACTTTCTGAACTCAACATAAATAAAGGACATTTGGATCCGCCTTTCACCTCGAGAGGACGTCGCAACTCACGTTTTGATGCGCAACAATTTTTATTTTAATTCCCCTCCCCAAACCATCTTATAACACTCGTTCAACAAGTGTTTAACTAACGCCCTTTAAAATGTCTTGGCTTTAACAGCCACCACTTACACTGCACTCCACAACCTTAGGGATTGTTAAAGCTCCCTCTTTTATGCGCGAGTAATAATCTTGAACAGATGTTCCAGTACAATCCAATTTATATTAAGGTCCCAAATCCTGGAATTCTCTGCCCTAACACCATCGTGGGATTAGCATTGCAGCCATTTCAAGAGAGAGCCACACACTGCCTCTCAGAGCAACCAAACGTGTGTAAAATAATCAGAGAAGGGAGTTCCTCTCTCTCCCGGTGTCCTGGCCAACAATCCCCCAAATTAAAATAAAACAAATTGGTCACTCACGCCACGGCCGTTTGTGGGGACGCTGCTGTGCGCAACTGGCTGCCGCGTTTCGCCCACAAAATACAGTCACTACACTTTGCGGTATATTCTGTGAAGCGCCTTGAGACGTCTTACTAATGGGCTAAGGCGCTGTATCAAATACAAGGATTATTGTCAATATCATTAAAATGGCAGCATCCCACGTCCATGAAACGAGTTTGCACAAAAAAATCAGGGGCTAAAAACCGGGCCAGGGGTATGTGGAGAGCGGAGGAAGTGATTTAATTTATAAGAATAATTACAGTCAGTAACGTTTTCGTTCCTAGTTCACAGAAAACATGCCCCGAAAGAAGCGAACGTCCGCTTTACAAGCATTTGTGATATCAGGTTACACCTGGGTTAGGTGCTGGTGACAGAATTCTTTCACAACTGCATAAACAAGCACAGTGTTAAATTTCTCTCCAATTCCCCTTGTTTGGGACTTAAAAGAGTGCCGACACCTCACTCGGTGGCTTGCGGTTTTGCTCCAAACTCTCTCTTTTCTCCCTGCCCAATGATCCCTATCAGCTTTGCTGTGAAGCGTTTCGAAGATGTTTATCCAACATGAAAGGAATCGGCTAAGTGCGGGTTACGGTTTCACACCACCTAAGGCACATATTTGGGATATTGGGTTTAATGGAGCTCTGACGGGCTCTGGCCTTTGAAAGACAATTCACACCTGGAGCAGCCCCAAATTGCCTGCGTTTGCCAGCCAAAATTGCCAGCCAAATTTGGCTGCCGCGTAATAATCTCTTCCCCCCACACCACCCCAAAAAAAAGTGGTTGCTCAATCCACGACTGCTTATGGGACACTGCTGTGCACAATTGGCTGCCATGTTTTGCCCACACAACACACAGTCACTACACTTTACAATACATCCTGTGAAACACTTTGAGAAGCCTCAACCACATGCTAATTCGCTATGTCAAATGCAAGGATTATTATTCGTGATAGTATTATTATAATTATTATTATGATTGGAATGACCCCTGACTATTATAAACATGTATCGCTGTCGATGAGACGACAACACAGAGTGACCTAATCAGCGTAAAAGAAGTGCTACGAAAACGCTGAGCCTTATTTTTCTCCCCGGCGTTTCTTCTTGTGATAAACTGGCAGCTGGGGGGAGAGAGAGAGAGAGAGAGAGAGAGAAACTGCTACATCTCTCACTTTCTCCAGAGGATTTGCGGAATGAGTTTAATCTAATCTGTGGAGAGTGTGTCTGTGATGATTTCCACTCCCTTCTCCCCCCCGCAACCCCCGCCACCCCCCCCCCCCGGAGTGTGGGAATAGAAATATAGAGACAGCTCCACTGAATACAACCTCTGAGGCCAGCAGCAGTGGGGAGTCACTTACATGATGCTGATCCGAAGCCACTGCGTGAAAAAGGGGATTAAGAAAATGTTCGTATTTGCAATTCACAGAAAGAAACGCAGCCCCTGTTAAACCGCCCGTTAATATTTCGACTCGTTTTTTTTTAAAAAAAAAGTAAGATAGAGCTCCCGCATCGTGTCTGTCGAGACGTAACGCTGGGTTTCAGTTCGACTTCCCTTTCGTTTAGAACTTGCAACAACTTGTTTTGAACTCGCCTTAGATGTGTGGCAACTTCTGATGTTGTTTCAGAGCAACAGATACAGTCAGTGTTTCTTATAATTCAGGACTTCAAAGGAGGGGGAATGATAATAATAATAATAATAATAATAATAATAATAATAATCCTTGCAGTTGACACAGCGCCTTATCACATCATTCAGACGTCTCGAAGCGCTTCAGAGAATACACTGTAAAGTGAATTGACTGTATATTTTGTGGGCGAAACGCGGCAGCCAATTGCGCACAGCGGCGTCCCCACAAACAGCCGTGGATTCACATTTTTTAAAAAAAGTTTTTTTTTAATGGGATTATTACCCCCGGAAAACGATATTTTATGCGCAAAATATACCCGGGTGTATACCCAGATCGCACTAAGTATACCAAATGCTGATCACATTTCTTTGACCGGAAATCAACATTAAATATGATGAGAATGATTTGTTTTCTTAGATATATTTTAGTCTTCTAATGCGCAATGGTTGCCAGGGGCAGGTGAACCGAACGATATTTGAGTAATAGAGAGAGGTGAAATGCAACTTTTTTGAAAGTTTAATGGAACTTGTTGAGGATTATGGTAAAGCTATAACAATGTCACACCCACACCCACACACACACACATACACATACACACGATGAATTTAGATTAAAATCGAAAGTAAAGTGCCTTTTAACTAAAAAAATCCCATTCATTTTAAAAAAAACTCGTCAAAAGTCTCACCCTACCCACACACACACACACACACACACACACACACACACATCTGCAAAGAGCCTAAGTGCTTTTTTATATAAAATAAAAAAATATATATATATCATCCACGGTTAAATATGTAAATAAAATGTCTAAAGTCATTCTTCAAAGAACACAAAAGAAGAAAAGAACAGCGATCGACAGCCATAAAATGCCAGAGATTCTCCATAACACTAGCCATTGGGGGTCTGGTCTGGCTCCACTGCAGCGGGGAGCCAGCATTTGCATAGCACAGGTTCCAAATCCTTTTTAAAAAAATCCTTTTCAGCTCTCAGCATCAAAGGGCCTTTTCATTTATTAGCAACAGAATTATCTGAGTCAGTTGCTGATTCTCTCTCTCTCTCTCTCTCTCTTTCTCTCTCTCCTTGAGATGCTGCAGGCAAGGCGGAGGGATTGTTTTCCTGCTCATCGAGGCAGTTTCCAGATAAGAAATTAGTTGGTGTATCGCTCGCAAAAACGCGCAGTCTATTCGCGTTACAGTACGTCCCGCAAAGCGCTTTGAGACGTCTCGAAGCCGTGATAAGGCGCTAAATCAAATGCAGGGAATTGTTATTGTTAGAAGAAGTCGTTGCCCAAAATGTTTCCTTTGTCATCTTCTTCAGTGGCAAAGAAACTATTTCGATTTGGTGTGTGACAGTGATAAGATTGAGTGACAGACAGACAGACAGACAGACAGACAGACAGACAGACAGACAGACAGACAGACAGACAGACAGACAGACAGACAGACAGACAGACAGACAGACAGACAAGAAGCATTGATACATGCATAGACAGGTAACCACACACCACCGCCACCACCACGATTCCTATCACTAACGGCAATAAACTGTCATGTGGAAGGGGTGAGATTATTGGAATAAAATAATCAGTGAATTATACAGCACGGAAGGAGGCCATTCAGCCCATCGTGTCTGTGCTGGCTCTTCGAAAAGAGTTTTTCCAAATCAATCCCACTCCCCCGCGCTCTCCTCCCCCCCCCCCCCCCCCCGCCCCAAAACTTGTCCTCCCCATAGAAAGAGTCTAAATGATTCCTGGTGCCAATTTTAATGACTGAGCTCTCTTTCTGTCTCGCTCTCTCGCTTTCTTTGCCCACCCCCTTCTCTCTCTCTCTCTCTCTTCCCCCTCCCTCTCTCTCTCTCTCTCTCTCTCCCTTTGGCTGCTCTTTTCTTTTCTCTCCTCTTCTCTCTCTCTTTCCTTTGGGTGGTTTTCACGCACTGATCCGCCCACAACTCAACTCTTGCTCATTTTGCAGTTGGTTGGAGACTGGAGCTGATCGTGTATGTGTGTGTGAGTGAGTGTTTGTGGAGAGAGAGGGAGGGAGTGTGAGAGAGAGGGAGACCAGGAGAGAAATTATCCTCTTCTTCCTTGTTCCTACAAAGTGCATTGACATAACATCGCCCGGCCGGAGAGAGAGAAAGAGAAAAAAAAAGAGGACTTGAAAGTTAAGAGACAGAAGATGCAGCTGTTTTGGGAAGCCAATTGATTTACCCTCCCGAAAAAAAGAGGTATTAATCTCCCCCNTTGCCCCCTCTCCCCCACCTTCTCTCCTCTCTCCCAGAGACGTGTCGTTTTGCTTTAAAGTGCGATGTAGCTGCCGAGACTCGCGGAGCCATTAGCACTGCCAAGACCTTGAAGACGGCCCCTGGGCCAGCACTAGCCTCTCGCCCGCTTTGGATGCGGGAAGTGTCTCTCTACAGGGCTGGTTGGGGGTGCGGGGGGGAAGGGGGAACGGGGTCTCTTGGCTGGTTCGCTGTTTCGACGCTGAAGGCTCTTACTGATGGCCATGGGAACGTGGGACAGAGTCAAAGGCATCTGCCTGATCATCAGCTGCCACCTGGCCTTCTGCTGCATGGCCATCAGCTCCCTGGGCGACCCGGAGGCCAGATGCCAGGCCATAGACATCCCCATGTGCAGGGACATCGGCTACAACATGACCCGGATGCCCAACTACGTGGGGCACGAGAACCAGCGCGAGGCGGCCATCAAACTGCACGAGTTCGCCCCGCTGGTGGAGTACGGCTGCCACAGTCACCTCAAATTTTCCTGTGCTCGCTCTACGCCCCCATGTGCACCGAGCAGGTGTCGGCCGCCATCCCCGCTTGCCGCGTGATGTGCGAGCAGGCCCGCTCCAAGTGCTCGCCCATCATGGAGAAGTTCAGCTTCCGCTGGCCGGACTCGCTGGACTGCGACAAGCTGCCCAACAAGAACGACCCCAACTTTCTGTGCATGGAGGCGCCCAGTAACGAGTCGGACGACTCCTCCTCCTCCGCCTCTTCCTCCTCTCTTCCGCGAGCTCCCAGCGCCCTCCCTCCACCCGCGGTCAGGTCCTTCCGGGCCGGTTTGGGGCAGGACTCGCCCCCGGTGGCCAAGCAGAGCCCCCTCCGGCCGGCGTGTGAGAACGCGGACAAGTTCCACCGCGTGGAGAAGAGCGCGTCGTGTGCCCCGCTCTGCTCCCCGGCCGTGGACGTGTACTGGGCCAAGAGAGACAAGCAGTTCGCCTTGGTGTGGATCTCCGTCTGGGCTGTGCTCTGCTTCCTCTCCAGCGCCTTCACCGTCCTCACCTTCCTCATCGACCCCCAGCGCTTCAAGTACCCTGAGAGACCCATCATCTTCCTCTCCATGTGCTACTGCGTCTATTCCATGGGCTACATCATCCGCCTCTTTGCCGGGGGGGAGAGCATTGCATGTGACAGGGACAGCGGGCTCCTCTACGTGATCCAGGAGGGTTTGGAGAGCACGGGTTGTACCATAGTCTTCCTGGTGCTCTACTACTTCGGTATGGCCAGCTCGCTGTGGTGGCTCATCCTCACCCTCACCTGGTTCTTGGCGGCCGGTAAGAAATGGGGCCACGAGGCCATCGAAGCCAACAGCAGCTACTTCCACTTGGTGGCTTGGGCCATCCCCGCCATCAAGACCATAGTCATCCTGGTCATGAGGCGGGTGGCGGGCGATGAGCTGACTGGCATCTGCTACGTGGGAAGTATGGACGTCAAGGCCTTGACCGGCTTTGTGCTCATCCCGTTGGCCTGCTACCTCATCGTGGGCACCTCCTTCATCCTGTCCGGCTTCGTGGCTCTCTTCCACATCAGGCGGGTCATGAAGACGGGCGGCGAGAACACGGACAAGCTGGAGAAGCTCATGGTGAGGATCGGCATCTTCTCGGTGCTCTACACGGTGCCCGCCACCTGCGTGATCGCCTGCTACTTCTACGAACGCCTCAACATGGACTATTGGAAGCTCCTGGCCAGCCGAGAGAAGTGCAGCGTGAGCAAGCACTCGCAGCGACTCGACTGCACCATGGTCAGGTCCATCCCGGCCGTGGAGATCTTCATGGTCAAGATCTTCATGTCGCTGGTGGTGGGTATTACCAGCGGGATGTGGATCTGGAGCTCAAAGACCCTGCAGTCGTGGCAAGGCGTCTGCAGCAGCAAGTTGGGGAGAAGGGTCCGGAGGAAACCAGCGAGCGTGATCACCAGCAGCGGTACTTCTTACCCCAAGCCTCAGCCGCCTCTGAAAATCCACACCAAGTACGAGGCAGCCCTGGCGCCCACTTGCGTGTGAAACGTTTTCTGTACTCTTGGCCGCTAAGAGATGGTAGCGGGCGCTTCATCCAGTTCAGTGGTTGGCAAAGCCCAGTTGGCGACAAGTCAAAATTGTCAACAACAACAACAGCATCCCAAAGCACTGGACGATGAAGGGTTTGTACCCGAGCTGGGAGTTGGGATTATGTATGTATATATAAAAAGACTAGTGAAGTTGGGGGAGAGGGAAAATAGTCTTGAGGCAGCCACAGATTTAAGGTTCGATTGTGTGTTGTTATAACTGGAGAGACTTGGCCGTTCTAAACCTGACGCCGACAAAATACCCAGTCACTACGCTTGCCAGCAACTCCCTGTGAGGCGTTCAGAGGCTCTTACAGACGCCGTGCCGAATGTCAGACTTGCGACTGAAACCCCGTACCCCACAGCTCTGCTTCTGATAAGAGTTTTAGCCCCGCTCCAACTTTGGGCGTGACTCACGCCTCCGGCCATATCGCCCGCCTGTGGTTCAGCATTTACTGCCTCGAAACCGAGAATCTTTCAGGGATTAAAACAGATTCTGGTGGATAAGAAGCAGCGCTGGCTCCCTCTCTGCCGAGGATGGGATGTGCCGCTTTAACAATGTGCAATAGTGGGTCTCTCTCTCTATCTCTCTTTCCCTCCCTCCCTTTCTTCCTTCTTTCCTTCCCTCTCTCTCTCTCTCTCTCTCCCTCCCTTCCCTCCAACAATAGACTTCAGATAAAAGGCCGCAAAGAATGGGCTTGCAACAAAAGCAGTTGGAAGTTTGGACGACACAAGTCCTTTAATGACAGATTTGGGGTTTCTCATGGAAATCATGTCGGTGTCACGCAAGCCGAACTGATTTGTAAACGGCCGATTCAAAGACGCCCACGAAGCTTATCAACTTGTCTTATTGTCAAGCTAATTCCAGCCCTGAATCCTCCAGCAAGCACTCTAAATACAACAAAGAGTTGTATGTGTGTGTGTGTGTGTGTGTGTGTGCGCGCAGAGAGGAGGGAGTGAGCAAATGTCTACGTCCAGCCCACCCCACACCCCCCCCCCCCGCCACCCCTCCTTTCCCCAAACTGTGAATTTCCGTGTGTAATTTTTTTTGGAGGGGTGGGGAGGAGAGAGGGAAACATTCAGAATCTTTTGTATATATTTGTTGTTGTTTTTGTGAAAAAAAGAATGATGGTTGTGCGAGTTTGTCTATTTTTTATATATATATATATAAATAAAAAGGTTCTTTAGTTTGACAATAAAACTCACTGGCTCGCGCGGCATCTTCTTGACAGGCAAATGTCAAGGAGTGACTTACTTCCAGGAGGTGTTTCATTCTTCTCTACTCCTGGGGTCAAATAAAATTAAATAGCGCTGTTTGACTTATTGCACTGTCTGAAGGCAGAATATCAAAGAAGGCAAAAAAAAACAGTCAGACCTATTGAGCCGGATGTGGGTTAATTTGACTCGAGTTAACTACACCTTAAAAGTCTTTTTTTGTTCGCCCACAAAATACACAGTTACCACGCTTCACAGTATATTCAACAACAAAATAAGGCCCTACATCAAATGCAAGTGTTAGTATAGATAAAGGGTCGTTACTGGAAACGCTGACTCACTGAATTGACTGTATATTTGTGGGCGAAATGTGGCAGCCAATTGCGCACAGCAGTGTCCCACAAACAGTCGTGGATTGAAGTGTCCAATTTTTTTTNGAGGGATTATTATTAGGCGTATGGAGTAAGGAAACTTGCCCAAGGTTTCGCCCTGCCCGGAATTGAACCCAGGTCTCTCGCTTGCAAGGCAAGTGCTCTAACCACTGAGCTACAGGATATCATTTAACACATAGAAAGAAGCCCCTCCGATATCCAGTTAATTCTTTCTATCGTCGGGTATTTAAGCATATCTTAAAAGTGCTTAAGAGTTCTTCTGGCTCGGGAAATAATAAAGGCAGGTGGGTGGTGCCCTCTGTCTGAAACTCACCAACACTCAACAGCCGTCCAGACCTGAAATTCCCCCCAGCCTTAGCCTCTTCCCAGACGGAACGTGTTAAAAGGCCTCTGCCACCCAGAAAGGGCTTAGGAGTTGTTAAGCGCTTTGAAACGTCTCAACAAAGTGATAAGGCGCAATATCAAATGCAAGGTTTATTATTATTATTATTATTATTATTATTATTTTTCGATGGGTCAGAGTGAGTTACAGGAAACTTTGTAAGTACAGTGATGCTAAATTTATTTTTCCCACCTTGAAATCTTGAGAGTATGGGTGGTGTGGGGTTGTCCTTAAAGGGTCACCTTCAGTGGTGGTCAGTTTCTGTAGTAGTAAAAACACACCGGACAATAAATAGCAAAGCCCCTAGGATTATTATTATTATAGGATGATTTTACAACAACAACTTGGCATGAACTGAGTGAGGGTAGAGTCTCAGATCGCATGACAATGGCAGAGCACGACACAAACACACACAGTGGCTAACACTCACACACACGCACCTTGTACAGGATGGCGGTGAGGGTTGTGTCAGAAATGGGGAAGTGAGATGAGAAAATCATCAGCGAAAGAGAAGTGCAATGTTCCTGTCAGGGTCTCACACTGCTTGAAATTCTCTTCAATTTAAAAATGCGATTCCCGCTGATTCACCAGCCATATTAGCACGGGGGCAACACAGCTTTCATCCCCTCGTCTCTCAGATAATCCAAACCCGATACCCACCGGAGTAAGTAAAAACCCATGGATAGCGATTATAGTAACATGCTGACAAAACTTTTCGATCGCTAAACATGATCTTTGGTGTGCGCTACAGGGACAAATAATAATAATAATAATGCTGGCGTTTGATATAGCACCTTATCACATCTTTGAATGCCTCAAAGCGCCTTTTGACGAAAGAAGACACATCCTCGCTGTATAATGTTTTAAATGTGAAACCAAAGACTTCTTGTTGTTGCTAATGAGGAAGGGAAAACGGTCGATTCATTTTCTCACGCACAACACACACACAGACACACGCACACACAGACACACAGAAAGACAAATCACACACACATCATTGCCGAGCCTCACCCTGCTACAACAATGTCAGACAGCAATAAACAAGGCAAATAGCACTCAGAACTCCAGATTGCTTCACCGGTTGAGTTGTAATCCCCCAGACATCACCCTCGGGATGTGGTCAGGCCGCACATTGAGCCGGCATTGTTCTGACAAACAATCCTCCAGATGATATATATATATAAATGAATTGGTCGTTCACCTCAACCGCAAATGAAAACATTTCAGAAACAGGATTTTTCACTTTGAATTTGTGACGACAGTGATTTAATTTCCGCTGGACCTAATCCGTGTTTCGCCAGGACCTTCTGGATCGAGCAAACGTCTTTCTTAAAATATCCAAACACGTCAAAGCGATCGTCGTGCTTCATCTCCACGCCTCCAGCAAAGGCGAGGAACCCCAGGTAAACGTCATCTAGTGGGAAGACTGGGACAATAAGGGACGCTTTGTACAATCTCCTCACGGAACTAATTGTCATGATGAAGGCACCCCCAGCCGCAAACGGTGGGTAATGGTTACAGAAATACAAAGTTCTATTCACACTATATTTACCGAACCTGAGGACAGGATCGTTCCAGTGAATATATCCATACATCATTGGCTTGGACTCATCTTGGTTTTGCTGCAGATACGTCAAAAGGTTTGGTAGGTTTACAAAAATATCATCATCCCCTTTGAAGACCATTGAGGCAGCTGAGCAGCTGTGTGAAAGATACTCCAGAAAGCAGCGCTCCTTCAGTGGCAAGTGGTGATGAGTCTCGGTAAAGTTCCACACGATCAGATCTCCGAAAGAGTTGGACTCCAACTTCACGAGATCCATGATGCCTTTTTCTTCCACCTGAGCCGAGAGGAAGATGTGACGTACCACCACATCAGGTTTGGTTGAATCCTTCACCCAAGTATCCCGCAGTAAGCGGCGCCTGTCAAACCTAGAAGAGTGAGATTTGAGAGCCAGCAAAATTAGCCGTTGTCCATTGGCTACGTGACACAGGTCAGGTGGGGCTATCGCTATCTGACATATGTAGCTCTGCAGATATGGAAACTCGTTGGCAAAATTTCTTGTCACCAGAGTGAAAGTACTGGCAGGAGTGAGAGCCGATGAGAATGTTCTGTTGATAACTATTGGGACCCGGCCGCCTCCTATGTCTACCCTCAGGGTACTGGTGATGTTTCTGATGTTCTCGTCAACTTTCCAGAACCTTTGCTGGTTTGGTTCTGGGATTTGCGCGTCCCCTTGGAGGTTCAGTGATGTGCCCAAGTGATCTACGGACCACTTCAGTATAAACTGCCGATAGAGGGCAAAGAGCACCAATGCCATTTGCAGGACAAGCAGCAACGTAATGAAAAATGCCAACTGTTTCCGTGCCATTCTTACCAACCTGTTAAACAGATCATTTTGTGCATCAGTAAACAACCAACAAACAACAACAACAACAAAATTACATTTGTGAAGCGCCTTTCAGGTTGGGAGAATGTCCCAAGGCGTCAGACAATCAGTGTTTCATACCCGAGTTGGGTGGTCGGGGCTGGGGGGGAAGGTGGGTGCCCGAAGGCACAGTCGAAGGGGAGGGTCTTGAGACGGGTCTTGAAGGAGGTAAAGGAGGGCACAAGACAGAGGGACTGCGGGATAGAGCTCCACAAAGTAGGGACAGAGAGACAGAAGGCCCAACAACAACAACAATAAAACTACATTTATAGAGCGCCTTTCAAGTCAGGAGGAAACTCCTGATGTGAAAGGAATCATAATCAAAAACAAGGAACTTTGAACAAAGAATGGAGAGGCTTTGTTTGATGTTAGTTGATCACACTCAGCAAGTGCACAGTTCCATGAAACTTGTGATCAAAAAATTATCACGAGTGATCCTGGTTTGATTCCCAGGAGGATGAAACTTTAGGCAAGTTTCCTCACTCCACACACCTCTGTTTACCGAGCAGTCAGTAGGAACCAGGAGGTTAGTCGATTGGCAGATCGCTTTTCCAGGGGTAACAATCCTTTCAAAAAAAATAACAAGTTGATCACTCAATCCACAACTGTTTGTGGGAAACTGCTGTGCGCAATTGGCTTCTGCTTTCGCCCACAAAATATAGTCAACCCACTTTACAGTGTATCCTGTGAAGCGCTTCGAGACGTCTCAAAAACGTGATAACGCGCTATATCAAATGTAAGGATTATTATTATTAAATCTTGAACAAAAGAAGAGACTAATGCACGATCTGAAGATTACTGGACTCGGGGCCATTGGGAGGTATAATGCACTAAATGTTTAAAACCCTTTAAGGTTAAACTTGGCATTTCTTCAGTGTCAACCAACTAACAGTTAGGTGTGTACAAACTGCAGCGCAAAACTATTGGAAGCAAGTACAGTACTGTAATGTGGAACTTACTGTTACATTCCAATTGTTCCTCTCACCAGTTGAGAAATAAAACAGTTTAACCCAAAACAGTTTTCTTCTTGTGGTGCTTCAGACAATTGCGGGAAGTGTATGTATTTTGGGTCGGTGTTTTAGTAATTAGGAGAGATACTATCAAGCAGGCAGGAAGTCGTGACGAAGTTCTAAGGGAAGCACCAAAATTAAGCACCGTCACTGGCGTGCTGCTGGCTGCAAATGTGTCTGGTGAGCTGTTGGCTGCAAATGTCTGATGCTGAACTTGTCCTCTTTGAGATCCACTCAGCGAGAGCTGGACTTATCCTCTTTCCTTCTATCTGCTTCTCTTCTCTTTCTCCTCAGAGGCTCCTCAGAGACTCCTCGGAGGTTCTTCTCAAGGCTCTTCCAAGTCTCCTCTCGAGGCTCTTCCTAGTCTCTTCCCGCAGATCTTCTCCTCTTTCTCCTTCTTTCTCTTTCTCAACCGGTTTTGGCTATCGATTTTTACACCCTTTTTCTATGTTCTAACTCTTTCCCAAGACTTCCTTCTCACACTCTTTGCACTTTCCCAGGCATTTTCTTTTCTTTTCTTTTCCCAGGCATTCTTTTCCTATCTGCAAGTTGTTTCTCCTTGTACCAGCTAGCAGTATCTTCTGCAAGAGAACAATACTCCTCTTATTCCATCTTATCTAGCCTGACCAAACCACCCGACTCCAAGTCCCTGAAGTTTCAGTCCTTTTTCTAACTCTGTCCATGGGACCTACTGACTTTAAGTTTTCCCTCAGTTTAAATTACTAGTTTGTATCCCATCCATTCTCCGGTCCGTTATCCCAGGTTCCTATCTCTCCTGCCTGTAAGTCACATACCCTTGTAAGCGCAGATGGCCTACCATCCATTCTCTAGATCCAGCTATCCTTACCTTCCCTGGCCATGGTTCACATGCCCTTGTACTCCAAGCTCGGTGCCTCTTTACTGTGTGCGTGTGTGTGTGTCACATGGCAGTTTTTATCTCTTTGATTCATTCGACTTAATTCATCTATTCACTACATGATCAATACTAATGATTCTTATACTATAATCCCAACTATTTACACACTTAATCATTCTTAAGCATCATTAATCTTGTTCAAGTAAAACCTCGTCATGTACGTGAATGGTCCGTATCAGCATGAGATAGGCACCACCGGCCTCGAGGCCTTGAGAGAGAGAAAAACAAGTCGTCATCCAACAGAGAATGATGAGCCAGCTGGTTTAACTCAAGAGGCCTCGGTCAAAGGTAGATAAGAAACTATCACAAAGAAAGTATACGAGGCATAACCCTGATTGGGCAAACTCAGGGGTGGTTACATGGGGCAAAAGAGTATAACTACCTTAACTTTAGAGCAGTTGGGCAGCAGACTCAGGGATAGACCCTTCGAAAACGTCTCAAAGTCATCTGAAGCCATCACGATCTGTCATCTGTCTCTCTGTCATCCGCATACATGTGGATATTTACCCCATTTGTGCGGATGACGTCACCAAGGGGGATCATGTAGAGGGTGAAGAGGAGGGGACCGAGGACAGAGCCCTGAGCAACAGCGCACGAGACAGTGCGGGGGCTGGAGGAGAAACTGTTTGCTGCGACAAAGTGGAGGCGGTGTGAAAGGTAGAACCTGAACCAGTCAAGGACAGAACCTTGAAGGTTGAGGTGGGAGGAGAGGCGGTGGAGGAGGATTGAGTGGTCCACAGTGTCAAAGGCGGTGGAGAGGTTGAGGACGAGGAGGCAGAGGGAGTCCTGGTCACACATGGTCAGGATGTCGTTTGCGACCTTGACCAGAGCGGTTTCAGTGCTGTGGGCAGCACGGAAACCCGAGTGGAGGGGTTCATGGAGGGAGTGAGAGGAGAAGAAAGAGCGAAGCTGGGAGGCAACTCTCAAGGACCTTGGATAGGAAAGGGAGATTTGAGATGGGCTGGTAGCTAGAGAGCTGTGATGGGTCAAGGGAAGGTTTTTTCAAGATGGGGGTGATAGTGGCTGAGGCGATCGACTGCTCCGGAGCCTGGTAGTATACGTTTTAATATATCTGTATGTCATTACAGCTTCGTTAAAGTTACTCTGATTAATAAAACTACTGCTGCACCAGTATTGGATTGTCGAGTCATATTTTGAACCACGGGATCGGAAATCACAACACTGTGAAGCGCTTTGAGACGTCTCAAAGACGTGATAACGCGCTGTATCAAACGTAAGGATTATTATTAAATCTTGAACGAGAGAAAAGCGACTAGTGCACGATCTGAAGATTACTGGACTCGGGGCCATTGGGAGGGATAATGCACTAAATGTTTAAAACCCTTCAAGGTTAAACTTGGCATTTCTTCAGTGTCGACCAACTGACAGTTAGGTGTGTACAAACTGCAGCGCAAAACGACCGGAAGCAAGAACAGTACCGTAATGTGGCAGTTACTGTTGCATTCCAATTGTTCCTCTTTTGTTGTTCTTCAGATCGTTGCTGGGAGAAAGGGGTGGGTAGAAATATCAAACGTCACTGACGGGAATATGCTTTTGCATTGCCCTTCTTCCTGTGTGTGAATCAGTGCTGCTGGTTGATAGCTTTGCACAAGTCAATTTCTTTCAAAGGGTTCTAGTTTAAGTTTAAGCCCCATCCTACCAACCCGCCCGCTCCCTCCGCTCAGCCGGCTCTGGCCTGTTCCACGACCCCCGCCCCACCCGCCCCACCATTGGCGGGAGACCCTTCAACCACTCTGCCCCCAAATCTGGAATTCCATCGCCCAATCACTCTGCCTCGCCCCCTCCTTAGCCCTCTCCAAGTCCCGCCTCAAAACCCTACTCTTCGACCATGCCATCGGCCACCCCCCCCCACCCCTTCCCCTCCCCTCCCTTTTCCCGCCCTGACCCCAGCTCGGGTCTGAAATGCTATACTCTGTCCAGCGCCTTGGGACGTCCTCCCGACGTTAAAGGAGCTATACAAATGTAATCTTGTTGTTGTTGTTGTTGTTCTATCACCCTTATATTGGTCACGTAAAGTCCACCCAACACAGTGAGTCTTCCAGGCAATGTATAATCACACTTATTATTCACAGAATGACTTCCATTATAATCAGTAATCATACAGTCTAAAGCTTCATTGAAATCTTCCAGTTGTCGTACTGATTTGTGTACCTCTTTGACCAGTTTATTATAATTTTCAGTACATTTGTATACAGTAAAATCCAACCAGAAAGCAATTTGACAATTTCAACAATCAATAAATAGAAAGCAGCCATCACCAAAATTCTCCGTTTCCCAAATTTGGAATGATTCCTAGAAATCCGAGAACATTTACAGGATTCCAAACCTGCTTTATCTCCCCAACACCATATCAAGTATTTTCTTCAAGAATCCCACCTAATCACTACTTTTAAACCCATTTAAAAACCTGCCTCTGTCAGCTGATATCTTCATACCTCGTGCTTCCTTGCTTTGCATTTGATATAGCGCTTTCACGTCTTCTAGCGCTTCACAGAATATGCTGTAAAGTGAATTGACCACATATTTGTGGGCGAAACACAGCAGCCAATTGCGCACGGCAGTATCCCACAAACAGTCGTGGATTGAGTGACCAATTTAATATTGTTTTTTTTGAGGAATTATTATTCCCCGAAAAGCGATCTACAATTCTCCCTTGATTCCTTCAAGACCCTTGCGTGTGCAATTCACTTATCAACTCTTAGGTAAACAGAGGCATGCGCTCTCCCTCCTCCCCTCTTGTATTGCTCAGTGGTTCATCCCGAACTTAAACCTGATTTCTTAATAATAATAATAATAATCCTTGCATTGGATATAGCGCTTTTCACGTCGGGAGGACGTCCCAAAGCGCTTCACAGAACACACTGTAAAGTGAATAGACTGTATATTTGTGGACGAACGCGGCAGCCAATTGCACACAGCAATGTCCCACACACAGTCGTAGATTGGAAATGACCAATTTATTATTGTTTTTGTTTCGGAGGGATTATTATTAGGCTGTGTGTGGAGTAAGGAAACTTGCCCAAGGTTTCGCCCTCTGCCTGGAATTGAACTCAGGTCTCTCAGCTACAGTGAGCTACAGGAGCTACAGGAGCTACTCTGAGCTACAGGACTCCACAAACTGTATAAACTGTGAAGCGCTTTGGGATGTCCTCTCGAACGTGAAAGGTGCTATATCAAATATAATGACTATTATTTAGGTTGACACTCAAGTGCAGCGAGGTGGACATTGTGCTCTATTTGGAAACACTGTCCTTCAAATAAAGTACCCACAACACTATTTGACATAGGATTTTCCTTGAATTGTTCTGACAAACAATCCTCCAGATGATATATATATATAAATGAATTGGTCGTTCACCTCAACCTCAAATGAAAACATTTCAGAAACAGGATTTTTCACTTTGAATTTGTGACGACAGTGATTTAATTTCCGCTGGACCTAATCCGTGTTTCGCCAGGACCTTCTGGATCGAGCAAACGTCTTTCTTAAAATATCCAAACACGTCAAAGCGATCGTCGTGCTTCATCTCCACGCCTCCAGCAAAGGCGAGGAACCCCAGGTAAACGTCATCTAGTGGGAAGACTGGGACAATAAGGGACGCTTTGTACAATCTCCTCACGGAACTAATTGTCATGATGAAGGCACCCCCAGCCGCAAACGGTGGGTAATGGTTACAGAAATACAAAGTTCTATTCACACTATATTTACCGAACCTGAGGACAGGATCGTTCCAGTGAATATATCCATACATCATTGGCTTGGACTCATCTTGGTTTTGCTGCAGATACGTCAAAAGGTTTGGTAGGTTTACAAAAATATCATCATCCCCTTTGAAGACCATTGAGGCAGCTGAGCAGCTGTGTGAAAGATACTCCAGAAAGCAGCGCTCCTTCAGTGGCAAGTGGTGATGAGTCTCGGTAAAGTTCCACACGATCAGATCTCCGAAAGAGTTGGACTCCAACTTCACGAGATCCATGATGCCTTTTTCTTCCACCTGAGCCAAGAGAAAGATGTGACGTACCACCACATCAGGTTTGGTTGAATCCTTCACCCAAGTATCCCGCAGTAAGCGGCGCCTGTCAAACCTAGAAGAGTGAGATTTGAGAGCCAGCAAAATTAGCCGTTGTCCACTGGATACGTGACACAGGTCAGGCGGGGCTATCGCTATCTGACATATGTAGCTCTGCAGATATGGAAACTCATCGGCAAAATTTCTTGTCACCAGAGTGAAGGTACTGGCAGGAGTGAGAGCCGATGAGAATGTTCTGTTGATAACTATTGGGACCCGGCCGCCTCCTATGTCTACCCTCAGGGTACTGGTGATGTTTCTGATGTTCTCGTCAACTTTCCAGAACCTTTGCTGGTTTGGTTCTGGGATTTGCGCGTCCCCTTGGAGGTTCAGTGATGTGCCCAAGTGATCTACGGACCACTTCAGTATAAACTGCCGATAGAGGGCAAAGAGCACCAATGCCATTTGCAGGACAAGCAGCAACGTAATGAAAAATGCCAACTGTTTCCGTGCCATTCTTACCAACCTGTTAAACAGATCATTTTGTGCATCAGTAAACAACCAACAAACAACAACAACAACAAAATTACATTTGTGAAGCGCCTTTCAGGTTGGGAGAATGTCCCAAGGCGTCAGACAATCAGTGTTTCATACCCGAGTTGGGTGGTCGGGGCTGGGGGGGGAAGGTGGGTGCCCGAAGGCACAGTCGAAGGGGAGGGTCTTGAGACGGGTCTTGAAGGAGGTAAAGGAGGGCACAAGACAGAGGGACTGCGGGATAGAGCTCCACAAAGTAGGGACAGAGAGACAGAAGGCCCAACAACAACAACAATAAAACTACATTTATAGAGCGCCTTTCAAGTCAGGAGGAAACTCCTGATGTGAAAGGAATCATAATCAAAAACAAGGAACTTTGAACAAAGAATGGAGAGGCTTTGTTTGATGTTAGTTGATCACACTCAGCAAGTGCACAGTTCCATGAAACTTGTGATCAAAAAATTATCACGAGTGATCCTGGTTTGATTCCCAGGAGGATGAAACTTTAGGCAAGTTTCCTCACTCCACACACCTCTGTTTACCGAGCAGTCAGTAGGAACCAGGAGGTTAGTCGATTGGCAGATCGCTTTTCCAGGGGTAACAATCCTTTCAAAAAAAAAACAAGTTGATCACTCAATCCACAACTGTTTGTGGGAAACTGCTGTGCGCAATTGGCTTCTGCTTTCGCCCACAAAATATAGTCAACCCACTTTACAGTGTATCCTGTGAAGCGCTTCGAGACGTCTCAAAAACGTGATAACGCGCTATATCAAATGTAAGGATTATTATTATTAAATCTTGAACAAAAGAAGAGACTAATGCACGATCTGAAGATTACTGGACTCGGGGCCATTGGGAGGTATAATGCACTAAATGTTTAAAACCCTTTAAGGTTAAACTTGGCATTTCTTCAGTGTCAACCAACTAACAGTTAGGTGTGTACAAACTGCAGCGCAAAACTATTGGAAGCAAGTACAGTACTGTAATGTGGAACTTACTGTTACATTCCAATTGTTCCTCTCACCAGTTGAGAAATAAAACAGTTTAACCCAAAACAGTTTTCTTCTTGTGGTGCTTCAGACAATTGCGGGAAGTGTATGTATTTTGGGTCGGTGTTTTAGTAATTAGGAGAGATACTATCAAGCAGGCAGGAAGTCGTGACGAAGTTCTAAGGGAAGCACCAAAATTAAGCACCGTCACTGGCGTGCTGCTGGCTGCAAATGTGTCTGGTGAGCTGTTGGCTGCAAATGTCTGATGCTGAACTTGTCCTCTTTGAGATCCACTCAGCGAGAGCTGGACTTATCCTCTTTCCTTCTATCTGCTTCTCTTCTCTTTCTCCTCAGAGGCTCCTCAGAGACTCCTCGGAGGTTCTTCTCAAGGCTCTTCCAAGTCTCCTCTCGAGGCTCTTCCTAGTCTCTTCCCGCAGATCTTCTCCTCTTTCTCCTTCTTTCTCTTTCTCTTTCTCAACCGGTTTTGGCTATCGATTTTTACACCCTTTTTCTATGTTCTAACTCTTTCCCAAGACTTCCTTCTCACACTCTTTGCACTTTCCCAGGCATTTTCTTTTCTTTTCTTTTCCCAGGCATTCTTTTCCTATCTGCAAGTTGTTTCTCCTTGTACCAGCTAGCAGTATCTTCTGCAAGAGAACAATACTCCTCTTATTCCATCTTATCTAGCCTGACCAAACCACCCGACTCCAAGTCCCTGAAGTTTCAGTCCTTTTTCTAACTCTGTCCATGGGACCTACTGACTTTAAGTTTTCCCTCAGTTTAAATTACTAGTTTGTATCCCATCCATTCTCCGGTCCGTTATCCCAGGTTCCTATCTCTCCTGCCTGTAAGTCACATACCCTTGTAAGCGCAGATGGCCTACCATCCATTCTCTAGATCCAGCTATCCTTACCTTCCCTGGCCATGGTTCACATGCCCTTGTACTCCAAGCTCGGTGCCTCTTTACTGTGTGTGTGTGTGTGTGTCACATGGCAGTTTTTATCTCTTTGATTCATTCGACTTAATTCATCTATTCACTACATGATCAATACTAATGATTCTTATACTATAATCCCAACTATTTACACACTTAATCATTCTTAAGCATCATTAATCTTGTTCAAGTAAAACCTCGTCATGTACGTGAATGGTCCGTATCAGCATGAGATAGGCACCACCGGCCTCGAGGCCTTGAGAGAGAGAAAAACAAGTCGTCATCCAACAGAGAATGATGAGCCAGCTGGTTTAACTCAAGAGGCCTCGGTCAAAGGTAGATAAGAAACTATCACAAAGAAAGTATACGAGGCATAACCCTGATTGGGCAAACTCAGGGGTGGTTACATGGGGCAAAAGAGTATAACTACCTTAACTTTAGAGCAGTTGGGCAGCAGACTCAGGGATAGACCCTTCGAAAACGTCTCAAAGTCATCTGAAGCCATCACGATCTGTCATCTGTCTCTCTGTCATCCGCATACATGTGGATATTTACCCCATTTGTGCGGATGACGTCACCAAGGGGGATCATGTAGAGGGTGAAGAGGAGGGGACCGAGGACAGAGCCCTGAGCAACAGCGCCCGAGACAGTGCGGGGGCTGGAGGAGAAACTGTTTGCTGCGACAAAGTGGAGGCGGTGTGAAAGGTAGAACCTGAACCAGTCAAGGACAGAACCTTGAAGGTTGAGGTGGGAGGAGAGGCGGTGGAGGAGGATTGAGTGGTCCACAGTGTCAAAGGCGGTGGAGAGGTTGAGGACGAGGAGGCAGAGGGAGTCCTGGTCACACATGGTCAGGATGTCGTTTGCGACCTTGACCAGAGCGGTTTCAGTGCTGTGGGCAGCACGGAAACCCGAGTGGAGGGGTTCATGGAGGGAGTGAGAGGAGAAGAAAGAGCGAAGCTGGGAGGCAACTCTCAAGGACCTTGGATAGGAAAGGGAGATTTGAGATGGGCTGGTAGCTAGAGAGCTGTGATGGGTCGAGGGAAGGTTTTTTCAAGATGGGGGTGATAGTGGCTGAGGCGATCGACTGCTCCGGAGCCCGGTAGCATACGTTTTAATATATCTGTATGTCATTACAGCTTCGTTAAAGTTACTCTGATTAATAAAACTACTGCTGCACCAGTATTGGATTGTCGAGTCATATTTTGAACCACGGGATCGGAAATCACAACACTGTGAAGCGCTTTGAGACGTCTCAAAGACGTGATAACGCGCTGTATCAAACGTAAGGATTATTATTAAATCTTGAACGAGAGAAAAGCGACTAGTGCACGATCTGAAGATTACTGGACTCGGGGCCATTGGGAGGGATAATGCACTAAATGTTTAAAACCCTTCAAGGTTAAACTTGGCATTTCTTCAGTGTCGACCAACTGACAGTTAGGTGTGTACAAACTGCAGCGCAAAACGACCGGAAGCAAGAACAGTACCGTAATGTGGCAGTTACTGTTGCATTCCAATTGTTCCTCTTTTGTTGTTCTTCAGATCGTTGCTGGGAGAAAGGGGTGGGTAGAAATATCAAACGTCACTGACGGGAATATGCTTTTGCATTGCCCTTCTTCCTGTGTGTGAATCAGTGCTGCTGGTTGATAGCTTTGCACAAGTCAATTTCTTTCAAAGGGTTCTAGTTTAAGTTTAAGCCCCATCCTACCAACCCGCCCGCTCCCTCCGCTCAGCCGGCTCTGGCCTGCTCCACGACCCCCGCCCCACCCGCCCCACCATTGGCGGGAGACCCTTCAACCACTCTGCCCCCAAATCTGGAATTCCATCGCCCAATCACTCTGCCTCGCCCCCTCCTTAGCCCTCTCCAAGTCCCGCCTCAAAACCCTACTCTTCGACCATGCCATCGGCCACCCCCCCCCCACCCCTTCCCCTCCCCTCCCTTTTCCCGCCCTGACCCCAGCTCGGGTCTGAAATGCTATACTCTGTCCAGCGCCTTGGGACGTCCTCCCGACGTTAAAGGAGCTATACAAATGTAATCTTGTTGTTGTTGTTGTTGTTCTATCACCCTTATATTGGTCACGTAAAGTCCACCCAACACAGTGAGTCTTCCAGGCAATGTATAATCACACTTATTATTCACAGAATGACTTCCATTATAATCAGTAATCATACAGTCTAAAGCTTCATTGAAATCTTCCAGTTGTCGTACTGATTTGTGTACCTCTTTGACCAGTTTATTATAATTTTCAGTACATTTGTATACAGTAAAATCCAACCAGAAAGCAATTTGACAATTTCAACAATCAATAAATAGAAAGCAGCCATCACCAAAATTCTCCGTTTCCCAAATTTGGAATGATTCCTAGAAATCCGAGAACATTTACAGGATTCCAAACCTGCTTTATCTCCCCAACACCATATCAAGTATTTTCTTCAAGAATCCCACCTAATCACTACTTTTAAACCCATTTAAAAACCTGCCTCTGTCAGCTGATATCTTCATACCTCGTGCTTCCTTGCTTTGCATTTGATATAGCGCTTTCACGTCTTCTAGCGCTTCACAGAATATGCTGTAAAGTGAATTGACCACATATTTGTGGGCGAAACACAGCAGCCAATTGCGCACGGCAGTATCCCACAAACAGTCGTGGATTGAGTGACCAATTTAATATTGTTTTTTTTGAGGAATTATTATTCCCCGAAAAGCGATCTACAATTCTCCCTTGATTCCTTCAAGACCCTTGCGTGTGCAATTCACTTATCAACTCTTAGGTAAACAGAGGCATGCGCTCTCCCTCCTCCCCTCTTGTATTGCTCAGTGGTTCATCCCGAACTTAAACCTGATTTCTTAATAATAATAATAATAATCCTTGCATTGGATATAGCGCTTTTCACGTGGGGAGGACGTCCCAAAGCGCTTCACAGAACACACTGTAAAGTGAATAGACTGTATATTTGTGGACGAACGCGGCGGCCAATTGCACACAGCAATGTCCCACACACAGTCGTAGATTGGAAATGACCAATTTATTATTGTTTTTGTTTCGGAGGGATTATTATTAGGCTGTGTGTGGAGTAAGGAAACTTGCCCAAGGTTTCGCCCTCTGCCTGGAATTGAACTCAGGTCTCTCAGCTACAGTGAGCTACAGGAGCTACAGGAGCTACTCTGAGCTACAGGACTCCACAAACTGTATAAACTGTGAAGCGCTTTGGGATGTCCTCTCGAACGTGAAAGGTGCTATATCAAATATAATGACTATTATTTAGGTTGACACTCAAGTGCAGCGAGGTGGACATTGTGCTCTATTTGGAAACACTGTCCTTCAAATAAAGTACCCACAACACTATTTGACATAGGATTTTCCTTGAATTGTTCTGACAAACAATCCTCCAGATGATATATATATATAAATGAATTGGTCGTTCACCTCAACCTCAAATGAAAACATTTCAGAAACAGGATTTTTCACTTTGAATTTGTGACGACAGTGATTTAATTTCCGCTGGACCTAATCCGTGTTTCGCCAGGACCTTCTGGATCGAGCAAACGTCTTTCTTAAAATATCCAAACACGTCAAAGCGATCGTCGTGCTTCATCTCCACGCCTCCAGCAAAGGCGAGGAACCCCAGGTAAACGTCATCTAGTGGGAAGACTGGGACAATAAGGGACGCTTTGTACAATCTCCTCACGGAACTAATTGTCATGATGAAGGCACCCCCAGCCGCAAACGGTGGGTAATGGTTACAGAAATACAAAGTTCTATTCACACTATATTTACCGAACCTGAGGACAGGATCGTTCCAGTGAATATATCCATACATCATTGGCTTGGACTCATCTTGGTTTTGCTGCAGATACGTCAAAAGGTTTGGTAGGTTTACAAAAATATCATCATCCCCTTTGAAGACCATTGAGGCAGCTGAGCAGCTGTGTGAAAGATACTCCAGAAAGCAGCGCTCCTTCAGTGGCAAGTGGTGATGAGTCTCGGTAAAGTTCCACACGATCAGATCTCCGAAAGAGTTGGACTCCAACTTCACGAGATCCATGATGCCTTTTTCTTCCACCTGAGCCAAGAGAAAGATGTGACGTACCACCACATCAGGTTTGGTTGAATCCTTCACCCAAGTATCCCGCAGTAAGCGGCGCCTGTCAAACCTAGAAGAGTGAGATTTGAGAGCCAGCAAAATTAGCCGTTGTCCACTGGATACGTGACACAGGTCAGGCGGGGCTATCGCTATCTGACATATGTAGCTCTGCAGATATGGAAACTCATCGGCAAAATTTCTTGTCACCAGAGTGAAAGTACTGGCAGGAGTGAGAGCCGATGAGAATGTTCTGTTGATAACTATTGGGACCCGGCCGCCTCCTATGTCTACCCTCAGGGTACTGGTGATGTTTCTGATGTTCTCGTCAACTTTCCAGAACCTTTGCTGGTTTGGTTCTGGGATTTGCGCGTCCCCTTGGAGGTTCAGTGATGTGCCCAAGTGATCTACGGACCACTTCAGTATAAACTGCCGATAGAGAGCAAAGAGCACCAATGCCATTTGCAGGACAAGCAGCAACGTAATGAAAAATGCCAACTGTTTCCGTGCCATTCTTACCAACCTGTTAAACAGATCATTTTGTGCATCAGTAAACAACCAACAAACAACAACAACAACAAAACTACATTTCAGGTTGGGAGAATGTCCCAAGGCGTCAGACAATCAGTGTTTCATACCCGAGTTGGGTGGTCGGGGCTGGGGGGGGAAGGTGGGTGCCCGAAGGCACAGTCGAAGGGGAGGGTCTTGAGACGGGTCTTGAAGGAGGTAAAGGAGGGCACAAGACAGAGGGACTGCGGGATAGAGCTCCACAAAGTAGGGACAGAGAGACAGAAGGCCCAACAACAACAACAATAAAACTACATTTATAGAGCGCCTTTCAAGTCAGGAGGAAACTCCTGATGTGAAAGGAATCATAATCAAAAACAAGGAACTTTGAACAAAGAATGGAGAGGCTTTGTTTGATGTTAGTTGATCACACTCAGCAAGTGCACAGTTCCATGAAACTTGTGATCAAAAAATTATCACGAGTGATCCTGGTTTGATTCCCAGGAGGATGAAACTTTAGGCAAGTTTCCTCACTCCACACACCTCTGTTTACCGAGCAGTCAGTAGGAACCAGGAGGTTAGTCGATTGGCAGATCGCTTTTCCAGGGGTAACAATCCTTTCAAAAAAAAAACAAGTTGATCACTCAATCCACAACTGTTTGTGGGAAACTGCTGTGCGCAATTGGCTTCTGCTTTCGCCCACAAAATATAGTCAACCCACTTTACAGTGTATCCTGTGAAGCGCTTCGAGACGTCTCAAAAACGTGATAACGCGCTATATCAAATGTAAGGATTATTATTATTAAATCTTGAACAAAAGAAGAGACTAATGCACGATCTGAAGATTACTGGACTCGGGGCCATTGGGAGGTATAATGCACTAAATGTTTAAAACCCTTTAAGGTTAAACTTGGCATTTCTTCAATGTCGACCAACTCAGAGTTAGGTGTGTACAAGCTGCAGCACAAAACTATTGGAAGCAAGTACAGTACTGTAATGTGGAACTTACTGCTACATTCCAATTGTTCCTCTCACCAGTTGAGAAAAGTTTAACCCAAAACAGGTTTCATATCAGACCTTTTCTTCTTGTGGTGCTTCAGACGGTTGCAGGGTAGTGAGGGCAGTTTTGGGGGGTGGGGTTGTGGGCTCAGAAATGTCAGTAGACCAGAAACATGTTTCTGGAAGACTCACTATTGGACCGACTCCTGTGTGGGAGTAGTTGCTGCTGTTTTTCTAGTTTTTCTAGTTTTACAATTCAATTTCGTTTTAACAACACAAACATTAGTTCTGAACATGCTCCATTAGCATTTAGAAACAGGAATAACAACATAAAATGGCTCTCTATATGCAATGGATCCATTCTTTCAATCTAAGTGAATAATTAACAGTGCAATATTTTATGATATACAAATAAGTTGCTTGTTTATGGGATAAGCTTTGTTCCAGGAAACTGAACATACAACAACTTGTATTTATGTAGCACCCCTCATGCCGGAAGGCATCTTAGAGCCCTTTTTTGTGGCAGAAAAATGGTATCTGTATCAAAATTTTCTAAAATCTGAATAATTTTAGACTTTTATCCAGTTCTCCCTCTCTCTTTGTGCCGCACTTCCTTTAATAACTCACCACATCACTTTTCTCACATAAGGAAACTGCAAGATCCTAGTCTTCACCTTCAAAGCCCTCCAAGGCCTCGCTCCGCCTTACCTCTGCGACCTCCTACCAACCTGCTCTCTCCCCCCACTCAGCAGGCTCCGACATGCTTCACGTCCCCTGCCTTGCCCATCCCACCATTGGCAGGCGGACCTTCAGCCACTCTGCCCCCACCCTCTGGAATTCCATTCCGCAGTCTCACTGCCTCGCCCTCTCCCTTGCCTCCTTCAAGACGCATCTCAAGACTCTCTTCTTCAACCGTGCTCGGTTGCTGTGCTCTCAAAGTCTAAATAGCCCAACTTATACTGCAAATCGTAACTGAAAACAACAAGGAATGGGGAGGCTTTGTTTGATGTTGACTGTGCGTGCTCATCAAATGCATGCTTCCCTGTAACTCAAGAAATGATCACAAGTAATCCTGGGTTCGATTCCGGGAGGATGAAACTTTCGGCAAGTTTTCTTACTCCACAAGCTTCTGTTTACCTAACAGTAAGTAGGAACCCAGTTGTTAGAGAATTGGCAGATCACTTTTCTATTAAAACCCTTTCAAAAAATTATATTTAAATGTTCAAAACCCTTTAAGGTTAAACTTGGCATTTCTGCACTGTCAACAAACAGTTAGGTGTGTACAAACTGCAGCGCCAAACTACTGGAAGCAAGTAATAATAATAATAATAATCCTTGCATTTGATATAGCGCTTTTCACGTCTTCTCGTCGTCTCAAAGCGCTTCACAGAATAGACTGTAAAGTGAATTGACAGTATTTTTGTGAGCGAAACGCGGCAGTCAATTGCGCACAGTAATGTCCCACAAACAGTCGTGGATTGAAAATGACCAATTTATTACTGTTTTGTTTTTGAGGGATTATTATTAGGCGTGTGGAGTAAGGAAACTTGCCCAAGGTTTCGCCCTGACCTGCCTGGAGTTGAACCCAGGTGTCTCGCTTGCAAGGCGAGTGCTCTAACAACAACAACAAAATTACATTTATAAAGCACCTTTCACGTCGGGAAGACGTCCCAAAGCGCTGAACAGTCAGCTGTCAGGGCCCGAGCATGGTAGAGGGTTGGTGTAGGGGTGAGGGAAGGCAGAGAGGTGGGAGGGAGACCAAAGGCACGGTGAAAGAGAAGGGTCTTGAGACCGGCCTTGAAGGATGCGAGGGAGGAAGCGAGGCAAAGGGACCGTGGGATGGAGTTCCAGAGTGTGTGGGCAGAGAGGCTGAAAGCCCGGCCACCGATGGTAGGGCAGGTCGGGCGGGAGACATGGAGTAGGCCGGAGCCGATGAACGGAGGAAGCAAGCAGGTTGGTAGGGAGTCAGCATGTCAGAGAGGTAGGAGGGGGCAAGGCTATGGATGGCCGACCTTAAAGCTGAGGATGAGGTTCTTGAACCGTGGAGTCAGGCGAGGGTGCGAGTGGAGCGATGGGGTCACGGAGCCTGGTGCGTGAGAGTACATGAGCTGCAGAGTTTTGGATGATTTGCAGCTTGTGAAGGGAAGCATTCGGAAGGCCGATGAGGAGGGAGTTCCCGTAATCAAGTCTTGAGGTGACGAATGCGTGGGTGAGGGTTTCAGGCAGTGGCGGAGTCCTGGCAATGTTGCGGAGGTGGTGGTAGGCAGTGCCGGTCATGGCGCGGATGTGGGGAAGAAAGGACAGTTCAGGGTCGAAAAAAGACACCCAGGTGTTGTGGAATTAACAGTCACAGAGGATTCGGTCACACCAATGAGCTCTTTTATTACTCGCATGCAAGGAGAAGCGCCAGTCCGGCATCAGAGACCCCGGGCTGCACACTCTGCCCTGCAGTACTTTACAAGAGCTTTTCTACCGCATATTAACATATTTAGCTGACCAACAATTTATTATCCAATCATAACTTTATACATTTGGCTGCTCACATAGCGTGATCCTAGTCACGTAGCTAATCTCTTATCCGGATCAGGTGGTCTTGGTTTGGCCCTGAAAAGCGGCTCAGTCCGGTTTTCAGTCAGTCATATCACATCCAGCCATTGTCTGCCGTAACATCTGTGGCCGTTCATGTACTCTTGTAAACAGGGAGTTAATGGTTACATCTGTTTCCAGCATAACCTAGCTGCACTTTGTAATTTTCCACCCAGGTTCCTGACTGGCTTAATGAGGTTGAGTGTGCAGCCATGGAGGCTGATGCTGCCAGCGCCTGAGATCAAGAGGGTCTTGGTCTTGCTGACGTTGAGTTGGAGAAAGTTCGCCCTCATCCAAGACTTGATGTCGGACAGGCAGTCGGTCAGGACCTCAGTAGTTCTGGAGTTCAGGGTGGAGGCAGAGAGGTAGAGTTGGGTACCTCTCTGTCATCCGCATACATGTGGATATTTACCCCATTTGTGCGGATGACGTCACCAAGGGGGAGCATGTAGAGGGTGAAGAGGAGGGGACCGAGGACAGAGCCCTGAGCAACAGCGCCCGAGACAGTGCGGGGGCTGGAGGAGAAACTGTTTGCTGCGACAAAGTGGAGGCGTTGTGAAAGGTAGAACCTGAACCAGTCAAGGACAGAACCTTGAAGGTTGAGGTGGGAGGAGAGGCGGTGGAGGATTGAGTGGTCCACGGTGTCAAAGGCGGTGGAGAGGTCGAGGAGGACGAGGAGGCAGAGGGAGTCCTGGTCACACATGGTCAGGATGTCGTTTGCGACCTTGACCAGAGCAGTTTCAGTGCTGTGGGCAGCACGGAAACCCGAGTGGAGGGGTTCATGGAGGGAGTGAGAGGAGAAGAAAGAGCGAAGCTGGGAGGCAACTCTCAAGGACCTTGGATAGGAAAGGGAGATTTGAGATGGGCTGGTAGCTAGAGAGCTGTGATGGGTCGAGGGAAGGTTTTTTCAAGGTGGGCTTGATAGTGGCTGTTTTGAGGGCGGAAGGAACAGTGCCAGATGACATGGAGAGGTTAATGATGTCAGCAACAGTGGGGCAAGGAGGTGGAGCTGGGATTTAAGGAGAGGGGTGGGGATGGGGTCGAGGGAGCAGGTGGTGGACTTCATGGAGGTTACCGTGTTGAAGACAGAGGAGAGGGGTGACAAGTTCAAAGGTGTGGACGGATGGGTAATTGTGTGGGTCGAGGGTTGGGAGGGGTTGGAAGTTGGGAGGGCAGTGGCAGCTGTGCAGATTCCCTCAATTTTAGACTCGAGGAAGTACAGCATTTTCTTGCAGTGAGAGTTGGAGGAAAGTATCTGCGAGGTGTGTCGGGGAGGGAAGAGGAGCCGGTTAGTGGTGGAGAACAGGAGCCTGGGATTGCCTTTTGCCTCCAGGATTAACCTGGAATAGAAGGATGATTTGGCTGAGGCGAGAGCAGAGCGGTAGTTCTTGATGAGGTCCAGCCAGATATGGCGGTGGACTATTAGGCCGGATTTGAGCCAAGTGCTTTCGGCAGACCGCACCTGGTCCTTAAGCAAGCGGAGGTGGCTGGTGAACCAGGGTGAGGATCAGGAATAGGAAGCAGTTCGGGAGGTGAGGGGGGCAAGGACGTTGAGTGTGGCGGAGAGGGTGCTGTGGAGAAGAGTGAGTGCAGTGAGTGGATTGTTGCGAGAGGTGGGCCAGAGGGTGAGGAGATCAGAGGACTCCAGGGCAGCAGAAAGGGATTGCGGGGAGATCTTCTTCCACGGGTGGTAGAAGATGGTAGTAGGTTTGGAGGCAGCGGGGAGAGGGATATGGTAGTTGAGGGAGATGAAATGGTAGTCAGAGATGGACTTGTCAGTGATGGTGATATCCGAGACCCTGAGGCCCCGGGTGATCACCAGGTCGAGCGGGTGACCGTGGGTGTGGGTAGCAGAGTGGATGTGGAGGGAGAGGTTGAGAGAGGAGAGGAGAGAGAAGTCTGAGGAGATGGAGCAGGAGGGAGTGAAGTGGAGGATGAAGTCACCTAGAATGATGAGACGGTTGGAAGAGGCAGAGAGAGGCAAAGAGAGTGGAGATGTCAGAGATGAAGGTGGGAGAGGATTTTGGGGGGCGGTAGAGTAAAAGAATTTTCAGAGAGCAGTGGGAGGGATAGCAGACGGTAAGGTGTGGAGTAGGGGGATAGGGCAATTGATGCCCTGGATATGAGGGCCACACCATCGCCACGACGGTTAGGGCATGGGGTATGGTGGTAAGTGTAGCCGGGTGGTGTGGCCTCAGTGAGGGGGAAGATGTCACCTGGGGTGATCCAGGTTTCTGTTAGTGCCATGAAGTCAATGTTCTTATGGAGGATGAGTTAATTGATGGCCAGGGTCTTGTTGGAGATGGAGCGGACATTTTGAAGTCCAATGCGGAGTGGACAGTTGGCAGGGGGATGTGTGGGATGGGAGGGGGTAGTAGAATGGTTGGGAGGGTGGGTGGGGATGCAGATGAGGGAGAAGTTAGCCCCCGGAGTCAGGGTCCGGGGTGGTTTGTGGTGGTAGTGGGGAATGGGGCAGTCGGTGTGGCTGCTGCTGGTTAGCCAGCGCCGACTGCCATGATGAGCCCAGCGGAGGATTCCCAGGCTGGAGCAGAGGGAGGCAGTGAGGGGGGTCAGGCAGCGATAAGAGGCGGGGAGAGCGGAGAGAGAGCAGGACAGAGTGGGAGAGCTGCAGGGAGGGGGTCATTTTGAGGGAGGGCCAGCTCGGGTCGGGGGCAGCAGCCAAGAAGCGCACGCTGGGACAAGAGGCGGCGGGTTTAGTAGGACATTATCAGCCTGCAGGAGGCTGAGAGGGATAGAGTTGGCGCAGAGGGGCAAGGGCGCTCATTGTGGAAAGCAACGAGCAGCCTGCAGGGGAAAGATAGGGAAAACAGACAGACAGGGAGGGAGGGAGGGAGAGGGACACTCGTACAGGCTGTCCTGTGCTATACTGTGCAGTACCTGTAATGTACAATACTCTTACATAAGAACATAAGAATTAGGAGCAGGAGTAGGCCATTCGGCCTTCGTGCCTGCTCCGCCATTCAATAAGATCATGGCTGATCTTCTGACCGACCTCTGATTACCTGCCCTATCCCCATATCCCCTAATCCATCTATTTTTCAAGAATCTATCAGTCTCAGCCTTGAAAATGTTCAAGGACTGAGCATCTACAGCTTTCTGGGGTAGTGAATTCCATAAGTTCACTACCCTCTGAGTGAAGAAATGTTTCCTCAACTCTGTTCTAAGAGGCGGACCCTTAATTTTAAGACTGTGACCCCTGGTTATAGATTCTCCCACCAGGGGAAACAGTCCCTTAGTGTCTACTTTATCAGCCCTTTAAGAATCTTACAAGTTTCAATAAGATCCACCCTAATTCTTCTGTACTCTAGAGAATATAGTCCTAGTTTATGCAGCCTATCCTCATAGGTCAGTCCCCTCATCCCAGGAACTAACCGAGTGAATCTACGCTGCACCCCCTCTAGGGCAAGTATGTCCTTTTTTAAATAAGGAGACCAAAACTGCACACAATATTCTAGGTGCGGTCTCACCAAAGCAGCAAGTTGCAGCAAGATTTCCCTACTCTTATATTCTAAACCTTTTGAAATGATCGCTGACATGCCGTTCGCCTTCTTAGTTGCTGCTGCACCTGCAAACTAACTTTTTGGGACTGGTGTACAAGGACACCCAAATCCCTTTGAATACTAACACTATCTAACTTCTCCCCTTTCAGAAAATAATCTGTTCTTTTATTCTTGCTACCGAGGTGAATAATTTCACACTTGCTAACATTGAATTCCATCTGCCACCTACTTGCCCACTCCCCTAGCCTATCTATATCTTGTTGCAATCTTTTTGCATCATCTTGAGAGCATTCCAGTTGTTCCTCTCTTGTGGTTCTTCAGACTGTTGCTGGGAAACAGGGGTGGGTAGAAATATCAAAGCGTCACTGACCTTGAAAGGTGTTATTGCATTGTCCGTCTACCTGTGTGTGGGTCAATGCTGCTGTTTATCTAGTTCTACTTGAAGGCATTGCACAGGTCAATTTCTTTTTAAAATGACCAAACATTAGTTCTGAACATGCTCTGTTAGCATTTAAAAATAGGAAAACATAAAATGGCTCTCTATACACAATGTAGCCATTCTTTCAATCAAGGTAAATAATTAATAATAATAATAATAATAATCCTTGCATTTGATATAGCGCTCTTCACTTCTTCCAGATGTCCCAAAGAGCCTCACAGAATATACTGTAAAGTGAATTGACTGTATATTTGTGGGCGAACGCGGCAGCCAATTGCGCATAGCAATGTCCCACAAACAGTCGTAGATTGAAAATGACCAATTTTATTATTGTTTTGTTTTTTGGAGGGATTATTATTAGGGCTGTGGAGTAAGGAAACTTGCCCAAGGTTTCGCCCTGACCTGCCGGGAATTGAACTCAGGTGCCTCGCTTGCAAAGCGAGTGCTCTAATCACTGAGCTACAGGACTCCACAATATATAGAACAATACGATATACAAATAAGTTGTCTGATGATGGGATAAGATCTGTAACAGTCCCATCTTATCACGTCTTTAAGACGTCTCAAAGAGCTTCACAGAATATCCTATAAAGTCAATTAACTGTATATTTTGTGGCAAAATGCTATAACCGCTACGCTACAGGACTCCACATGAAAGATTACTTTAGTGGAATCAGGCAATTCAAGTCAACTAGTCGATGCTGGTGTTTATACTTCAAATGAGTATCCACCCTTTCTTTACCCTCATAGCCTTCTAATCCCATTTTTTTAATACCGTTCTGAGGAAAGGTCATAGACCTGAAACGTTAAATCATTTTCCTTCTCTCCGTGGATACAGCCTGACCTGCTGCGTGTTCCCGATGACTTCTGTATTTATGCTATATTGGTTTTCAGTATGTTGAGTGTCAGACACTCGGCTGAACACATGGTTTCCATGTGTGTCAAGCACCTTGCTGATCAGAATAATGGATTTCCGAATGCGTCAAAATGAAATATGCCTCGAAACAAAACTGCAAATCCTTCATGCAAAATTAACGGTAAAATGGATCAACTCACCACACAGGCAGAAAGTTGGTTGTTTCCGATTAGACAGAAATTTATGAGACAATAACCCATCAACTGTAGCTACAGTAAGTGGAAGGAGATAATCTTACCCGCCCACGATACCAGCAGCAGAAAGATGCAGGGTGATTCAGTCTCGTTTCCCATCATCCAGTCATTATCCTGCTTATATGAGAGATAACCTAGTGACTCGCCAATTAATTCAGCTAGGACCAGACCAACACAGCTGTGAATTATTTGTTTCTGGAAAAGATGATGGATTTTAATGTTAATTTCTCTAAAGAAATAGTTTCTATTGCTAAGTGCTCACAACACACTGTTGTTGAGAATCGTGTATTCATCTTTTTTAAAAAGCTGAGGAACAATCTTACTTGATTATCGAGCAATTGCATATTTCCACGTTAGCTTTAATAGGCTGTACTTTGTAATCCATTGCTTCTCTCTGCACAGTTAATAAGGCCTTGAAGCAGGCCTGCTACATTCTGCAAAATGAGGTCGTCAAGCTGCTGGTTTTCATTCTCAACAAAGGATTCTCAGTTCCGCGCTGCAGTCTTCAAGTACACCACTGAAAGGCAGTCATGCACTATGAATCACAGAGAGTCCTCCCACAAAACAATATTAGAAACTGTTTCATTCCAGGCGTTTTAAGATTCTTTGGTGCTGCGTTTATACGACTGGAAGCAAAGCGCTTTGCCCCACAAAAGGTGGAGCAAGTTTTTTTTTTGTGAGAACAAAAATCCGGATTGTTTTGTCCAAATTACGTAAATTACGTATGATGTTGATTCATGTTGCCTTTTTTTTATATAAAGCAGTAAACTTTATGTGAAGACAGTTGGTCAGGACTTCTACCCGCGTCTATTTATGTAACTCTATTTACATGCGGTCCACAAATATAATTGGGAGGAGCATAAGGCAGGACCTGCAATGCAAAGCAATCCACACATTCATAATAGCACCTTAATAGCCAACAGTTTTATTTTGATGTTCTAACATTTCAAATCAGGAAGCTATAAGAAATGAACGATCGGTATTTTTTATCTCTTAACCAGGGAAACAACTTTCAAGCCAAACTTCATGAAGAAACTTAACAACTGTCCGTAAATCGAACCAGTCGCGAAACTGACAGTACATTCTCATTGCTTTGTCACTGATAACATCAACAAAAACAGTTTTCAACATTTTCAAATGGAAAATACATCCTTTATGCTGGACTTTCACTAGGTTTGGTGATCCATGGTGAAGTCCAATCGTGAGGCCATAATTTGTTAGATAAACGTTGTGAGCTGGGCTCGGGTCAGTGAAGATGTTTCTAAATTGGCAAAAAAATGGTCTCTCCAAATTTTAATGTGAGCAATTGTCAGGAAGGTACAGGACTATGCCATTACAACGGGCTGTTTGGGGTCCCAAACATTAGATGCTGTGTTACAACAGGTCTGTGAAATAAACATGGCCACCAGTCCCGCTTCCAGGTCAACTCTCGTTATCACTGGTGGCTTCCTGTACATGCATCCGCGCACGAGAAAGGGTTTGGTCAGCTGTGACTGCTCTCACCAGTGTTTCTAAAGTTAGAAACGTTCACTCAGCTGTCTTTATGACTTCCAGCACACTGTATGCACATGCAGGAAGCCAGCTGATCTGCATCAGAAACCAGAAGTGTCCAATGGTGACATGTTTTATAAGTAAATCCAACAAGGTACTTAATAACGGGATTCTCTTGTATTTGATATCCTGTACTATGAAGAATTAATGAACAGGATGACAATATTCAATTTGGGGACTGCAGAATAATGTCTACCTTCATTCAATTATAAAGAAACAATGGAACAATATTGCTAAAGTTTATCTGTTATTGAATGGATGTGGAAGCCTGTTTGAATTCACACATTGAAAAAACAACAACAGTATAACTTTGTCAAAAGAATCATATCAAGATAATGATAGCATGGTCAGTACTGTAATGTACTCTACTGTACAACTTTAAAAAAGATTTAAAGTATTATTTGTGTCAGATATCTTCACGTAATTCTTATTTTAGGCTGTGAAATCAGAGAGCAAGTTAACTCCTGACATTATCATACGACTACTAGCTCCCATTCCAGAGAAGAATTGGAAGAGCCATGGGAACACATTGCTTGTCCATCTTATTGGCCTAAGAATGATGTACGATCCAGGAACCTAACACAACGATTCACAAAAACTATCACATATAAACCTAGCAACAACTTTTTTACCTTGTTCAAAATGTTGAGGTCAATAGAGCCTCATCACCAAGTGCGGTTTAGATTTTCAACAAGTGAACATTATCTCCAAAACGTTGGTACGCAAAACAATTCAAATCAAATCAATGACCACAAATTTGCAATTTCTTCTTCTTTTAATCCATGTTTTGCCAATAGTTTCTTAACGGTGAGCACATCCTTCTTCAAATATCCAAACACGTCAAAGCGATCGTCGTGCTTCATCTCCACGCCTCCAGCAAAGGCGAGGAACCCCAGGTAGACGTCATCTAGTGGGAAGACTGGGACTATAAGGGACGCTTCGTACAATCTCTTCACGGAACTACTTGTCATGATGAAGGCACCCCCAGCCGCAAACGGTGGGTAATGGTTACCCAAATACAAAGTTCTATTCACACTATATTTACCAAACCTGAGGACAGGATCGTTCCAGTGAATATATCCATACATCATTGGCTTGGACTCATCTCGGTTCTGCTCCAGGTACGTGAAAAGGTTTGGTAGGTTTACAAAAATATCATCATCCCCTTTGAAGACCATTGAGGCAGCTGAGCAGCTGTGTGAAAGGTACTCCAGAAAGCAACGCTCCTTCAGTGGCAAGTGGTGTTGATTCTCGGTAAAGTTCCACACAATTAGATCTCGGAAAGAGTTGGACTCCAACTTCACGAGATCCATGATGCCTTTTTCTTCCACATGAGCCAAGAGGAATACGTGACGTACCACCACGTCAGGTTTGGTTAAATCGTTCACCCAAGTATCCCGCAGTAAGCGGCGCCTGTCAAACCCTGAAGAATGAGATTTGAGAGCCAACAATATTAGCCGTTGTCCATTGGATACGTGACACAGGTCGTAAGGCACTAACAAAATCTGACATTTGTAGTTCTGCAGGTATGGAAGCTCATCAAGGAATTTTCTTCTTTCCAGTATGAAACATTTACCACCCTTGTGAGGATGCGAGATATGTCTAGTGATCAGCATTATTGTGCCACTCTCCCCAGTTATCTTCAGCGTGCTGGTGGACCAGTTTATAAGCAGGTGATTGTATATCGTCAATACGATTTGCACGACCACCAACAGGGCTACTGCAGCTGCAACTTGCTTTTTGGTCATGTTTGCTAACCTGTCAAAAGTTTAAAAAAAATTAAATTTAAAATTTTTCCACTGCTAAATTGTAAGCATTCGTAAGGTTAACTTTAACATGCAGAGTTACGGCTAATGCAGGGGCGGTGGAGACGTCCGTCTCAAAGGCGTTTCACAGGATATACAGTGTGTTATGCGGGTGATTTTGTAGATGCGGCACGGGTACTCGCATGATGGGACGAACGGCCTCTTCTTTTGCTTCGACTAGCTCTCCCTCCCAACCTCCCCCCACCACCGGGCGCTTAATAATCCCCCCGCACCCCAAACCTTAGCAACATTTCACATGCGCGAGACTCAACAAGAAGATTCCATTTATAGAGCGCCTTTCACGTCGGGAGGACGTCCCAAGGCGCTGTACAGTTGGGTCAGGACCCGAGCATTGGGGGGAAATGGTCAGGGTGAGGGGAGGGAGAGAGCGAGGAGGGGGTAGAGAGTCGAGAGGGGAGCTGAAGGCTGAAGGTCAAAGAGAAAGGTCTTGAGACCGGCCTTGAAGGAGGAACGGGAGGAGGCGGCGAAGGCACTGGGGATGGAGTTCCAGAGCCGAGGGGCTGAGAGGCTGAAGGCCCGACCACCGATGTTAGGGCGGTTGGGGCGGGGGATGTGGAGCAGACCGGAGCCAGAGGAACGGAGGGTACGGGCAGGTAAGTAGGGGAATAGTAGGTCGGAAAGGTAGGAGGGAGCGAGGCCGTGAATGGCCGAGCAAGACTCGACTGAAAGATGGCGGCTGGGGTGGGGGAGGTGAGGGAGGGGGTTTGAAGAAGTTGTCAAAACCCAAATGTTCCTCCACCTAATTACGGGGCTGTGTGAGTTCAACATTGGGGGGGGGGAGTGGGGGGGTAGTGTCGAAGCTGTGAGGCCTGGGAGCAGGGCAGTCAGGCGGCCATTGTGGGGCCGGGGGTGGGGTGGGAGGCTGTTATCTTGCAATGAGTCACTGAGGATTCTGTGCCTGAGAAGCCATCCAGCCATCGTATGCGCAGCTTTAACCCCGCTGTCCGCCGCCCTGCACCACCCCCTCACCCTTCCCTTCGGCCTCTCCGCCGCCGCTACCTCGAGAGAGAGAGAGAGAGACCGACACAAAATGGCGGCTCGCGGCGCCAACGCGGGCGCCTTTCCCGCCCGCTTCTCCGCATCTCGCGAGACTCCGAAACCCCGCCCCCCCCCCTCTCTCCCACGCGCTGGGTGGGGTGCGCGCGTGCGCACGCGCGAGAGCGCATTCGGCCCACGTGACCGGGCCGCGCGGCCGCTCTTTGGTCGCCGATCTCGCTGACGGTCGCTCATCGATCGAGGCTGTTGATGCGTCTGCGTCCACGGTCCCGGAGTTACGCTGAGATGTGATTGGCTCCGTGGGCGTCGTTCGTCTCATTTGCACCCCGTCTCGTTTCAACAAAGCCTTCGAGACTTTTGTGTTACATGATTATTATTATTATTGTTGTTACGTCCATGCTTTCGTGTCTTACTCCCCCCCCCCGCCCCCCCCTTGTGTGATGGTTAATGAAGTTAATCAACCGTCAATTAATTAAGTAAATGAGTTAATTCGCCACAAGTGGCACTGTGACTGCCAGAGCCGAGCCGCGTCTCGTCTGGCTGGGCCGCGGTCTCCTATTGGGTGATTTGGACGTCAATCAAATGAAAGGCCCTCTTCTTATTGGATGGTATTTGCGTCAATCGAATCACATGGGCGGGACCGCCGCCGCGGATTGGCTCAACGCGTGCGTCAGCCAGTCGAGGTGGGAGCTGTGACCTCCGCCGAAAAAGCTCAATCACGTGTCAATCGCCATTGTAACACGCCATCTCCGATTGGCTGAGGTGCGCGTCAATCAAGCGGTGCAGAGCCGGGGGGCGGGGTTTAGGTTAAGTTGCCATCTCCAATTGGACAATTGACGGGTCAATCACATCATGTCGCTCTCTGATTGGCTTAATCTGTCAAACCCAGGCGGGAGGTCATTTCGTGGACGGTTTTTTTTTCCCCTTCCGCCCCTCCGCGCCCTCCCGCCGCCGCCGCCGCCGGAAGTTGCTGAGCGGAGAAGGAGGAGGAGGAGGGCGGAGAAGCGATGGCGCTGGTGGATGCCGGCAAGCTGAGCGCCCTGAGTGTGGCCCAGCTCCACCAGCTGCTGGCGGACGAGGAGCAGCTCAAGAAGATGGCGGAGGAGATTATGGTGGAGGTGAGGGCGGCGGCGACAGACAGACAGAGAGACAGAGAGAGAGAGAGGGGCCGGTGGCGGAGGGGGAGAGGCCGAGGCCTGAGCCCTGTAAACAACGGCCACCCAGAAACGCCGCACCCCGGGCGGGGGTCCCCCCCCCTCCCCACCCACCCACCCAAAGCCTTGCAGGCCCCGCATCCGAACTGCTTCACTTTACACTTACATCCAGCGAAGCGCTTTGAAGCGTCTCAGTGACCGTGATAAGGCGCTATATCAAATGCAAGGATTATTATTATTATCATCATCATCATCATCCGCCCGGGCCCTGCCCTCCCTCCCGCCCTGTGTCGGGCCCCTCGCAGTAAGCGGTTCTGCCATATAATGAGGAATAACATTCCTCGCGTTTGACGCGGCGCCTTATGTCGCTGAGACGTCACGGCCGTGTTTTTTTTTTGTCGGCGTCCAGCCACCACCACAACAACTTGCACTTATGTAGCGCCCTCCATTGCAGGGTAGTGTCTCGGGAGCGCTTAACGGTGGCGGAGCCTGACTTCGACCCGGCCGGCGGCGGGGGGGGAAGGGGGGGATAGAGGTGGACGATCGAAAGGGAAGGTTTTCAGGTGGGACTTGGAAAAAGGGAAGGGAGGGGGGGGGGGGGGCAAGGTGGAGGGATTGAGGGAGAGTGTTCAAGAGCTCTGGGGCGTAGCGGCCGAAAGCGTGAGTGTATATGTGTATTACACTTTGCTTTGCCCCGAAATACTACCGTATTGTTTAGATAAATCCATCTCCTCCCCATTTGGCTCAACCTGCTGAGGCGCTATATCAAATGCAAGGATTATTATTTATTCACGCCACATAGTTTTGGACAAATAAAATTGACACCCAACCCAAACTGCTGTTCCTAGGTCACTGCGTTGTCTGCAGGAATTCCCTGTGACCTGCCATGAGATGTTTTGCTGTTATAGATAAATATAAGTATTATTTGCGATGATAGGAACTGCACTTGAGCTCACAGTCAAAGTTGACATTGCAATGCAGTGCTGAGAGGGAGTATTTTTTTTGGTGGGGTGGAGGGGTGAGTCATTAAATTCCCAGCTTCCTGTCTGCCTGTTCAGGTGAATGCCAAAGGTCCTGTCTTACAATTTGAAAAAGGGGAAGGGAGGTCCTCGTGGTGGCTTGGCCAGCAATCCTAGATAAATTAAGTCATTCTCTTCATGTGGGACCTTGAGGCAAGATGGCTGCTATTAATTACACTGAAATACTGTGGGATATTTGAACATAGTCCGCTATATAAATGATGTAAGTTTGCTGTTTCACCAATCACTCCAATTGCTTGGCTGAGGACCAGGAAGTTACAGAAAAGGAATGAAACTGAGCACCTCGCCCTAGCTCTGCGATCTCCCGATCCAGCCGTTCTCTTTGCCCAGCAAACAGTGGCTTATTTCATGTCCGCCCCCCACCTCATCAGCCCCACCATCGCCATTTTGCCCCCGTTCTCTGGAGCTTCATTCCCGGAGGCCCTCCGAACTCGCTTGCTCCCTTTCCCTTTTTCAAGGTACATCAAGGCCTAACTCTTCAACCACGCTGTCTGTCATCTGTTCCCCTCAGCACCCCATTTCCCTCGGCTCCCATCCATCGCTCGGGTGCCCAGCTGCTTTAGGATGTACTTCCGACATGAAAAACACATTGGAAGGGAAACGCATAAATATTGCTTGTGCGGCCTGTGGAAACTTCTCAAATCCAGCAACTGGCCCTCAACAGCCAAAAGGTTGAACCACCCTGGTGTATGGTATGGAACATTAGGTAAAAAGGGGGAATGTAAGCAAAGACATAGGCAAAGTACTGTAATAGTTTTGAGTTCCAGGAGATAGGGTGCCATTCTACCCTGTGGGAGGGGTGCCATATAAATGCAAGTTGTTGTTGCGAGAGAGAGGAAGCTCTGGTGCGTGCATATCTTTGCACAGTTGAGCTGTGGTTCTCAATGAATTCATTATTAAAATGATGTGTTAACAAAGAGACCATAGTGCATTTTTTTCAATCATCTCCCCACACAACAAAATAATCACTTCCAGTTCCTTCAGGAGCAGACATTTCCCATTACCTTTTTTCCATACACCAGAAATGTTTTTGCAAACAAAGCTTTCTTTGTTACTCACTGTGATCTGAATGCACTCCTTTGGCCGCGCGTTGGTTTGTTCAGCTGCGGCTTTTGTTCAGGAAAGTAGCATTCATAAGAAGGGGGGTGGCCTAGAAACTAGATGAGTGCCCTGGCAAGGATTAATCCTCGGCTTTCTTCTCCCGGCAACACTAACCCCCCCCCCCCTTCCCCCCACCACACGCACACACACAATCTACCTCTTTTTGTTAGTCACTTTCAAAGCAAGTTTTTATATTTCTTCATTAAAACGTTTTATCTAGAATTTTTCATATTTAAAAAGCATTGTTTACCCGGCAATAAGTAGTAACCCAGTGATTGGTCGATTGGCGGATCGATATCTGGAGGTAATTAACGCTTCAATAAATAAATAATTTGATCACTCAATCTGCAACTGTTCGTGGGACGCTGCTGTGTGGAACTGGCTGCCGCATTTCGCTCACAAAATACACCGTCAATTCAATTTACGGTATATTCTGTGAAGTGCTTTGAGTCGTCTCCACAATGTGATAAGGTGCTCTATCAAATGCAAGGTTTATTATTGTTGTTATTCGTTGTTTGTTTACTAGTAAACAAACCAATTTGATTTACTTCCCCCTATGCTAAAATATTTCTAAGTCAAGGTTTCTACGAGAGCATGTTCGCTTTGCAACATTTGGCATTAAATTCAACAACAACTTGCACTTATATTATACTCTTCATGCAGGGTAGAGTCTGAAAATGGTATTTTGAGCAGAAGTATTTTGAGAAGTCGCTTTATAAATGTACATTATATTAATGAGCTATAAATTGGTCATTTTCAATCTACGACTGTTTGTGGGACATTGCTGTGTGCAATTGGCTGCCGCGTTCGCCCACAAATATACAGTCAATTCACTTTACAGTGTGTTCTGTGAAGCGCTTTGGGACGTCCTCCTGACGTGAAAAGCGCTATATCAAATGCGAGGATTATTATTATTATTATGAGGATTGGTTCTTAGTTTTAAAGTGTATCTTCCTGCTGTAGAAGCCAAGTGAACCTGAAAGGCAACAATTCAGATAACAGGATATGTCCTTCATGGGTTTCAAACAGGAAGTCGACAGGTGTATGACAGAGGGGAGGGGACATAGAACAGGTTCTACAGAGTTTGTTGCTTCAGGTAATCATCACATACCAGTTTGTTATAACATACCTGGCTAGAGCTGGAGTGTACTGCTGAAAGACAGAACAAGGTGATGTTGATGAGGTGAGAGGTTTTACATCTGAGGAGAGACTGGGACTGTGCTCTCCAGAACAGAAATGCTTGAGAGGAGACCCGATATAGGATTTTAGAATCGTGAGGCGTTTTAATAACATAATCGGGGAGAATTTATTGCCCCTGAGGAGAATGGGACTATAAGGATAATCCTTACATCTGATATAGTGCCTTATTACGTCTTTGAGATGTCTCAAAGCGCTTCACAGAATATACTGTAAAGTGTAGTGACTGTGTGTTTTGTGGGCGAAACTTGTGGGACTGGATAGATAGGGCTTTCAGGGAGCCAGAAAAGGCACGATGGATTGAATGACCTCTCTTTCCAACTTAGGCACTTCGAGACGCTACCCTGTGTGAACGCACTATACAAATACAAGTTGTTTATTTCTGTGGGTCAGTGTCGATGACTCGCATTAATTACACATTGGACGTGACCTCTCATTGTTCCCAATGGAGGAATGTGTGCGGCTTATTTTCTAAAGTGGATGTTTGTTGGTGAGCAAGCTCTCTGTCTTTTCAGGCACCGGATGTCCAGTCGACCAAAGACATGAGTCTTGCTAGCAATCGCAGTCTAGCAGAGCAGAACCTGCAGTATGACCCAAAGCTGAACCAATTGAAACTCCAGCTGATCAGCAAATATCAAGAGCTACAGACGGTGTTCGAAGCATATCAGATGCGCAAATCCAAATTAGGTAAAACCTGCTTTGCAATTACACCACGTTTATCCTGTGTGATTGTGATCTGTGATCACAACACTGGCACAGATTGGTTGAAAGGAAGCTCTTAACGCCTGCATTGAATCGCAGGAAACGTAGTCGTGACCCGTCACTGCGTACGCACTTACTGGCTGCATTGAATCACGCACGGGCAGTGTAGATTATCAATTAAATCGGATTTTGTACAATTTATACAGTTTGCTTGAACTCGGTCTTCACGTAAGTCATTAAGTGCTATTTAGGGTCCTGACTGATGTGAGTTTTACTGCTTTAGTCTCTTGATTCCCTCTAGACTTGGCTCTTGACCGAACTTTTATGAACGGATTGCATTGCTTGCTCGCAACAGTGAGAGCAATGTACATTGGGTGACCAGCCTACAAAAAGTAATGTCTTCATGTCAACAATTAAGTTGCTGTGAAGTTGCTTTGGGTTGTTGCGGTCTTATAGGTTCTGCTTCAAATGCAGGATTATTCATGAATGCATTCAGAGAGCCAAAGCCAACATCGTGGCCAGATTCACTGGGCTTTATTGCTTAACAGGATGTGGCCTTTGGGTTATCACTTGCTTCAGTGGAGCAGTTTTCCGGGCTGGATCGAGCCCAATCTATTGATATGTTTCCAGACTGAAGATGTTTTCTGTTAGCAGCCTGGCCGAGAGTCTGTCACACAGGTCAGGTGAACATCAGGTAAAATCGTAGGGGCATTTTTCAGCCACAAAATACCCAGTCACTACACTTTACAGATTATTGTGTGAAGCGCTTTGAGATGTCTCGAACACGTCATAGAAACAGGAGTAGACCATTCAGCCCCTCAAACAGAAATCTATCCACCTCAGTCTTGAAAATTTGAATGTATCCAGTCTTTTGAGGGAGAGAGTTACAGATTTCCACTACCCTTTGTGTGAAAATTAGTGATCAGGCGCTATATCAAGTGCAAGGATTATTATTAATAAAAGCTTGGCTGCATATCAACATCTGTCCAGACTGCAGTTCACAGCCTGACACTGTTGGCTTAACAGACAATTGCTTTTACTGGAGAGACACTATTTTCGTGCCATCGGGAAGTCAAAAATGTGACTTGCAAAGCCAGAGTGGCTGTTTTTTGCAGCCTTGATGTCCAATGGTTCCCAATGTCATAGTTTGTCTCCAATGGAACAAATGGAATCTTGACTCTTGCTAAATTGCGATGTTGCTCAATATGGTGGGAGGATGTTGTAGCTGACATCGATGTTGTTTGCTTCTCTCTGCAGACAGCAAGTCCAGCTGTTCTTCCATCGACACACTGCTCGCCCTCCTGCAAACAGAAGGTGCAAAAATCGAAGAGGAAACTGAGGTGAGCATTATCGTTTGTCCACACGAAGAAAGCATTCATCAGGATATACTGTGGAGTGCAGTTCCTCATTTCTACAGTAAATTCTGCGAGGAGTTATCCTGATGTGAAAAGCACTATATTAAATGTAAGAATTATTTTTCCGGAATAGTGTTTCTTCACTGGAGCCATTTTTCACAGCCCCTTTCACGTCGCAAGGCTGTCCCAAGGCGGTGTTAAGGATTTCCTCCTGAGTTGAGGGTCGGGTAATATCGTAGGGGTATTTTAGGAGGGTGGGGATAGGGGGTTGACCAAAGGCGCACAAGGTCCAAGAGAAGAGTCTTGAGACAGATTTTTTAAAAAAATAACCCTTTGTAACCGACGAAAATGTGTTGAGTTTGTCTGAAAACGTTAACGGAAAGGCTTTCCCCGTGTTGTTTCAGAACATGGCCAAGACCTTCCTGGACGGAGAAATACCGCTGGACACCTTCATTGACGAGTACCAGAGCAAGCGCAAGCTGGCACACCAGCGCCGGGTCAAGATCGAGAAGCTGCAGGAGATGGTCTTAAAGGGGCAGAGGCCCGCTCAACCCCACGTGGCTCAGCTCCACTGGCAGCCTGACCCAGCCCCAGCCAGCCAGACCCCCAACCCCACCACCGACCCCACCTTTCCCATCCCAGCCCCCCGCAGGGTTCTGCCACCGCCTTCTCTCTCGCAAGGATTCGCCTACCCCAATCCCTTCATGGGCCTGCCTCCGGGGCCCAGCCACGCGACCCCCTACCCGGCCTCTCCCTTCCCTCCTATCCCACCCCGCTCAGGCACGGCCGCCCCCACTCCCATTCCTCAGCCGGGCTACCCCCAACAATACAGGCTGCCTTATGCACCCCCGCCCGTTCCCCAGAAATCAGCACCTCAGGCTGGATTCATCCTGCAGTAACTTTGCTCATCAAATCAGACAGATCAAGTGGATTTCTTTCTATGCATTAGGTGCTTTCAATTCTACTGTTCTACTGTTATGTTAACAGTGAGTGTGTGTGTGTGAGTGAGTGGTTTGTAAATTGCGTGGTGAGGGGTGGGGGAGAGGAGAGAGAGGAGGAACATGTTCGCATTTAGCACTAAGGCGACTGCTGCTGACTGCTTCCATGTCTGCTCCAGAAATTGTTTTATTCGTGCACAGCTGAAAGGTATCGTTTCTTGTGCAAACACTATTTTTTGGGAATGTTCTCAGATGTCCCGGGGGGTGGCGGGGGCATCTTTTGTGGTAGCTTTAGATTTCTACAATTTTTCAAGTCGTTTTTAAATCTGTGGCTGCTCTTTTCTCGCGTGTACTATTTTAGCAGCTTGTCTCGGAAATTTAACCGATGCAAAAACTATTAATGCGTGCAAACAACTTATAATTGAATGATATGGGGGTTTGGGTGGGGTTTTGGAGGCTTCATTGCATTTCTTTTTCTATTGAAACAAAAATCCAACATTAGCACATAAGTTATTTGCGGCTTCAACTCAAGTCCACCATTCCAGTTTGAGCTACCTGAGAGAGTGCAAGGTTGTACTATGAGCCATAGGATGCGTGTGTGTTGTGGGGTGGGGGGGGTGCGTGTTTGGCTTAATCTTGGGGAGCATAATTTTGATTTATCATTCTCTGTCGGGCCAGGGGCAAACTTTACTGTTTCAAGCACAGTTTTTGGTTGTGTATATATATGCGTGTGTGTGTGTGTGTGTGTGTGTGTGTGTGTATACGCGTGAGTATGCGTGTACGCACCTCTTCTCCGTCCTTCCCCCACACCCCCGTCAGGTTCACAACCACGTTGTGTAACCGAGTGAACGTGTTTCTTGATCTTTTTACTGATTTCTATTTATTGTACTTCGGAAAACTTATTAAGGGGGAAAAAAGTAATAATTCTGCCTGAAGTTAATTCAGCATCAAACTCCTGCGACATTGTTGGTCCGTAAAGTCGTGGAGATTTACCAATCACCTCAGTGTTCTTGCGCTTTCTTGCTCTGATCAGGGTCTGGTGGAAACGTCTGATTAAATCAGATTGATTGCCTTTGTTAATTCAGTCGCTGATCACTCTGTGCTCCACAGATTGTTAAGATACATGGTTTGTTTATTCTATGATTAACTGAGTGTTGTAGCTTTTTAAGACTTTTTGTAAAAGGGGATCCCTGTCATATTCCACAACTAACTGAACTTACTCTTGGTATTCGATCGCTTGTGAAACTGAGAAAACTGGATGTTCTTTACTGTGATGTTTAACATGGGCGAGGGGGGATAATATAGGTGTAACATGTGGCAATGCTAATGGTGTTCCTTAATTCAGGAATTACTGGAGCCTCCTCTCAGTAACCGAACGCCAGTCATTCCGATCCTAAGGATCTCGGCAAATATATAGCATTAAAGTAAAATTCTGGCCGATTTCCTTAAAGAATTCCAATCCTGATTGCCACATGTTACTCTCCCCCCTCCCCCCCCCATCCCACTCACCTCAACCCCTTCCCTCTTGTTTTAAAATCCCCAAAGATGTTGGGTGGGGGGGTGAGAGGTGGGGGGACACCACCACCAGAAAAGGGTGCCAGGACACCAAACTCTGCCGATGTCTACCCGTTAAACGTGCTCGGGGTTTCAGGTGTCACCCGCGGTGTGTGTTCAGTGAGGCAGGTTGAAGCCGTCTCATTCAGGGACACTCGGAAGCGGCCGAGGGGGAGATCTGTGATGTGTGGGAGCACGGCCGGGAGGGGTACAATCCAGGAAGTATGCATGTTTATGTGCCTTAGTTCTCTCTCACAGGCAGTTGGCGGTGGTGGTGAAGGCAATGCCTTGTGTACTGATGAATGCTAACTCTGGCCGGGTGGGGGCGGGTTTCACATGTCGTTACGAGCAGTGAGTGCATTTGACTCGAATGTTATTTTTCTTGTGGGGGGAGGGGGGCGGCGGGGCGGGGGGGGGTGGGGGAAGAAGAGGAATTAAAACAGAATGTTTTGTAAAATGTAATAGTGAGCAGCAGCATGCAGTACATCGGAGGGAATGTGACATCGAAATCGTGCACAAGCTCGCGTTTGAAGTGTAAAGCGCGTGTACAGAGCGGGGATTACAGCGGTTGCCCGGGCACTCACGAGCAGCATTTGCGCGAGCGGAGGTTTATTATTCACAGCCGAGTCGGTGGGTCACGGTGGGCATTAAATCCGAACAGTGAAAGCTTGCTTGCGGAGCGCTGTTTCGTCAGCTCTCTATTCCCCGGCCTGGTCGCCCCTGGGCAAGGACGATAACTTGGGTTTCGAGTTACAGAACACCAGGCGTTTGCTACACTACTTGTTATTTTCCTATTGATTGGTAACTGAAAGCACCTTCAGCTGCTAACGACGTGCCTACCACAGGAGATCGAACCAGCCACGCTGCGGACTCCAGCATTGTCCACGGGCTGTTCACTCAGTCACGGGACGCCACTCATTCGCTCGCGCGCGGATTGAATTGTAAAAGTCTGCGGTTCCTACCTTCTGTTATTAATGAAGATTGTTGTAGTGGCGAAACTACAGGACGTTACCTCAATATTTTAATCATGTTCAACTAATAAAATTCAATGAGTTGCACCTGGGTCTGAAGGCATTTCACTTCTGCACAAGTAATAAATATTAATAATAAAAATACTTGCATTTGATATTGTGCGTTATCAAGTTGTTGAGACGTCTCCCAAGCGCTTCACAGAATGCACAGGAAAGTGCAGTAACTATTTTGTGGGTAAACCTGGCCGACACAGGTGATGGGTGAGGGATGCCAGCGTAAGTCAATGCACGCGGTCAAATTGACATTTGGAGACTGGTTCATTATTTTCCTACAGCGTTCTTGGTCCAAGTTTGCTGGAGTGTTTGCCAACATAACCTTCTGTTGTTGATGAGGGTTTGTCTGATTGATTTCCATCCTGTTTACGCCGCTTAAGGATCTAGTCATTAGTTCAAGGCTTCCTCGTGACGTCAGGTGGAAGAGTCCAGAGGCCTCGTGTGAACAGATTAAAGTGATGCTTCCTGCTGGCTCTGCACTGGCACAAGGGTTTAGTTTGGTTCATTGTGCCCTGTGTGTGTAGCGCTCTCAGCCTGGCACACTGCTGCGTTCACATCATGTTCTCGCTCAAAGCCAAGCCTTAAAAAAACTGGTTTGGCAGTTCATTATTTTTAATAAGAGTCAACTCGCTGGCGAGAGAGAGACCTTATAAAAATTTGCTGCCGCCCATGCATCTGTCTCCTGCTCAAGTGAAAGGCACAATTGAATTGGCTGCTGCGTTTCATTCATGAAATGTACAGTCAATTCAATTTACAGAAGATCCTGTGAAGCGCTTTGAGACATCTCAATGATGTGATAAGGTGCTATATATCAAATGCAAGGATTATTATTATTTTCCCCCACTTTACCAGCAAGTTTGCAGGGCAGAAGGCTGGCCACTTGGACCTTCTGCTGAAGGGTAAACACACGGCGAGGAATAATACACAAATTACGACACAAATTCACATTGATAAGTCAGTGCCTTTCACGTCAGGAAGGCGTTCAGAGCAGCTTAACCCAAGCCGAAAGAGAGGGGTTTGGGGACGGGAAAGATGGCCAACAGCACGGTCAAAAATTGAGAGGTCAATCTCTCAGCAGCTGAAAGCCGTAAGCCATTTGTGTTGCTTCAGTGAGTTTGCACGTACAGCGAGTTCAGATCATCGAGCCGCTCGTACCAATGCTTAACGTACATCTCCATCTGGTGGCCACCTTGATCCTGAGCGAATGGCTGTGTCTCAGAGCAATATACAGTACTTGGGAAAAGGACTCACAAACCTTAGCACAAGGAAACAGGCCATTTGCCCCATGCTGGTTATTTATGCTCCACGCGAGCCTTCGTGCTTCTTAATCCCTTCTGCTCCCTTCTCCCTCACGTATATATACAGACCCAAGGGTACAAGTTCCCTTTTTAAAACACCCCAATCCTCTCTGTTTCAACCATCGCTTTTCGCCTTGAATTTTCACGCATTTGCGTTGGCAAAACAAATAAAACGCACGCACGTCGAGCTGTGTTAATAAAGTTTTTATTTTAAATTTGACATCCAGAATTTACAGCTCCCACTCCCTCCTACTTCTCAACACGAAGGCCAAGGAGGCAGCGAATTCTCGGCTGCACGTACCCTAATAACCGAGGAACATCCACTTGCAGACGAACGTTTTAAGAGAGTTAAAAATGAGCTGCGAGAAGTGAAATTTGCGACGCTTCTTTAACGCATTTCTTGTGATAAATCTGCGCAGGAAATGTCACAAGTTCCACCCGACAACTTGTGACTGTGGGGAAGGTTGGAAGGAGATATTTTACAAAAAGAAAAATTCTGATTAATTAATATTTCAATATATATTCTGCCAGTGCTTTACATATAATATATATATAAAACAGGTGTTAACTTCAATCTGACCCAGAGCCAAACACACAAGTGAGCGGAGCACTTAATAGCTCGGGTGTGGATGGGGAAGGGAGATTTTGCTCCAGACAAAAATAAACATTTCAATACATCAGAAATTGATTAATAAAGTCGCCCTGCCCATATCATTGACCTGAAGTGACCCCCCCCGCCCCCACCCAGTAACTTGGCCACTTGTTCCAACCCCACAGGAATCGTGGTGGGGGGGTGTGGGGGGGGGGGGGGGGGGGAGAAGAGGGGAGGGAGCTGCCAAGGCAGAAGCAACTTGTGAAGGAAGAATCCAGAGTAAGCAAGTGTGTGGAATGTGACACAGTTACTTTACCGTTTGAAAGAGGTTTGACATAAGGGGAGACAGTCAGTGTGTCAGTGAGTCGGGGGAGGGAGAGAGTTCAGCTTGGCTCTCGCTCAGTACTTCATTGTTAACATTTCCGGTGGGATTTGTAGACCCCATCATGTGTGTTCAACTGCAAACAAAACAAATTGAGAGACAATTAAGAAAAGGCAAAAGATCTCAGATGCCGGAAATCTGAAATACAATCAGAAGTGGCTGAGAACACTCAGTAGGTCAGGCAACATCTACGGAGAGAGAGGTGTGGGTTAAGTTTTCTGCCGAACGGTCATCGACCTGAAACGTTAACTCAATTTCCTCTCCTCTCCCCGTAGATGCTGCCTGACCTTCTGCTTTTATTAAAGATTCAATTGAAATGAATTGAAATCGGATTTTGAGAATGAACCCGTCTCCACCCACAGATCAGGTTTCAACACACTCGATTCATTGGTTTTATCCGTTTTTTTTTCCCCCTAAATGTTTTAAAATTGGGATTAGAAAAATGTCAGTGGTTTAGAATACACCGTCTCCAACACCAGGTTGTTTTCCAGCTCGAAGGAGAGAACAAATAGAGAGAGTGTCTGTGAAGTGAAGCATCTGTGTGGTGGGGGTGGGGAGGGAGGAAAGTCATTGATATTGCCCCCCCACCCTTGTCTCTACTCCTCAGTTCAATGTTGTAAAGGATTCGATCTCAATAATAACAATCCTTGCACTTGACAACACGTCTTATTGCGACGTTGAGACGTCTCAAAGCGCTTCACAGAATATACTGTAAAGCTTAGTGACTGTATTTTGTGGGTGAAACTACAAACAAGGCATATAAAAATACACGAGGTGGGGCTCAGATCGGAGACGGATCTGGAATGCTTTCAGCGAGTTGGTCTCTGAGAGGCTAAGAACAGGTGGAATCTCAGCCTCAGGAGAAGCCGGAGTTTACCTGAGCGACGCTCTTGGGTGGGACGATTGGTTTTGGAGACGGGAGAGGTTTGGCCGGAAAGCTGGGCTTTTCGGGTGAGATTTCTGCCCCCACCGCGTTGTCATAGGCACCTCCCAGGTCATAGTGTTTCTTCCGTAACTCCCCCAGCCTCAACCTCTCCAATTCCAGCTTGTTTTCCAGCTCCAAAACTTTCACCTGAGCAAAGAGAGAGAGAGAGAGAGAGTCTGTGAAGTGAAGTGTCTGTTGGAAGGGAGGGAAACTCATTGACATCGACCACCCCACGTGGAGGTGGTTTGAGTCAGCAGATATCACCTCACACCCCAGCGCTGCCCCACCCAGCACTGAGGGGGGGAGTGGGGGGCGAGGGGGGTTGGGGCAGTGATAGGTCAGGCCTCCCTCCTCCCAAGAAAATGACTCACCTGGGACTCAATCTCCTGCTTTTTAAGTTTAATCCGCGACATTCCTGAAAAGTCCATCGTATCTGAGAGGGCGTCAAGAACATAATGATCAGTACAAACCCACTCACCTGATGACGAAGGTAGAATTTAGTACAGACCGAACCCCCCCCTTCCCCCTCCCGTTACCAGGCGGAGGTTTGAGTCCATCAACATAGACCTCGCGGTATAATGGGGCAATTCAAAAATGTCCGCCGGTCAACTACTTCCGATCAGGGTTTCACGGTCAGCGTTGATGTAATTTCCTGCAATTCGCTCTATGTGCAGGAAGCACTCGCAGAAACGGGGAGGAGGCCATTCAGCCCCTCGAGCCTGTTCCACCATTCTATAAGATCATGGCTGATCTGTGCCTCAACGCCAACGACCCGCTTTTGCTCCATATTCCTTCATGCCCTGACCTAACCACCTCAGTCTTGAAGATGCGAATGGATCCAACATCCACAGGCTTTTGGGGGAAAAAAAAAGAGTTCCAGATTTCCACTACTCTTTGGGTGAAAAACTGCCTTGTGATTTCACTCCTAAATGGCCTAGCTCTAATTTTAAGATGATGCCCCACCCTGTTCTGGATTCCCCCAGCAAAGGAAGTAGATTTTCTGTATCTACCCTTTCCAATCCCTTTATTATTTTACATTCCCGGGGCACTTGAGTGTTATATTGGAGGGGGTGAGCGGATGTCGGGCTGCGAGGGGCTGCATTGGTGTAAACCCCGGTCCCTGTACCTCGGTCCTCTATCTGCTCCTGTCCTGACTTAGTGGAAGCCACGACCTTGGCTGCCATTTCGTTCACCTGCCTGGACGCCTGCTGTAGTCTGTTCAGGTTCCTGCTGCTGCGATCAGCCTTCACCTACAGCACAGACAGCAAGACATCATTGATAATAACAACACGAGATGGATGATGAATATCCTTATTAGGCCCCAGTACATCATAATCCTTGCATTTGATATATATTTGACATAATATACATTATCAGGTCGTTGAGACGTCTCAAAGCGCTTCACAGGATTTACCGTCAAGTGTAGTGACTGTGCATTTCGTGGGCGAAACATGGGAGTCTGGAGTGTGAGTGACGCAGGAATATTTGACTTGGGTGGGCGGTGGGGGATGTGGGGTGGGGGAAGCAGAGAGGAAAAAAAAAAGAGCCAAACCCATTCCTGAGCTCACCTGAAGTCCACATCCGTGTACACACACACTACATGCACACACTGCACACACACAACACGCACACACCACACACACACTACACGCACACTACACGCACACACCACACCACACCCACACTACACACCAGCCCGGCTCAGGTCAGGAAACTCGGCAGCTCGTGGTGTGCTGCGCTGCGCCGTGCCGGGGAGCGCCTGTTCCCACGAGGGATTTACGCGCCGTGCAGCGCACGCGTGTGCGCGCAGCCCGATACCGTCCGGGCTCTCTGACCGACCTTTGACGCGGCCACCAGCTGCGCGGTGCTGGCCGCCACCTCGTGAGAGCAGACAATCAGCTCCTCGTATTTCCCCGTCTTCAGAACCACCTTGTCCGCAGAATCCCTGCAGGCCGGGGCGGAGGGGAAATCAGTCGCCGAACAGTAACGCTAACCCATCTCCTACCTCCCCGTCTTCCCCTCAAACACCTCCCCGCCCTTCACAAGCAATCGCTGGCCTGCGCCAGCGTCTCCTTAAAATAAGCGCAGTGTCCCATGGCTTCTCTGGAGGCAGAAGATTATCAGCCAAGCTCCTCCGATGCCCTCCTCTGTCGTTGCCCCCCCACCCCACCCCACCCCGGGCTCAAAACGTCCCCGAGGAGTGGCTTAAGCATCCACGCTATCCTCTGCTCCCCCGGTGAGGCGGGAGTCACACTATCCAACGATCAGACACTCCCCCCCCCCCCCACCGCCCAGTACTCACACCAGCTGGGTCGCTCCCCACCCCACAGCCTTGGAGGCGGAGATCAGCCCCTCCGTCCAGCGGGAGTTTTTGGCGTAGAATTCCTTGGTGGTGGCGGCTCCCTGTGGGGACAGGAGACAGAACACATAGAGGGGGGGGGGGAGAGAGAGAGAGAGAGAGAGAGAGAGAGCGCGTCAGGGATAATCCCACTGACCGCCAGCCTGGACTGGCCCGGTCCAACCACAGCCTGCGGCCAGCCTCACACTGCGGTCCCAAGACCACCTCCTGATTACCAGGAGAGACGTTTGTCACAAATGGTTTGGCCCATTTCTCCTCCGCCCTCCACCCTCCGCCCTCCGCGCCCCCCTTTGCTGTTGAAACTAGCCCATTAATAACAACGATAACAATCCTTGCATTTGCTGTCGTGCCTTCACAGGATGCGCTGCACAGTGTCTTGCGTAAGTGAAACACGGCAGCCAATTGCCCACAGCAACGAGTGTCCCACAAACAGCCGTGGAGCGAGTGAGCGCTTTTATTTGGGGGACCGTTGGCCAGGACACTGTGAGGGGGAGCGAGAGCGAGAGAGGAGAGAGAGAGAAACCTTCCTTCTCTTTTCTTGAGCGTCCACCTGAACAGGCACAGACCTCGGTTTAACGTCTCATCCGTTAAATGCAACACACTTCCCCGCGCCCCCACCCCACTCCACCCGCCACTCCTGCCCCTCCCCCAGTGCTGCATTGAAACATCACCTCAGACTATGTGGTTCCAAGTCCTAGACCTGGTGGGGGTTGGGGGGGGGGGGGGTGTTGAACCCACAACCTTCTGACTCGGGAGGCAATAGCGCTACCACTACGCACACATCACGTAACGGGCTCACTCACCCGCCCGCTCTCCACGATCTCCTTCTGTAAGCTCGTCGAGGACACCACCAGCTGCCTGATGGCCTGAATCACAAGCACAAAAACAAAAGGGGAAGGTTTCGTTGACTCGGTGCCGACCGAGAGCTAAGCCACCAACCCGGCTTTACAGCGGCCGTAGATCGCTCGCTGATCACCGGTCTCGCCAAACCATCTCACTCACCTTCATCAGGTCTGTGCAGCAGTTCAGGATTCTGTGAAAGAAACAATTGAGGCATGGATTAAAGAGGGGTAACAGGAGGCGGTTCGGGAGACTGTGCCCCCCCTCCCCTCCTCCCCCTGCCCCCTCCCCCAGAGGATATCCATCAGGCTCTTGCGTGGCTCCTGTTAACATCTCGAGTCAAAGTCCCCCACCGGAGGGAGAGCAGTTTAGCAATGACAGGATGCACACACTCAGCACCGAAATTACTACAGGAATCCTTTCACAGGCAAAGCTCCCACACACTGACCTCTCGTTAACTTCCAGTTTAATTCCAGAGCTTCCCAGCCTGGCCTGGCTCATCATCTCCTACAATAGAGACAAGAAAAGGGAGAGAGAAGGGGAGGGAGAGAAAGTGAGAGAGAAAGGGAGAGTGTGAGAAAGAGAAAATGAAAGAAATTCTATATTAGTGACTCGGCCAAGTCTCTCTGTGAATGAAATTCCGTGTATTTGTTGTCAGGTGTAGTGACTGTTTTCGTTGTCAGGTGTAGTGACTGTTTTCATAGATCTATAGAATTCTACAGCACAGGAGGAGGCCATTCGGCCCCTCGTGCCTTAAAGAGCTATTCGACTAGTCCCACTATCGAATCTGCTTCCACCAGCCTTTCAGGCAGTGAATTCTAGACCGTAACCACAACACCTCTGACAATTACCCTCCCTTTCCCCCGGGACGGGCGAGCGAGGGAGCGAGGGGGGAAACGGTACCTCGATCCTCCTGACGGCGGCGTCAATGGCTGCGGACGTTGCTGCCATCTCAGTGTCCACCATATCCCCCAGCTCCCCCTGCCCCACCTCCAGGCTCCGTGGCCTCAGCTCCTGGGGAGGGAAGCCCCAGTGTGAGTGAGCGAGAGAGAGCGAGTGCGAGAGTGCGAGTGCGAGCGCTAACAGGAGAGCACGAGCCTGAGGGTGACACAGAGAGAGAGAGAGAGAGAGAGAGAGCGCTGTTGCCCCCCCACCCCCACACCCCGGTTACCTGGCCAAGCTGGAGGATGGTGTGTAAGGCCCCTCTGACCGGGCCGAGGTCGGCCTGGCTGACCAACTGTTCATCCTTCAGGTGACCGAGAAACCGCAGGGTCTCAGCTCCGCACTCCCGGCAGCCGTCTGTCAGCTCTCCACGCAACAGGAACAGGCGCACGTTACCACTCTGTCACTTTACTACAAGTCAGGCAGGCATTAAGCGCTCTGGGAGGGTCCCCCTGTGAGCGGGGAGGCCTCATCGCGCCGTCGAGGCGTCGCAAAGCGCTTCACAGATTGGGACTGTAAAGTGGAGTGACTGCGTGTTTTTGAGGGCGAAACGTCAAAACGCTCATTCCCTTTTTGCACAGGCGCAATGGGACAGTGCAGTGTGAGAGAGTGAGCAAGCGTGGGAGAGCGAGAGAGAGAGAGAGTGAGCGAGCGGGAGAGTGAGTGAGCAAGTGTGAGAGAGTGAGTGAGCGTGAAAAAGTGGGTGAGCGTGAGAGAGTGAGTGAGCGTGAGAGAGTGAGTGAGTGTGAGAGTGAGGGAGTGAGCGTGAGAGAGCGAGCGTGAGAGTGAGTGAGTGAGTGAGCGTGAGAGAGTGAGTGAGTGAGTGAGTGAGTGAGTGAGTGAGTGAGTGAGAGAGTGAGTGAGCAAGCGTGAGAGAGTGAGTGAGCGTGAGAGAGTGAGTGAGTGTGAGAGTGAGGGAGTGAGCGTGAGAGAGCGAGCGTGAGAGAGTGAGTGAGTGTGAGAGTGAGTGAGTGAGTGAGCGTGAGAGAGAGAGTGAGTGAGTGAGTGAGAGAGTGAGTGAGCAAGCGTGAGAGAGTGAGTGAGCGTGAGAGAGTGAGTGAGTGTGAGAGTGAGGGAGTGAGCGTGAGAGAGCGAGCGTGAGAGAGTGAGTGAGCGTGAGAGTGAGTGAGTGAGCGTGAGAGTGAGTGAGTGAGAGAGTGAGTGAGCAAGCGTGAGAGAGTGAGTGAGCGTGAGAGAGAGTGAGCGAGCGTGGGAGGGCGAGCGTGAGAGAGCGAGCGTAGGAGAGAGTGAGTTCACTTATTACTGGGGATGAGGTTGCATTGCGTCGGGTGCGGGAGGACGGTGTGTGAGGTTCAGCGTTACTCACTGTCGGCCGGGTCGGTGGGGGCCAGGTGGGCAGTGGCGCTGCCATTGACGATGGTGTCGGCCGTCAGGTGGGCAAAGCGTGCCAGTGCCTGCACCAGCTTGCCCGCGTCTGTGTGTGGGCACAGGGAGCAGCGTTACACACACAGCATTACGTACACACACACACACACCCCCCACCCTTAGTCTGTCACACTCACACACATACGCACACACACACACACACAAACACACTCACTCACACACACACACACCGACTCACACTCATCCGTGACACACTCACTCACAATAACACCCAGACACATTCACCCCCCGCCACCCCGACACACTCAATTACACAGCCCCCAGACACACACACGCACACACACCCGAGACACTCACTCACACACTTACTCACACCCTCCTGACACGCTCAATCACACCCCCCCCCCCCCACCCCAATGCACTCGTTCATACTCACACCCCTCCATCTGACACCCTGACTCACCTGCCCTGTTGCTCAGGTACTGGCTGAGTCCCTCGTGCGTTGAGGCCACGGAATCCAATGCCGCCTCGGCTCGGCTGATCAGGTAATCTGTAACACAGGAAAACCGCTCCGTATAAACCCCCCCAGTCACCAGAGCCCCTCCGCCTTGCCCCCTCCCTCCTTCACTCGCTTCATTCAAGGCCAGCCTCAAGACCCTCCTCTTTACCCGCGCCTCTAGACACCCTCCTACCCCCCACCCTCCCTGCCCTCCTGGTCCCAACCCCCAGCTCGGGTGCAATCCTTGACTGTCCAGCGCCTTAAGTGTGAGCGAGTGTGTGTGTGTGTCTCAGTGGGTGGAGTGGGGGGGGGGGGGTGGTGGTGGTGGGTCTTTGGGTCAATCCTAGCTCTGATCTGGGCAGGACGCCCCACCACCCAGCCCCCTTCCCTCCCCCACTTCTGGCTGCGCTGCTGGGAGCCTGTGTGAGCAGCAGCCCCACCCCCCCACACAGTTACTCACCGGGGGAGCTGGTGCAGCGGACATGCAGGGGATCGGAGAGCGTGGCCAAGGCATCCTGTACGATGGCCTGAGCCTCTCGGGCGCTGCCACACACCAGCTCCCACTGCTCGGCCGTCAGCCTCTGCTCCCGGCGCCGCTGGCTCTCTCCCTGCAAACCAACCGGGGCACACGGGGCTCAGAGCAACAACCGGCCAACACCGCACCACGAGGCCAACATTCGCCGCCACGCACCGCCACGCACCGCCGCACACACCGCCAGCCCGCCCGCCCGCCCGCCCGCCGGGCACTCACCAGCTCCCGCCACGATCGGGCTTTGCCAGAAAGTAAGCTCACGTTTTTAGCCCAAAGTCAACCTAATTCTACCCCCCAAAATTCTTAACAACAACGATCCTTGCATTTGACGCAGCGCCTTATCGCGTCCGAAAGCGCTTCGCGGGATACACGTTGAAGCGTAGTGACTGTGTGTTTTGTGGCGAAGGTTTGGTAAAGAAGGACGGTGAGAGGCTGACCTCCTCGGCCAGTTTTCCCCGGAGCTCGGCCACTTCCCGGCAGTTCTGCTCCTGCTCCCGCCGCAGTGACGTGTCCTGTTCCTCCAACCGCTCGCTCAGCCTCTGCACCTCAGCCTCGCTATCCCTCGCAGCTTGCTGCGCGCGCTCTCTCGCCGTCGCCAGCTCCTTCAGCCGGGACTGCAGCTCGGTGCTTGTCTGTAACCCAACATGGACACCCCATCACACCCCTTATACACCATCGCCCCAAATCCCCCACACGCTCACACACTCTCCCCCTCCCTCTCCAGCTCCCCCCGGCCAGGACTGCAGCTCAGTGCCTGTCTGTAGTCCAGCCCAGACCCGACACCCACCCTCACATCCTCCCCCACGCTGACACGCTCTTCCTCTTCAACCCCCCTTCCCCCCACCCCACCTGCCCCCACCCCACGCTATGGTACCTGCTGGGAGCTGTGTAACGAGCCTTGGATCCCAGCCAGCTCCCCCCGGCTCTCTGCCAGCTCTCTCGTCAGCTTCTCCATCACCGCATTCCCCTCCTCCAGCTGTCAGACACACAGAGAGAGAGAGAGAGAGAGAGAGAGACACAGAGACAGAGAGTGTGTGTGAGAGTGAGGGACAGAGCGAGACACAGTGTGTGTGAGAGAGAGAGAGGGAGAGAGACTGTGAGAGAGAAGGATTGAGGTAGAGAGCGAGAGAGCAAGACACACCGACATAAGAGAGAGGGACCGACAGAGAGAGCAAGGCAGAGAGAGACACACACGCACACACACACAGTCAAAGAGTCAGAGACAGAGAGCGAAAGACACAGAGTGAGACAGAGAGAGCAAGACACAGAGAGAGCGACAGAGAGAGAAATACAGAGAGAGAGAAAGACACAGAGAGAGAGAGAAAGACAGAGAGAGAGAGAGAGAGAGAGAGATCACTGTCACACACGCAAACTTTAAGCTACACAATGCCCAAGTGCTCGGTGTCATGAGGACCCTGACCCAACCAGGTGGCGTCGTGTGACACACAACCTCAGCGAATTGAACCACAGGGGCTGTAATTGACTGAGAGCAGGTTCACGACCGTCAAGAGAATCACCAAATCACCCCAACAGGTTGCGGAGAGAGTGGGGAGGGGGTGGGGGAGGGTGATATGCAGGGTGTTCACAAAGTCCCGTTACCCACCCCGCGGTGTGTTTTTTTTCTTTCCAGTTGCAGAGTCGAGTGTAACAATGTCTGATACCAGTGACTTCCACCTCATCCATCCATCCATCCATCCATCCATTCATCTCCATCCATCTTAGCAGAGAAGATGTCGCACCAAACGTGGTGATGGATCAATATTATTTAGATTGTTATTATTTTGAAGGAATTATTATTACAACAACTTGCACTTATATAGCGCCCTCCGCTCAGGGTAGCGTCTCAGAGCACTTAACGGCAGAGGAGCCTGACTCCGAGCCAGGGGTGGGGGTTTGGGGGAGAGGTGGCCGTAAGCATGGGCGAAGAGGAAGGTCTTCAGGTGGGCCTTGAAAAAGGGGAGGGGGAGGGCAAGGCGGAGCGATTGAGGGAAAGCGTTCCAGAGTTTCGGGGAGTAGAGGCTGAAAGCGCGACCTCCGATGGTGGGGCGGAGGGTGCGAGGGACGAGCAGGAGGCCTGTGCCAGTCGAGTGGAGGCGCCGGGTGGTGGATTGGGGAGCGAGGAGGCTGGAGAGGGAGGGAGGGGCCAGGGAGTGAAGGGATTTGAACACGAGAGGGAGGATCTTGAAGCCGTTCGGTGATGGGGAGCCAGTGGATTATTATTATTAAGTGCTCTGAGTCGTTACCATGTGTGAGCACCACTATACAAATGCAAGTTGCTGTTATTATTATCGGACGCGGGAGTGGTTTGGGATCAGGAGGAATGTCGTGAATACGGAGCACAGGGTTTGGGAAGACTTTAGCCCCAGTGCCGGGGTGGTGGGGGGCACACGGCAGCCCTCAGCCCTGCTCGTGGCCCCTCTTACCCTGGTCTCGGCCTCGCTCCTCATCTGCTCCAGGACTTGCTGCAGCTCCTGTTTACTGTGTGACGTTTCCTCCTGACTCTGCTGTAAGACTGTCAGCTGCCGGCTGGCGTCAGCGCTCTGCGGATCACACACACACACGCGGTCACACACACACGCAGTCAATAATAATCTGTATTTGATACAGCGCCTCACTCCTCGAGACGTCTCAAAGCAAATTTACTGCTCAGCTACTTATCCATTTCCCTTCTAAGTGAAACTATTGCTGCGGAATCAGCGGCCGTAAGTGGTGGTAAATCCACAACCTCCCCCACCTACCCCAACCCCCCCACCCCCTCCCCACCACCCGGAGCCAGAGCCGGTTGCTGAGCACAGTGACTCGTGCGATTCTAAGCAAAGGAAAACAGTCAGACCGAGCCCGGGATCTCAGACATGGTGGAAAAAACGTTCCCGAAACTTCCCCAAATTCCCACTGTGGGGGTTTATTGGGCTTTACCTTGCGGAGCAGCTCGGCGTGCGTTTTGACCAGCTCGCTGTGCTTCTCTTTCAGTTTGTTGTATCGTTGCTCGTTCGCCTGAACTTTCTCTGCCAACAGTGAAAGCGTTTGTGCCGTTAGAGAGTACGGTTATCGTATCAGGGTGTCTCGTCCTCGTGACCAGCCGGGTGTCTGACACACAGACACACACGGAAACCCGTCACCGTGACCAGCCGGGTGTCTGACACACAGACACACACGGAAACCCGTCACCGTGACCAGCCGGGTGTCTGACACACACACACGGAAACTTGTCACCGTGATCAGCCGGGTGTCTGACACACACACACGGAAACCTGTCACCGTGATCAGCCGGATATGTGACACACACGGAAACCCGCCACCGTGCCGAGGGAGTCTGGGAGGCTGGGCTGTCAGTTGCGGGGGGCGGGAGGAGTGTTGCGGGTTGTGGGGGGTGGTGGGGGAGGGGGGTAGGTGAGGCCAGTGAGACTCACTCTCGGCCTCCACCAGGGACAGCTGTGCTCGCTCCGAGTGGCTCCTCTCTCCCCGCAGCTTCTCCAGCTCCACACGAAGCTCCTCGTTGTCCACCAGAGCCTTCTGTTTGAGCTTCCGCGTCTCCTCCAGCTCCGTCTCCAGTGTGTTAATCTGTGCTTTCAGCTGCGTGATATACCTCTGGGCCTGGGGGCACAGACACACAACAGCTCAGCTCGACTCAGCACAAACACAGCATAGCCCAGCCCAGCCCTGCCCAGCATAGCCCAGCCCTGCCCAGCATAGCCCAGCCCTGCCCAGCATAGCCCAGCCCAGCCCAGCATAGCCCAGCCCTGCCCAGCATAGCCCAGCCCTGCCCAGCATAGCCCAGCCCTGCCCAGCATAGCCCAGCCCTGCCCAGCATAGCCCAGCCCTGCCCAGCATAGCCCAGCCCTGCCCAGCATAGCCCAGCATAGCCCAGCCCTGCCCTGCCCAGCATAGTCCAGCCCAGTCCAGCATAGCCCAGCCCAGCCCTGCCCAGCATAGTCCAGCCCAGCCCAGCATAGCCCAGCCCTGCCCAGCCCAGCATAGCCCAGCATAGCTCAGCCCAGCCCTGCCCAGCATAGTCCAGCCCAGCCCAGCATAGCCCAGCCCTGCCCAGCCCAGCATAGCCCAGCATAGCCCAGCCTAGCCCTGCTCGGTATGTCTGACACCCGTTGCTGTGATTAATAGTCTCCAAACCAGCCTGAGAGTTCCGCGGGTGGGGGTCGGGGTGGTGGGTGAGTGGGGTGGTGGGGAAATTGGAGAAGAGGACCCCAGAGTGTGCGCTGTGCAACTGATTCACAACAACAACAACTTGGACCAGGAACACGAAGGTTGATAGAAAGGACCGGAATCTATCCAGGATCTCATTCATCCCTGATGTTACTGTCAAGTCCCCGTCCAGTCTCACCTCAGACCTCACCGCCTCCAGCTCCGCTCGCAACTGCTCCACTTCCTGTTTCAGCTTCTCGATCTGCAGGTCACTGTCGGAGATCACACACACAGGGAACCGTGTGAGAATAGTGTAAATCTCCGCCCCCCCCCCCCACTCATACACACACACACAGACACACAAGTGCACACAAACAAGCACAGGCGTATACCCATAAGCACATACGAGTACAGACAGTCGCACATGAGCACAGACATGCACACACGCCTGCACCTTCAGCCCCAGAGATGAGGGACTCGCCCACAGACCCATAATAATAATAATAATCCTTGCATTTGATATAACGCTTTTCACTTCGGGAGGACGTCCCAAAGCGCTTCACAGAACACACTGTACAGTGAATTGACTGTATATTTGTGGGCGAACGCGGCAGCCGATTGCGCACAGCAATGTCCCACAAACAGTCGTAGATTAAAAAGGACCAATTTATTATTGTTTTTGTTTTTTTGTGGGATTATTATTAGGCTCTGTGTGGAGTAAGGAAACTTGCCCAAGGTTTCGCCCTCTGCCTGGGATTGAACTCAGGTCTCTCGCTTGCAAAGCGAGTGCTCTAACCACTGAGCTACAGGACTCCACGTACTCCATGTACACAGACACTTATAAAAATACTTTATAGCCGCTCACCGGTCGTCTTTGACAAATCCGTTGTTGGTCGGGGGCCCAAAGGTGGCGTCAAAGATGTCAAGATCCACCAGGGTCTGTGAGGGGAGGCACACAGTGTCAGAGACAGAGACATAGACACAGCTCAGACACACAGTGTCAGAGACAGAGACATAGACACAGCTCAGACACACAGTGTCAGAGTCAGAGACATAGACACAGCTCAGACACACAGTGTCAGAGACAGAGACATAGACACAGCTCAGACACACAGTGTCAGAGACAGAGACACAGACACAGCTCAGACACAGTGTCAGAGACAGAGACATAGACACAGCTCAGACACACAGTGTCAGAGACAGAGACACAGACACAGCTCAGACACACAGTGTCAGAGACAGAGACATAGACACAGCTCAGACACACAGTGTCAGAGACAGAGACACAGACACAGCTCAGACACACAGTGTCAGAGACAGAGACACAGACACAGCTCAGACACACAGTGTCAGAGACAGAGACACAGGGCTCCGCACTACTGAACTGAGCCGCACCACAGCCGCACACAACAAACCTTCCACTGGATACGGCGCCTTCTCACGCCGGACGGACATCTCAGAGGATCTCGCTGTGAAGTGTAGTGACTGCGCATTTTACAGGTGTAACATGGTATCCGGTTTTGTGCACAGCGACGGACATCTTTGCAAGGGGATTGATGGCCGGGGGGGTTGGTGGGGGGGGGGAGGGTGAGAGGGAGAGAGACAGTCTTCCATTCTCTTGTCCCAACAGCACCGGGATCTTTAACAGCCGATCACCACCAACAAGTGAGGGAATCCGCTAACCGGGGCCGGTAGAGCTGCGGCTCGTTGACTTGACTTTTTGACCAACTGCAACTAGTGATTACTCAGGAGTGGACAGTCCCCTCCCCCGGCCCTCCCCCCACCCCCACCCGAACACCCCAAACCAACGCCGGTCGGTGTTTTTCCCGGCAGTTTCCCGGCGGGAACGCTGGCTCTGACCTGGGCCTCGGAGGCGGTGCTGGGCTGCTCCTCGGGCTCTTCGGCCGGGGCCTCCTCGTCGGGAATGATGACCACGGGCTTGACGTGCTCGGCCAGCGCTGAGGCCCGCAGGAAGTTGGGGGGTTCCTGCCGGGAAAACAGGAGACGGGGTGACACCGGGCACGCACAACGACAACAGCGTCACTCAGGCAGGACCAGAGCCTCAGAGCAACACACAGTGACTGACGGGGACAGAGGGAGAGCGAGCGCGGGGGGGAGGAGGAGGGCGGGGGAAGGAGGAGGAGGGCGGGGGGGAGGGGGGGGTCTCTAATGCAGCACATTTTGAGATTCTAAAGGGAGTAGACAGTGTAGATCTTTATCTGAGGATGAAATTCAAGCCCAATCTGCAGGAAACACCACTGCAGCGAGTGAGCGAGCAGTGAAGGTATCGGAACAGGCTTCCCCCGGGGAGACGGCGGAAGCAGAAAGCGCCGATTCTTCCAAAAGCAAACGAGATTGATTTCTCTCAGGAAATAATATCTCCGGACACGGTTTGGGACACGACGTGCGCAGGCGACTGCCGGGGGGAGGGGGGGGTGGAAGGTCGACCTGGATGGACCTTGGGTCTCCTTTGGTCTCGCACATTCTTATGTTGGCATTCACCCACCGCCTTTTAACACTGGGAGCACGTCGCAGAGCGCTTCACATTAGCGTGGAGGGGCGGGGAGGGGGGATGAGGGGGGTAATGGAGGGGGTAAAACCCCACCTCGGGCAGCTTTGGGATCTGGATCAACCGCTTGAAGTAGAGCAGGTCCCGCGATCGGCTGAAGAAGGTCTTGAGGCTGTAACAAAACCACAGCGATTAATGACCCCCTCGGTGGCAGTGGGAGGGGGGTGGGGGAGGAGGAAGCCCCTTCAATAATAAGCCCCGTGCTCTCCCTCCCAACATTCAGACTCCCTCCCCAAGATGTGTTTCTTTGACCGCCTTTTACTCCATCTCTCCTACCCCGCGCGTCCCCCTGCCCAACCCCCCCCCCCCCCCCCCAGCCCCCACCCACGGCCCCAGCCCCACCACCCCTCCCTCCTCTCCACGTTCACAGTCCTTGGGGCCCTCAGTACCTGCGAAATTCTTCATAAAAACGATCACGGTGGCCTTGTAATGTGTCGGCTGGTAAACCTGGGGGGGGGGGGGGGGGAAGAGAGAGAGAGGGAGAGAGAGAGAGAAAAATCTCTAAATAAATAAAAATAAAGATCTCCCGCCTCCCTGTCCCGGCCGACAATCCACCTCAGATAAAACCGAGCCTCATTAAACCAGGCGTTACCAAAGCTGTTTGGTTAACGACGTGTTTGCTGTTGATGTGTAACGTGTAAATTAGTGAGGGCGATCCCCACTGGCGTCAACCCTCGTTAGTGCCTGCACATCGGGTTGGGTAATGAGCGTTGCGTCCGTGCTGGTGCTCGATCTCCCCACACACACACACACACACACACACTCCCCCACCCCCCCACACTGTCGCTGTCTCCTCTAACCCTAGTCCTTGCTCTCTCTCCCTCGTTCGCCTTCATCGTATCCATGCCGGTGCTCGCCCCCCCCCACACTGGAGCTACTCTAAACCCCGTGATCAGGCGCTATAGCAAGTGCAAAGATTTTTATTATTATTATTATTATTAATGATCTCTCTTCCCTCCCCCATTTGTGTCCGTGCTCGCTCCGCCCCACACCCCCCACACACTGGAGCTCTCTCCTTTAATCTCGGACGTGACCGAGGCCGGGTCAGCTGCCTGATGGGTTCTCAACGCTTTCTTTTTGTGCCGGAAAGTGACGGAGTTTGTGCCGTCATGGTAACGCGCTCCGCTGGGATCTCTAACCGGAGCAGGGCAACCACGAGCAAGAACAAGAGCTAGAAATAGACAGAGAGAGAGAGAGGGGGGGGGGGGGGGGGGGGGGGGGGAGAGGGACAAACACAATGAAAGCGTGAGATAGACAGAGAGAGATAGGGAAAGAGAGAGAGAGAGAGAGAGACAGAGATAAGGAGAGAAAGACAGCGAGAGTTCAAGCCGGAGAGAGACGAGAAGAAACCTCCTCCAATAGCCCCTCATCGTCACCTCAGAATATCTCAGGGACTCAGTGGCTGTCGATTGCAGTGATTATTCTGAAGACCGACACATCAGCCGTTGTGCACACTGACGTGAGGTCACTGGTGACTGCGGGTGTCCCAGCCGCCCCCCCCCCCACCCCCTCCCCAGCCCCCACCCACCCACTCCCCAGCCGCCCTCACCCCCTCCCCAGCTCCCCCCACCCCCTCCCCAGCTCCCCCCACCCTTCCCCAGCCCCCCCACCCCCTCCCCAGCCTCTCCCCACACCCTCCCCTGCTCCCCCCATCCTTCCCCAGCCCTCCCACCCCCTCCCCAGCTCCCCCCACCCTTCCCCAGCCCCCCACCCCCTCCCCAGCCTCTCCCCACACCCTCCCCTGCTCCCCCATCCTTCCCCAGCCCCCCAACCCCTCCCCAGCCCCCCCCCACCCCTCCCCAGCCCCCCCAACCCTCCCCAGCCTCCCCCCACCCCCTCCCCAGCTCCCCCACCCTTCCCCAGCCCCCCCCCCACCCCCTCCTCAGCCAAGATCACTGTTTAACCACATCACAATCTCCCCTCTGCACTGCGCCGGGCGTCAGCCTGGACTGTGGTCTTCACAGGTTACATAAGAACAGGAGGACGCTCCCTTGAGCCTGTTCCGCCATTCAATTAGACCGTGGCTGATCTGGACCTCAGATGGGGGGTGGGGGGGGGGGGGGCCGTGGCTGCCGCATTACTTACAGGAGTGGAGCTTGAAGAGCAGGGTGACGGTGTAGTGGTACAGGTGGCTGCAGTCCTGGATGACCTGGATGAGCGGTGCCAGGCGACACTGACCCGAGGGTGTCTGAGACACCGCGTAGGAGGTATCCAGAGAGCGAAACACTGTGGGCGAGAGAGAGAGAGAACGTAACACTGTGGGCAAGAGAGAGAGAGCGGGCATGAGAGAGAGAGAGAGCGGGCAACACTGTGGGCGAGAGAGAGAGCGAGCGTAACACTGCGGGCGAGAGAGAGAGAGCGAGCGTAACACCACGGGCGAGAGAGAGAGAGAGAGCGAGCGCGCAACACTGCGGGCGAGAGAGAGAGCGAGAGAGAGAGAGCGTAACACTGTGGACAAGAAAGAAAGAGAGCCAAACACTGCGGGTGAGAGAGAGAGAGAGAGAGAGAGAGGGTAACACTGCAGGTGAGAGAGAGCGACAGCGTAACACTCTGTCACACCGAGAGGATCAACAACCCTCCTCCCACACACACGCACACCCACACACGCACACCTGTCCTGCGTATTTCACCGTTTCCAGGCGTGAAAATACACTGAAATTATATAATTCTAATGTATTTTCGATCGGAGCGAGCGGCAAAAACTGGAACATTCCGGAAATAGGCTCTCCCCGGCGACGCTAACGAGAGCGAGGTTTAAAAATGAACACAGGCTCCCTCCCCGGGGGCGACGGTGAGTGCCGGCCACGACACCGGGGACTCACCAGCTTCAGCCACTTTGAGCTCACGATCCATGTAGTCGAACATCTCCACTGTCAGCTGGAAACTAACACAGGAAAAGGCAGTGAGTGACACAGCACTGACATGTACATGTACCCCCCACCACCACACACACGCACGCACACGCACACACACACGCGCACAAACGTGCAGAGACACGTGCACACCCATCTGCAGACGCATGCTGAAACACACACACACGCAAATGGAGAGAGAGACACACACGCACGCGCCTCTCGGGCAGGCTGTGCTCAGACAGGTGGGTGAGTGGACAGTGAGGGTTAGTGAGGGGGGGGGTCTGGGTCAGTTCTGGCCATCTTACCTCCAGAACGACCTCAAAGCGCTGGAGAGGAAGAGAAAGCGGAGGGTTCGGGCCGTCAAAGCCGGTGAGTGACGATGAGACACTTACACGGTTTTCAGGACCGACTCACACACAGACACACAGACAGACACACGCACACACACACACAGATACACGCACAGACACACAAAGACACACACAAACATAGACACACACACACAGACGCACACACACACACGCACAGCAGAGTCACCGCTGGGCTCCTATAGTGAGCAACGCACACCTTGTTTCCAGGTCACTTTTCTGAGTGTGAATCCCAGTGTGCAGCCCCTCCCCCACTAAGCCCCGCCCCATTATGCCCCACCCCACAAAGCCCCACCCGCATTATGCCCCACCCTGCCAAGCCCCTCCCTCATTATGCCCCTCCCCACCAAGCCCCTCCCCCACCGAGCCCCACCCCCCACACCCTGCCCTCCCCACACCCCGCCCCCACTCACACATTATTCACGTCCGTTCCCGAGGCCTTATTCAGCTCCTCGTCCGTTACCTCCAGGCTGGTCGGGAATTCTGGATGCTGGGAGAAAAACAGCGGGAAAAGAAGGACGACGTCTTCATTCGGGAATCTGAGCTCGTGTGGACTGGCGGGGCCCGACATTCCAGCCCGGAGGGTGTGGGGGGGGAAGAGAGACGACAGCGGGGGAGGAGCAAGAGCAGCAGTCGGGAAGGCTCTGCGAGGGAATGAGTGGACCGCCCCACACACACCCCTCTGCCCCCCCCCCCCCCGTCACACCACCCCACACACACCCCTCTGCCCCCCCCCGCCACACCACCCCACACACACCCCTCTGCCCCCCCCCGCCACTCCACCCCACAGACACCCCTCTGCCCCCCCCCCCGCCACTCCACCCACACACAGCCCTCTGCCCCCCTCCCCGCCCCTCCACCCCCCTCCCCACCCCTCCACCCCACACACAGCCCTCTGCCCCCCTCCCCGCCCCTCCACCCCCCTCCCCACCCCGCCGCCACTCCACCCCGCACACACCCCTCCGCCCCCCCTCCCGCCACTCCACCCCACACACACTCCTCTGCCCCCCCCGCCCTTCCACCCCACACACACCCCTCTGCCCCCCCCCCGCCACTCCACCCCACACACACCCCCCTCCCAGCCCACCCCCACTCCCGCACCTTTCTGTGAAAGTCCATCTTGGTGTTGAGGAGCTGGACATAGGCGCTGGCCAACTGTCCGTACCGATCGTGCATGTGACCCTGTAATAACACACGACACAACTCAACAGGTGGAGCGTCCCCTTTTAAGACCCGCTCTCCACATCACCTCCGCCACATTCCCTTTGGAAATCCTGGGCCCGAACTGTAACACGCCCCAACCACCCACCCGCACCCCCACATCCCACATGGCCTCTCTCCTCACCCACAGGTTCCCCATCTCCCGGATGTTGCTCTTGTGCCTCGTACAGTCTTGCAGGACCTGAAAAAAAGCGAGAGGTTTCCTGTCGTCAAATTACAACCAATGACATACATGTCCGCAGGGCCGGTCCAGCGCCCCCGGGACTTCAGGAGGACGGTCAATGGGTTTGCACCCGAGTTGTGGGTGGGGGTGGGGGAGGGGGGGGTTGGCATCCAGAGGAGTGGAGGGCGAGGAGGGTGGGGGTAGAAGAGTGACCGAAAGCGCGGTCGAAGAGTAGGCGAGCCTCGGAGATGAGGGAGGAAGGAAGGGGGTGAGGCGCGGGGAGTGTGGGATGGAGTTCCAAAGGGTGCGGGGCAGAGAGACTGAAGGCCTGACCTCCAATGGTGGAGAGCAGGGGTGTGGGGGGGGGGGGGCAACACGGGGTGGGGGGGGGCGTTACCCCGGGGATAACCGGCCGAGCGTCGCTTCTGAGCGACGTGAAGCCAATTTCCCCCTCGAGAGTCGGACTGTCGACCCTCCGACAGGCGGCGTGAGCCGGGGTCGGAGCGGGGCTTGTGTTTTACCGGCCCGGTGACGGGGTGTTTGCCGTCGGCACTCACGTTGGGGTGACCGTCCCGCAGCAGCTTGTGGAGAACGTGGCAGAACTTCCAGCTCATGATGGAGCTGCTGGACAGAGGCAGCCCGATGGCGTAGGACCAGAAGGTGAAGGCACCTTTCTCGTGGTGAGTCCCCAGGATGATTCCTTCAGCCTCGTCAAGGAGCCTCGCGGCGGGGGGAGTAAACCCCACCCCACCCTTTGACCATCTGATTTCATCCTCTCAGGCTCCCCACACAATCTCTCTCTCTCTCTCTCACGCACGCACGCACGCACGCACTCTGATCAGACACACACTAACTCTCGTCCTGCACACACTCTCTTCACACACGCGCGCACACACTCTCACACACTCATTCTCTCTCTCCCGGCACTCCCATTCAATCTCTCGCTCTCTCGCTTCCTCTCACACGGTCACTCCCTCACGCTCATTCTCTCTCTTGACGCGCCCATTCAATCTCTCTCTCTCTCTCTCCCCCACGCTCTCTCTCTCCCCCGCGCTCACTCTCTCCCCCCCGCGCTCACTCTCTCCCCCCCGCGCTCACTCTCTCCCCCCCGCGCTCACTCTCTCCCCCGCGCTCACTCTCTCCCCCCACGCTCTCTCTCTCCCCCACGCTCTCTCTCTCCCCCAACGCTCTCTCTCTCTCCCCCCACGCTCTCTCTCTCCCGCGCTCTCTCTCCCCGCGCTCTCTCTCCCCCCCACGCTCTCTCTCCCCCACGCTCTCTCTCTCCCCCACGCTCTCTCTCCCCCCCACGCTCTCTCTCTCCCCCACGCTCTCTCTCCCCCCCGCGCTCTCTCTCCCCCCGCGCTCTCTCTCCCCCCCACGCTCACTCTCTCACACATTCTGTAGTCAATCCTTATCACAAAGGTCACCAGACGTCACGAGCAGTTCAATGTCACACCCATAATCCCTGAACGCACACGCACGCACACACCACGAAACCGAACACAAAACACCAGAGGGAGGAGGGTTGGCTGTTGAAGGATACTGCGGGCGTGTTTTTCCTTCACAGGTACCTCCTGCCCATTTATAGCTTTGCTGATGCTGGCAGCCTGTGCGGGTGTGAGAGAGAAAGTGAGAGTAAGTGTGTGATCGAGAGTGACAGAACGAAAGTGTGTGTGTGTGTGTGTGTGTGAGAGTCAAACTGAGAGCGAGCGAGCGAGCGAGCGAGAGCATAAGAGGAAAGCTCAAAGTGAAACAAGGACACCTTTGCTCACACCTAGGAAGAAAAATCTGTGCGATGTGCTAATCATTATAAACTGAAAATTGCTGTTAAACCGGTCTGGCCCTCCCCCAGCGAAAAGATGAATGGAATCGGGAGGGCCAAAATTCCACCGAGTCTCAGCCTTGAACGCGTTCAGGTTTCAGGTGCAGCCGAACAGAGGCAATTAATCCCAGAGCCGGTTTGAAGGACTTCACACAATAACTATAAAATAATCATCATCATCATCATCATTAATTGATGCAATCATTTGACACGGCGCCTTTATCTTGTTGTTGTTGTTGTTTCATGGCGGGAGGACCTCTCAAAACGCTCACAGGATTTACCGCAAATTGGAGGGACCGCGTGTTTGTGAGTGAACGCGGTTTTGCTTTGCTTTGCATCGTTCACACCTCTTTAACCCATCCTCCCTTGTCCTCTACCCCATTTTCTCCTTTGTCTTCCTTGCTCTGCCTTTCCCCCCACCCCTCTCCGTTCGCCCTTGAAACCCTCTCCCTCCCAACATGCCCCAGTTCTGACGAGGGGCCGTGGACCCGAAACCTTGACTCACTTTCCTTTCTCCATAGATGCTGCCTGACCTGCTGAGCGAGTGTTCCCAGCGACTTCTGTTTTTGTTTCAGATTTCCTGCATCTGTAGTATTTTGCGTTTTGCAGCCGATAATTAGTCGCTGTGTCCACACACATTCACACAGACGTACACAAACAGATATACACCCACAAATACACATGCACGTGGACACAAACAGAGGCACAGAGATATGTGTACACACACAGACGCACACACACATACACACAGATGCATAAGGACAAGGGACCTGGACCCTGATGGACAATGAGTCATTGTGACTTTCCCACCAGCTGGCATTCCTCTGTAACCCACTCACACTGTGCCCATCGCAGGCGAGGGGCATCGTGCCAGATCTCCATAGCAGCAGTCTGTCTGCCTGCCCCCCCCCCACCACCCACAACAACCCCCCCCCCCCCCCCCACGTTGGCGGTGGTTTCCCCTGAGCCCCCAGTAAAGGGCAGACGGGAGTGAGTGGCTCTGATAATGGTGGGGAGAGACTGATCCCCGGGGTTTGTGCTGAGGGCAGACACGGCAGTGGCAGCTCTCACTTTCCTCTCAATCAGTAGCCCGGAACAACGAGCCACATCCGTACAAAGTCCTGTTTGTGGTGGATGTGGGATTGAATCACAGAGCGCACACACACAGCACCGCTCTCACTCACTCACTCACACACACACACTACATTACAGAGACACACACAGCACCGCTCTCACTCACTCACACACACACACACATTACAGAGACACACACAGCACCGCACTCACTCACACACACACACTACATTACAGAGACACACACAGCACCGCTCTCACTCACTCACACACTACATTACAGAGACACACACAGCACCGCTCTCACTCACACACACACACTACATTACAGAGACGCACACAGCACCGCTCTCACTCACACACACATTACAGACACACACACAGCACCGCTCTCACTCACACACACACACACTACATTACAGAGACACACACATACAGCACCGCTCTCACTCACACACACACACACACTACATTACAGAGCGCACACACACAGCACCGCTCTCACTCACTCACTCACTCACTCACTCACTCACACACACACACACACACGCGCTGCACAGGGTTGGGAGCATTTTGTGAGAAGTGGCTGGAGGTTATTTTAACTTTGGTTCTGAATATAGTCGTTACTGAGCGGGTAACCCGAGACGCTGACATTCCCAGGCCGTCCGTTTGTCCCTAAATTGTCGACCGGCCTCACAGCTCGGTCGCAGGTTTGCCTTTCGCACGGGTTTGGTCATACTTCTCCCGAGCTGCCAACCCCGGGGGTGAGGGGTGGGGAGGGCAGGGGAACGGGACAAGGGAGACACACACAAACCAGTTCGGCCTCACGATCAACCTTCACTGTCGCCTGCCTTTGGGTCATTAATTCCAATTCTCAACGGCATGAGAAAAGGCCCCCAAAATGCAACATTTATCATTATTATTATTCATTATTATGACGAAGAAGGGAACGCCGCGTGTTCCAGCCGAGAGCGACTCGGTGCGGGTGTCAAAGCCACAGGCTGACCGACGACAGTCCCACCCGCCCCTCCCCAGGGCCAAGACCTCGCACCCACCATCCTCGGCCACACAAACATGTCGGCAAGGCTCTGTAGCTTCATTCACTTCCTTGTGCGTGTGCGTGTGCGTGTGTGTGTGTGTCTGCATTCCTCTCGGCACCCGGTTACACCTCTTCGCCAGCCACCGTCTCCTCATTAGCTCGGGAATGTGAGGAGGTCAGGGCGAGGAGGACTGGGACATAATAGTAATGATCCTTGCATTTGATTCAGTGCCTTATCACGTCGTCGAGACGTCTCAAAGCGCTTCACAGGGTGCACTGTAAAGTGGAGTGACCGTGTATTTTCGTGGGTGAAATGCGGCAGCCGATTGCGTACAGCAGCGTCCCACAAACGGCAGTGGGGGGGCGGGGGGGATGATGATGGTGTTGGGTGGGGGGAGAAAGAGAGACATGCAGTGAACATGGAGAGGAGAGACTGCACGATAAACAGACCACAAACACCCAGAAGAATGGTGGGTGGGTGGGTGGGGGGGGGGGGGGGGGGTGGGAACGTGTGTCACACACCCCCTCGCTGCTAAACACAGACCAGGGCCACAGCGCTGGTTCACTATCTGTGGGTTAACGCACTGGAGGGCATCAGGGAGATAGAGAGGGGTGGGGGGGGCGGAGGGGGGGGGGGGGGGGGGGGGGCGGAGGGGGGGTGGGGGGGGGCGGAGGGGGTGGGGGCGGCGGAGAGAGAGTGCGACTTGAGAGGCAATTCTCAGGTCAACCCACGAACAGGAGTGAAACTCTTTGTTGTTTATTTAGGGTCAAGGTGTTGAACGTGGAGCTGCGGTGCGGAGGGGAGTGGGGAGGGGGGGGATAGTCTTGTGGGGGGTGGGAACTGCTTGGAAAATTAGGAACATAGGAACATCGGAATTAGGAGCAGGAGAAGGCCATTCAGCCCCTGGAGTCTGCCCCGTCATTCAATAAGGTCGGGGCTGGTGGTTTGAATTTGATGAATTCTGGAATTCTCCAGAACATCACTGTAAATCTAGAGTCGGGTGGAATTTCTTCCCCCGTCTCACACCCGCACAGACACGCACACCCACACGCGAACACACACAGATACACACGCAAGGACACGCACAAATGTAAATCCAGGGCAGGTGGAATCTCTTGCCGCCGTGCGCGCACGTACACATAACGCGCGCGCGCACGCACGCACACAACACACCAGACACGACACACGCAGACGCAGCGCACAACACACGCAGACGCAGCACACAACACACGCAGACGCAGCACACGCAGACGCAGCACACAACACACGCAGACACAACACACGCAGACGCAGCACACATCACACGCAGACACAACACACGCAGACACAACACACGCAGACACAACACACAACACACACAGACACAACACACGCAGGCACAGCACACAACACACGCAGACACAGCACACGCAGACACAGCACACAACACACGCAGACACAGCACACAACACACGCAGACACAGCACACAACACACGCACACCTCCTATACATAAGATAACGAACAAGTTTTGACAAAAAACAAGACCGTGGCTGTGAAAGGCCGTGAGGAGAGCAAAGCACTGTTTACTGTAGACCTGTTCTCGGTGCGTGTGCGTGTGCGTGTGCGTGTGGGCGCTCTTCCTGCCCTGATGTGGCTCAGGAATTGGCTTGACATTGGGTCGGGGAGACCTGGAGTACATCTCTCAGCCTTTGATTCTCGTTTAAGGGTAACACACCAAAGACTTCTCAAAAGCCGCTTATCTTTCCCCACCTACACCGCCCCCCCCCCCCCCCCCCCCCCCCCCCACCCCCACACGCACACACACACACACACACAAGGACAGTGTGGCCGGCCGGATGATCTTTGCCCCCTCCCCCACTCGATACACACACCTAATATCAACAGAGCAGGAATTTGATGCCACGTTACAACAACAACAACAACAACAACAACAACTTGGGCTTCATAGAATCTTTCGCGTCCCGAGGACGTCCCAAAGACTGAGAAAATTCCTTCTTTTTCTTGCGGATCACTGGATGGATTTCCCTGTAGGTGGGGTGGCGGGGGCGGGGCGGGGGTGGGGGGTCTTTTCCGTCCATTGGGGTGGGGAGAGGGAGGGAGGGAGGAGTGTGGGGGGGGGGGGGGGTTAGCATTTAAACCAGTCTCGCAATCCCATCGCCACCTCGGTCTCATCTTGAACCATTTTTTTTAAAAAAAGCAAAGGAAGAAACACCTTCAATCGGAAAAATACATCAACAAATAAAAGCAGCTCAGCCTTCCCAGTCAGTCCAACACTGCGGATATAAATATTTTGTTCAAAAAAAAAGGACAAGGCTGCAATTGCAATTTATTTTCCCATTAAAAAAAAGATATTTTTGGGGGGGGATGGGTGGGGGGGGGGGGGGTGGAAGTTTTTTTTTTGGGGTGGGGGGGACACCCAAGAGGTAAAGGTATTTTTGTGTGGGGGGAGGAGGTAATGGTATTTTCTTTGGAAGGGGGGGAATGGTTTTTTTTTGGTTGGGAGGGGGGGGGGAAGGTTTTTTTTTGGAGGGGGGGGGTAGGTTTTTTTTGGGGGTGTGGGGGGGGGGGGGGGTTGCTGTCTTACCTGCTGTCTGTCAAACTGCTCTCTCTCTGCTTCCAGGCTGTGTCCAGAGCGTCTGTTGAGCACCTTTGCTGGTACCTGTCTGATGGTGTTCATGGCTGATTTAAAGGGTTAGTGTCTGTGTCTGTGTGTGAGTGAGTGTCTGTGTCTGTGTGTGAGTGAGTGAGTGAGTGAGTGAGTGTGTGAGTGAGTGTCTGTGTCTGTGTGTGAGTGAGTGAGTGAGTGAGTGTCTGTGTGTGTGAGTGAGTGAGTGTGTGAGTGAGTGTCTGTGTGTGTGAGTGAGTGTGTGAGTGAGTGAGTGTGTGTGTGTGTGAGTGAGTGTGTGTGTGAGTGAGTGTGTGAGTGAGTGAGTGTGTGTGTGAGTGAGTGTGTGTGTGAGTGAGTGAGTGTCTGTGTGTGTGAGTGAGTGAGTGTGTGAGTGAGTGAGTGTCTGTGTGAGTGAGTGTCTGAGTGTGTGAGTGAGTGTCTGTGTGTGTGAGTGAGTGAGAGAGGGAGAGAGATGAGATGAGAGAGAGAGAGAGTGGTTCCCTGAGGAAGGGGACTGTGCAGATCCACACCAGAGCTCCACTCTCCCTTTTCCCTTCTCTCTCCTTCCACACCAGTGACTGTCTCTCCGACTCAGCAGCGCTCCCCCAATGCTGCTGTTTGCATCACAGGAAAGGGTAGGAAGTAGGAAATAGGAGAGAGAGAGAGAGAGAAAATGGGAGAGAGAGAGAGAGAGGTAGTCAAACCCACAGAGAGCCACACAAGAGGATCAGAGCAGTCCCTGTGTTCCTCTCTGTGCATTGGTTTACTTGGCCAAGGATTTCACCACAGCAAAAACATCACATTACATTTGTAGATTTATCTCTCTCTCTCTCTCTATATATATATATATGTATATTTATTCATTTAGGTCAATTGGAGACTGGAGCTCAGAGCTGAGAGTCAGTGAGGATCAGAGGGTCAATGGTCAACCGCAGTGAAGACGGGAGCGCCGATGCCTGCACTTCGATACGCTGCCCCGATCCCGTCGTCGAGACGTCTCACAGCCCTTTTCGGGGGCGTGTGTCGTCTTTGATCCTCACCACCACTCCGCTTCCAAGTCTCTTAATTCCCCGGCACTTTCCCTACCTCTCCCGCCTGCCTACACACCCCACCCGCCACCCCGATCGCCAGCCACCGTCGCCTCCGCTCGACTGGCTCCAGCCTCCTTGCTCGTCGCTCGTGCCCTCCTTTCCACCGTCGGCGGCCGCACTTTCGGCCGCGACGCCCCGAAATTCTGGAGCGCTCTCCCTCAAACCCTCCCGCCACCTTCCGGTCACGCCAGAAGGTCTTCCTCTTCAACCGCGCTCACGGTCACACACATCCCCCAACCCCCAGGCTCGCTCGCTCGCTCACTCACTCACTCACTCACTCACTCACTCACTCACACTCACTCACTCACTCACTCGCATTTAAACACGCATGATGGGCTTTGACAACCTTGAGATTCCTTGCATTCCATGATTGCAGTGACAGGATGGCGTGAGGTGGAGTCAGATGAAAGTGAGCGAGCAAAGAAATTGCGCGCAACATCCTCACGAAAACAGACATCGGAAAGACGGGAAGGTTTCTGCGGTTGTGAGGGCGCGGGACAGGTGAAAACACACTTAGCTCCTGTCCCACATGAGTCTTTTGGATGCAGAAAGCCCCTCAATCATTTTATCCTGAGTAATTTTACCGTTTTTAGATCTACGCTTATGTCTGGAGTGTTTCGGGCCGCCCAGGATTTGGCAAATTATTGAAATCACAGCTTTGGTTCTCCACATCGACCCATCCTCTCCGTCCGCTCAGCGAGCACTGACCCGCCCCACCATCGGCGATCGGGCCTTCAGCCTCTCTGCCCGCACCCTTTGGAACTCCATCCCACAGTCCCTCTGCCTCGCCCCTTCCAAGGCCCATTTCAAGACGCTCCTCTACGACCGCGCCTTCGGTCATCCTCTTATCCCCACTCTCCCTGACCTCCTCCATCCCTCCCAACTGCCATCTCTGGTCCAAATCCTTGACTGTCCAGCGCCTTGGGACATGAAAGGAGCTTTATTTGTTGCTGCAAAACAGCAGTTGCCCCAGAAAACCAAACACGTGAAATCCTCTGAAACTGTAACCTTGTGGGAGCCCACCCTTAGTCTTCACAAATCGTAAAGTAAGCTCTTACACAGAGTTTTGAGGAGGTTTTAAAAAATACACTTTTATGTGTGTTGTGTAGCTAAAAATAAAAGTTTGACATTGCATTAGTACAAAGGTTACAATTTGTTTTTACACAGTGCTTCACAGACAAATTAATGCCCCCGTTTCGCTTCTGAACAAGCGACCGGCCGCGACAGGTAGAAATAAATCGTTTTGTTTTAAGAGCTGTAGTGGAAAAATATATCATAAGGATTTAAAGGAAATAAAGAAAACTGTTCTCGACAACATGTTATTTCGACTCGAGTTTCCATTTCCATGTCCCTGATCAATCAATGCTTTTATAACAGTCATATTAAATATAAAATAGGAAAAACATCAAATGAAGTACGCTCGCAATTGCTGTATCGGTTTCGAATGTTAAAGCCCTGGGCACCACGACACAGTGTGATACTGAGGGTCCCTATTTTTAACACTCACGCTCCACCATTGATTGGGGTTACCTGCACAGCAGACTGCTCTGAAACGGCAGCGCGGTTTCAATCCATCTGCTCGCTTCCTGCCAGAAACCATCTCCATTAACCAGTCACCAAGTTATTGCTAGCATTAAGCACTCTGAAGTCTAGCCCTTCTTCTCTAGGTTCAGACTGCTGTCTGTCAAAATTACAATACAAAATTACATTTGTACAGTGCCTTTCACGTCGGGAAGATGTCCCAAGGCCCTGGGACGTCCCCAGAAATATATTTCTATTAAAAAAAACAAGATCCAGGCCCCCTTCGAACTGTGAAAGATCAGTCATACGTCATCAGTTATCTCTTCCAGCAGCAGATATACATACATCGCTTACCCATCTGCCAGGACCAAAGGTTCAGTGCAGGAGAGAGAGAAACATCGTGACAGCTGCCAGGACACGGTGGGTAAAAAAACAGCAGCTCTGCCGGGCTGTCCGAAACACTACCACATCGAGGTACTCAACAAGTCTAGTTCCACTATAATCAACCTGGTGACTGACGTTCAACAGAACAGAGGCCCGGGGAAAAGGACTCCATTACAGACACGAATGGAGACAACAGCCGCCTGTTTCCATGTATTTATTAGCAACGTACATATCTTCATCCTGAAGCGTGATATCTCTCACAAGACGGTCCATTGTTAAATATTACATTTATTTATCACCAAACCAGGCTTCACTCTTGTTCCCCAGCTCATGGTTATCTCACAGGATCTCGTCTGTTTGTTAACTTACTTTGGCCCAGTCAAGGAAAAGTACAACCCGCCCAGGTGTTTGCTCAACTGTATAATTTATTTCTTCCTTTGTGTTGTGTGGACTTTCTTCTGTATTAGTGTGAGCTACCCTCCTGAAAACAACAAGAACAAATTACATTTAAACACAGCGCCTTTCATGTCGGGAGGACATCCCAAGGTGCGGGACAGTCAGGGATTAGCATCTAAGATGGGGGTTGGGATCAGGAGGGCAGGGGTAGGAGGGTGACCGGAGAGTGTCTTGAGACGTGCGTTGCAGGAGGTAAGGGAGGGAGCAAGGTGAGGCGAGTCAGGGGGAGGGAGTCAGGAAACTGCTGAGCGGAGGGAGCAGACAGGCAAAGTGGAATTAACAAGTCGCAGAGGTAGGATGGAGCAAGGCCGTCGAGGGCTTTGAAGGCGACATCATCCGAGTGAGCACAACTTAGCAAAAGCTTACATAACCCTATTCCAGAAATCGCACATTATACAATCAAACAAATGCCCTGCGTTTGATTTGCCAGTGACGGCGTGTTATGTAGGCAACCGAGGCAACGAACGTGTGCAAAGACTTCTCCCGCAAATCCCCCCCACCACACACTGACACACACACACACACACACACACAGCGTTGAAGTTAATGAATGATCGATTAGCCTGGTTGATTGTTGCTCAGGGCACCGGTAGAAACTCCTCTCTCTCTCTTCCACTCGCATCTTTAACCAGAAGGACACGCAGACAGATGGGACCTCGGTTTAGCGTCTCATCAGAAGGATCCGCAGCGATTGGAAAACCACAGAGAAGTCAGTGGCCTTGAGTACTTCCCTTTCCTCCCCCGCTTATATAAAACATGACCAAATTCAAATCTCCCTAAAGCAGATTACATCAAGTCACAGTGAGAGCGGCTTACAAAGATTTACCCAGATTTCCACTTAGGAAGCGTCGCGAGGCAAAGAGAAATCAGGTCAATGTAGCTTCAAAGCGACTGCGGTACATAACACAACCAGCCTATTACAGAAGAGACTCCCCTCCCGTTACATAGTCTGAGCTGACGCTTCGGTGCATTTTTGGTGGCGTCGTCCTTCGGATGAGACGTTAAACCGAGGTTCCGTCTGCCTGTTCGGGTGGATGTTGAAAATCCTGCGGCCCTACTCGAAAACAGAAGGGAGTTTCTATCTCACTCCCCCGGTGTCCTGGCCGACAATCCCCCAAATAAAATCGGTCACTCACTTCCGACTGTTTGTGGGACATTGCTGAACGCAGCTGACTGCCGCTTTTCGCTCACAAAACACACAATCAATCTGCTTCACGGTGTAAACTGCGAAGCGCTTTGAGACGTCTCAACGATGTGATAAGGCGCTATATCAAATGACGCAATAAGTTGCTATTGTCAAGGATTATGATAAGGTTGCGGTGGATACGGGAGGCTGTGCTGGACAGGGCTCACTCACCCTGGTATTGTTGCCGACGCTGGGGCAGGACAGGCCAGGGGGAAGCTGGGTGCTGCGCTCCAGGTTTGCCACCATCTGCCGGGACTCTGCCAGCAGCCGCTGCAGCTTGCTCGTCGGGGAACAGTCATCTCGGCAAGTCTGCGGCAGGCGTGAAAAGGTGTTACAACAGGAAAACAACAGACAACTTGTACATGCAGCGTAGCGTCCCACAGTGCTTGACAGTGTTGGAGCACGAAGCCGAGCCGAGGGAAGGTGACTGTAAGTATTGTCAAAGAGGAAGGACTTCGGCATGACCTGAAGGTGGGGAAGGAGGGGGAAAGGCGGACGGATAGAGGACGAGTGTTCCAGTGTTTCGGGCCATAGTGGCTGAAAGCGTGACCACCGATGGTGGAGCGGAGGGCACAAAAACTGATTTTTTAGGTTTTACAATACAGGGTGAATCCGAGGTCCCTCACTCTTAATAGAGGTTTTAATTATTAATTAAGTTATTTTCCCTTCACCAGCAGTCGGAGCTTCAGCCTCTCTGCCCATACCCTTTCGAAACTCCATCCTGGAGCCCCCTCCGCCTCACCCCTTCCTTCGCCTCCTTCAAGGCCTTCTCAAGACCTTCCTCTTCGACAGTGCCTTTGGTCACCCTCTTACTACCACCCTCCCTGCCCTCCACCCCTCCGGATCCCAACCCCCAGCTTCGCCAGGCGGGACGGTGGATGACGGATTGCGCCCTTGGACTATAGTAGAACGTGTTAAACCCAAACCCTGTGGGGATGTGATCAGGGTGACTGTGTCCGACTTAACTCTTCGTCAAACCTTAAAGGCGACACGGGGAAAACGGGTTCATCAACATTGCCCTCGGCTGCACTATGGATTCCCAGCGCTCGCTGCCTTTTAACCCCTAAGATCCCCTCAACCATCCACTCGCCCCCAAGCGTGAGGCGACGACTCACACTGTTGTTGGATGCGGACCCCAGCCCGCTGTCCTCGGCACTGGGCAGCTTGCCCGGCGAGGCCGGGATGCTATTGGCCGTCAGGTCATCCTGGTAACTGCCCTTCCTCCTCGACCTATCTCGCAAGGGGTTGTTGTGGGCGGCCGTTGGCGATTCCAGGCCCAACATGTCCATCTCCAGCTTCTCCTCGCTGCCGACAACAAAGGGCATGTGGTCAACAAAACCCACCACACCACCACCACCACCACGACACACAAGAGAGACGTCAGACTCCCCACCCATCGCCCATCCCAGTCAATGTTACGCCTCAAGCATTTGCACACTTCCCTCTCTAACGTGGTCACCAAGCTGTGACTTGCGAGACTTTCCACGTCCTAACAACCCTCTCCATGTTTTAAAATAAACTCTCCCCTCTCTCCCTTTCATTTTTTTTCCTCTCCCTGCCTCCCTCCCTCTCACTCCTTTTTTCCTCTGGTCCTCACTCTCTCTCCTTTTTTCCTCTCTCCCTACTCCTTTATCACATCTCGTTTGCCGGCTTCCACCAAGACGAGAAAATCTCCCCCAAAACTCTGCACCGTTTGCTCACCTGCCTGACCTGGAACGTTGTCGCTAACTCACCTTTTTTTACGGGCGCATTTAGGATTGTCTAACTCGGGTGGGAGGCCTGAGCCATCGTTCAGGTACAGCCACCACAGGTCCTTCATGTCCACGTTGGGCTGATAAATGCTCATCCACTCGGGGTCTGACTTGGGGGACCCCTGGGCGACCTCGCTCTTCTTGACCGGGAATCGGGGCCCCTCCTCCCCGGCTCCGCGCTCGCCCACCTCGGCCCCGCCGTACCTCTCCAGGAGTTTGGGGGGCTCCCAGGCCGAGGCAGAGATGGTGGGGGTGGAGGGCTGCCGAGCGGAGCAGCGGCAGCCTCCGCAGCCGGTGGTGTGGTGCTCGGGGTTGGGGTAAGCTCCGCCCCTCGCGGGCTCCGCGGGCTCCGCCCCTTTGCCCTCCGGCAGCCCCTCGCTCCTCCACCTCCTGCTCCCCAGCCCACTCTCCTCCCGCGCCTGGGGGGACCCACTGTCAGGCAATCTGGGGGTCTGCTTCGACAGCACATACTTTGTGAGGTTCTTCACGTAGTCGCTGGCGATGGTCTGCGGGGTGTAGCTGGTGAACACAGGGCTGCTGTGATCGTACTCCTTGTGCGATGGGCTGTGAGAACTCCTCACCTCTGAGCTGTAGCGCCTACCGCAGTTAGCACTGGCGGCCTCACTCACAGCCTGCTCTCTGCTCGGATTCACGCTCAGCTCAAACTCCTGGTTCTGTTTTGGCTGCATGGCCTTTGCCAGGTCATCCTTGTGCCTCACTGTGCTGCTGAAACTATCCTTTCTCTGCTCTCTGGCTGCCTCCGTCCTCCACTTCCTATACTCGTGCCCCTCAATCTGGCTCCTCCCGTCCCTACCTTGCCTCGTAGTGTCTGACTCGGAGTGTTTACTTGTACTTAAAAAGGGAGGGAGGGAGGGAGGGGGAGAAAGAGAGAGTAGATCATAGAATGGATCTTGCCAGCCAAAACAGCTTAACTCAAGAGAAAAACCCTGCCCGACTGAACACACTCTTCCTTCCTGCCCTCGCCTGCTTACGGCACAAGGAAGGTGCTTTAAGCAATGGGAAAGGAGTAGTTATGCCGCGAGGGGTGGGGGGAGAAGGAAACAGGGGATAGATGACACGCCATCCACACAATATCTCTCCCGTTTCCCAGCCCTTAAAAGGGAGTAGTGCCCAGCCTGATGGGCAGAGGTTAGTAATAATTATAATAATCCTTTTCAGTGGTAATAATTAAGTCTGAACAGCAATTACCGCAGGGGCTTTTAGCCCAATGCACAATTTGGCATGACCCTTTGACCATATTGAAAAATACTTCACTCCTTGCATTTGATACAGCGGCTTATCATGACTGAAAGCACTTCACAGAATAATCTGTAAAGTGGAGTGTAGTGACTGTGTGTTTTAGTGTTAATCCGCAACTCTCCGCAGCGGAGAGTGAGCTCACAGGGCGCTTGGCTCGGCTGGGGAAGCGTGAAAGGCACTTTGTAAATGCAAATTGTCGTTGCTGTTGTGTTCAGGATTTTTGGGGGGTCGGGGGGGAAAGCAATGGGAAAATGAATCTCTTTTAGGGAAGGAGAGAGACATTATTATCTGCAGTCAAACCTTCCCGTTTACCTGATTTCCAGAATTTTCTCCTCCTGCTTTTGAATCAGCTCCTGAGAGCTCGCCAGGTTGAGGTGTAGAAGCTGCAGGTCGTGTTGTTGCTTTTCGTTTACCTGATAGCAACAATAACTAATAAGAGCAACTAGTCTTTGTAACTGGTGACATCAACTTGTGACCACAACTAGCGATGACCCCCATAACTAATAATAATCGATAGCAACCATTACAAGATATAATCATAACAACAATAGTCCTTGCATTTGATACAACGCCTTATCACGTTGTTGAGACGTCTCAAAGCGCTTCACAGGATATTCTGTAAAATGGATTGACTCTGAATTTTGTGAATTTGGTGAAACGCGGCAGTGAATCTGCCCAGGAATGTCCCACAAACAATCGTGGACCAAGGGACCAAGTTATTTATTGGGGCTGGGGGGGAAGAGGGACTATTACCCATGGAAAACAATCCGCCAATCGACTAACAACCAACGTACTGCTAGGTAAACAGAGGCGTGGGTGGATAAAGAAACTTGCCTAAGGCGTCACCTCACCTGGGAATTAAACCTTAAAAAGAAATCCCATGTCATGAAAGGATGGGGAGTCGCTCCCGGTGAGAACAATCCCAGCGGGATGGCTAACTCCGGACTGGAGCTGTGGTGAGGAGAGCCCTACCTGCCGAAGGCCATGCAACTCTGTGTCCGCTCGCTCCTGCTTGGATTTGGCGAGCTCCAGCAACTGATCTTTCCTCTTCTCCCTTTCCACTGTGAAGAGAGCACGGAGAAAGTTCCTGAGCAATGCTTTCCCAGCTCTCTTACCCCCACCTCTCGTATCAGCCGTGACCAGGGACAAAGGGTCTCGAGAGAGAGACCTTGAGAAGGTTTAACAGGGGCGACGTGATTAAGTGTCTCGGAGATGGAGACGGGTTTGTGAGCAGTTAATACTAAGAAATTATTTTGCAGCAATTACTAAGAACGTTGCAAACTCATTCACCTGCTAAGGTCAGCTCACTGATCAGGTACTGGTTTTCTTGCTTAAGGTGAATAATCTCTTCTCTCTGCTCATTATTTTCCCCTGTCTTTTCATCTAACTCATCTGAAGGGAAGAGAAGGGAACGATCAGAGGTTATTAATAGCACGGCCGACTTGAGCCAAACCGAGACGTTTTACACTGCGTAGAACAAACAATAATCCAACAACAACAAATAAAATGTTCACAGCCCCTTTCAAGTTGGGATGACGATCCAAGGCGCTGGACAGTCAAACAATTGCACTCGAGCTGAATGTTGGGATCAGGAGGGGCGGAGGGCAGGGAGGTCAGGAATAGGACGGACGGTGACCATTGGTGTGGTCAAAGAGGAAGGTCTTGAGACGAGCCTTGAAGGAGGCAAGGTGGAGGGGCTCCGCTATGGAGTTCCAGAGGGTGGGGGCAGAGAGGCTGAAGGTCCGACCGCCGATGGAACACGAACAATGCTTTTCAGGAACACAAGCACTTCCGATATTTAAACCCCGACAGACCAGCCAGTGCCCCAGGGCAGCACCCACCTCTAAGCTTACAGATCTCATGTCTCAGTCTCTTTGAGTGTTGCTTGCAATCCTGCACCTCTTTCCTGGTGTTGGTTTCGTTCAGCCTGGCCTCTCGCAGCGCGCTCTCTAAGGTTTTGAACCTGGCTGAAAGATCGATGATGTGATTGGTCGCTTCCACCATGTCCTTGTCCTATGGTTCCCGGAGAAAGTGAGGGTAGTGAGGTAGGGGGGAGTGGCGGGGGTGGGGGGGGGAAAGTAACAATATTTTTAATGAGGCTAATAAACGAGGATAACTCACACACCCCACTAATAACAAATTAGATTTACACAGCACCTTTCACAGCAGGTGGATGTCCCAAAGCGCTGTACGGTCAAGGATGTGCACACGTCACAGACAGACACAACAGACACACACACACACCACAGACACACACACGTGCACCCACCACACCCCCACACACAGACACACATACACAGACACACCCTGAGCATGGCAGCTCCCATGCGTTGCGGTTACCTTTAGTTTCAACATGGTACTGAGCTCCTGTTCCCGGGCCTGCAGCTGCCCAACCTGTGCCGAGAGCTCCAGCATGGAGGTGTTCAGGCTCTTGTTACGCTCCTGGGCGAGAGGAGCAGAGAACCATGAGTAGGCGTTACAGTGCGGAGCCCATCAGGTTTACATTGGTGTGTTTCTCTATGAGCCCCTCAATATAATCCCCCTCTCATAGGAACAGGGCCTGTTCCACCATTCTATCAGATGATGGCTGATCTGTACCTCAACTCCACTTACCCGCCTTTGCCCCATATCCCTCAATACCCTGAGCTAACAAAACATCTAGCTGCCTCAGTCTTGAACATTTGAATTTATCCAGTGTCCACTTCCCCCCATCCCCACAATCCCCTCAAACCCTTTAACATCAAAAGAACCAGAGGGGAGATGAGGAGAATTTTTGTTGAGGCAGCGAGTTGTTACGATCTGGAAGGCATTGCCTGAAAAGGATGGTGGAAGCAGGTAAAATAATAACTGTCAAAGGGAATTGGATAGGTACTCGAATAGAAAAACAATTGCAAAGTTATGGGGGAGAGGAGCTTATTGGAGGACATTTGGTTCATCATGCTCTTTCACAGGCTCGATGGGCCAAATGGCCTCCTTCTGTGCTATAGGATTCTACGATCTCTCTGCTCCGGACAGCCATACCTCGAGCTCCTCACAGTTGCTGACAGCCTCTCCTGCCTTGTGGTTGGTTTCCTGTAGCTGTTGCTGAGTGCTGCTCAGGGCTTTCAGGCAGTCGTTTTGCTGAGCCTCCAGGATCTTGTGCTGCGTCGTCAGTGTCCGAATCAGCTCGTTCCTCTTTCTCAACTCGTCTTTGTTCATTCAAAAGACAAACGCCGAGACGTTACTAAGTGGAGATGGTGCAGGGACGCAACATCACCGCGACAATCCACTCCAATCCCTTCCTCTCCCCCCAGCCAACCAAAACCAGCTGATATTAATTTTCCTAAAGTCCATTATTATTCAATTGCCTTCGCAACAACAACAAATTGCATTGGCACAGTGGCCTTCAAGCAGGGAATGCTGAGCAATGGCGTCAAGCTGGGGAGAGAGGGGAGGTGATCGTAGGAGTGGTCGAAGAGGAAAGTCTTCAGTCAATGCTGAGAGAGACTGGGCGCGATCGAGTCCCTGAAAGATTTTGGGCAGTTAATGTTTTCTCCTGAGGAAATCTTGGCTCTTTCAGGGCTGGTTTCAAGACCCTCCCTCTTTGACCTTCAGTCACCCTCCTACCACCACACCTCCTGCCCTCTACCCATCCTGATCCCAACCCCCAGCTTGGGTGCAAATCCCTGATTCTCCAGCACCTTGGGATGTCCTCGCTAAGTGAAAGGCACTGTGTAAATGTAATTTATTGTTGTTGCCCTCCAGCCTGCGATCCCATCCCCGACAGCCTGCTCTGTGCGCGCACACACATACACACACACACAGCTCTGTGTAAACGCCTGTCAAACCTACACGCCTGTCAAACCTACAACAGTCTCTCCTGTCAGTACTGACTTTCCAGCTTGGCGCATCTCTCCTCCAGCGTGAGTATCCGCAGGCGGTCCTCCTCCCAGGCCAGCAGTTGTTTCTGATGAGCCGCCACCATCTCATTCAACTCTCGATCCCGGTCTTTCAGCTCCATCACTAGAAGCTGGAGCTCGTTACGCTGTTTCTGAATGGTCGAATTCTCTAAATCCAGGTTCCCGTTCTGGAGGGAGGGAAGTGGGAGGGAAGGTAGAGTCACTGTAGTGTAGTTGTTAGTGCGCTTGCCTTGCAAGAGAGAGGATCTGGATTTGATTCCTGGGCGGGTCAGGACGAAACATTAGGTAAGTTTCCTTACTCCACACACACCCACACACCTCTGGTTACCTAGCAGTAAGTAGGAACCCGGTTGTTAGCCAATTGGCGGACCAAAAAATAAATTGGTCACTCAATCCACGACTGTTTGTGCAACACTGCTGTGAGTAATTGGCTGCCGCGTTTTGCTCACAAAATACACAGTAAATTGACTTTACAGTATAATCTGTGAAGCGCTTTGAGATGTCTCAATGACGTAATAAGGTGCTCTATCAAATGCAAAGATTATTATTATTATTAAAGAGAAGACATCAGTCAGCGCCGAGTTTCTTGTGTTTCTGAACGCTCTGGGACGCTACCCTGAGTGAGCAGCACTCTATAAATGCAAGGTGGTGTTGTGGTGGTGTGAGGTGTGAGAATGTCTCTGCTTGCTCGCCCGCCGGCTTTTACTCACACTTTTTACAGAGGTATTGTACGGGGGGACGGGATGCATTGCCTTTGTAGAGCACACTTTAGATCTTGCTCCGGTGGCTTGGCTGGTGTCTTGCATTTTACCAAAGTTCAACCTCGAGTCGCCAATAGATTTGGGGCAGTTAATGTTTTCTCCTGAGGGCTGAGAATTCCGGACAAATGGTCACTTTCACAACATACATCTTTAAACAATAACGTGCGTTTTTATAGCGCCCCTCATGCAGGGTAGTGTCCCAGAGCGCTTGACAGTGGTGGAGCACGATGCTGAGCCGGGGGTGGAAGTGTCCACGAAGAGGAAGGTCCTCAGGTGCGACCTGAAGATGGGGAAGGCGGAGCGATAGAGGAAAAATGCTCCAAAGTTTCAAGGAGTAGTGGCCGCCGCTGGTGGAACGTAGGGCACTAGGGACGAGCAGGAAGCTGGAGCCAATCGGCTCTTCTCTCTGCATTATTGCCCATACCTTAGATTTTGGAGTGCTGTGCCATGGCTCGAGATGACTTTCTGCAAGAGAGTGAAAGTGGAATGAAATGCATGTTCCATGTGCACTGCAATCAAATACTGGAAAACAGAAGGAACCCTACAGAACGTTCAGAATAATTCCTCTCAAACATGGGCAAACAGGGCAGTCAATATTGTGCCCAGCAATGCCCCACAAGCAGCCGTGAAGCAAATGAGCAGCTGTATCTGAGGGAATGTTGGTCAGGATAGTGGGTGAGAAAAATTTCTCTTGAGTAAAATCATAGAATCCTAAAACACAGAAGGAGGCCATTCGGCCCATCGTGCCTGTGCTGGCTCTTTGGAAGAGTTATCCAATTAGTCCCACTCCCCCGCTCTTTCCCCAAAGACTTGCAATTTTTCTGCTTTTTAAGTATATATCCAATTCCCTTTTGAAAGTTATTATGGAATCTGCTTCCAGCACCCTTTCAGGTAGTGCGTTCCAGATCGTAACAACTCACTGCATTAAAAGAAGTCTCCTCATCTCCCATCTGGCGCTTTTGCCAATTAACTTAAATCTGGGTCCTCTGATTACCGAACTATCTCCCAGAGAAAACAGTTTCTCCTTATTTACTCTATCAAAATTTCTCATAATAATCCCATGGGATCTTTATCGTCTGCACAGGTGGGACCTCATCTTAACGGAAAGAGGGTATCTCCGACCATACAGCGCTCCCCCCACCCCAGCAATGCACTGCACTGGATGTTTAGTTTAGTCCCACTTGTTTGAGTAAACTCAAGAGTTCCCGACATGGAAGATGGGTGGAGGGGGCGGCTACAACCCACAACAGTCAGACTCAAGAGACGAGAGTGCAAGTGACTGAGCCAGGCTGACACCTGGCTTGCAGAGTACCTGAGGTAGAATTCGATGCATTTTTGTGTTGCCTGGGATTGATCGCGGCCAAGTCTCCAGACGGGAGATCCTCCATCTCAACACATGGTACCTGGGTCAGTGCAATAAGAGATTGTTAGTCCTGACACATGTGTTCCTCCCAAACACCGGGAATTATTATGCAATAATAGTAATAATCCTTGCATTTGATACAGGCCTTACCATGTCTTTGAGACGTCTCAAAGCGCTTCACAGGATATACTGTAAAGTGAATTGCCTGTATATTTTGTGGACAAAACGTAATGCAATCGCAAGGAGGAGCATTCAACTTCATCAACATCATTCTAATTGAGAGGATCATTCAAATGAGACGAGAGGGGGGGGAGGGGGGGCAAAGACAGAGGATGAGAGGGAGTCACACACACACAGATAAAGAGGGTAAAGGAAGACACATTGAAGGTAGAAATATAACCCATTGTTTCCATTTTACTTTGAAAACAACAAGCACAAGTTTACACAAGTTCAAAGCTCCGTTACCGCAGAGCACGGCTCGTTTTCCAATTCTTTCCCATCGCTTCGGGCACGCCTGGCTACGATCTTGAGAGAAAACAAACAAAAAACCCAGGTCCACACAGAAAAAAAAACTTGAACCTGCTTCCCTGGAAGTTTATACATCTACGTGATTAATATCAATCAAACAGGTTTAGCAGCTTCTCTGTAACAGACAATAACAACAAATTCCATTTGTTTAGAACCTTTCGTGTTGGGAGGATGTGCCTGGGTGCTCGGTGTATCCAGTCCTGGAATAAGACAGATCAACGACGGCACAATTACCCGAAATACTCACCATTCTGAGAAAGTTGGAGATAGTGGAATTCAGAGCCAACTCTCCAGATCTGAATAAGCAGGCAGAGGAAAGAAGTCCAGAACCACACCTATAAACATACCATGTAATTCCAACCGCAGCGACATGAAATGTTTATTTGACTGGATGATCCAGGGAAATTTTTACAAATATTTAACCATTTAGCACGAGTCACATGATGCGGGATCGCTGCACTTGTGAGCTCATAATATTCACCATCCAACCAATCACTGGGCTCCCCAGACATCATGGTGGGGGCTGTCATGAACCTCACTCCCCTTTCCCCCCATCCCGATCCTCTCCTTTCCCCAGCTCGTTCCCTCCCCCACTACCTGAACAGAAATACACAGAACCCACTTTGACATTTCATAGTTCACAGAATCAGTCAGTTCTGCCCATGACTTTTGCATTGTTTTTTCCATCTAGACACCTTCCCTCCCAACCGTTATTCCAATTGAATTGGCTGCCGCGTTTCGCCCACAAAATACAGTCAATCCACTTTACAATATATTCTGTGAAGCTCTTTGAGACATCCCAATGACCTGTTAAGGTGTTATATCAAATGCAAGGATTATTATTATTATTAATCTTTTAATCAAGCGTGTATCTAATTACCTTTTTAAACGGATTTACGGGCTGTGGCTGGACAAAGGTTCGTGGCAGAGAATTCCACATTCGACCACCTTGCGTGGAAAGATTTTTTTTCCCCAACCTCCCCTTTTAAATCCTTTCTGCGATTATCTTAAATCTATGCCTTGAGGTGTGCCAAAAGACACATAGCATTGTTCCCACTGCACAGTCACACCGTGTTAAGAGTACCAACACAGTGGTGTACAAATGGATCGCTTTGAGGTTTGAGAATATTACCAAGTTTAGAATAAGGTTTAGAACAAAGGCAGTAGTCAAGACCTCCACTGGACACGTGAACATTGAGACACACTCTCCGACTCACTTTTGGAGTAACTGTTTCTCTTCTTTTGGAGTAACTAAAACACTCTCTTTTTCAGTGAGCGAGCGAGCAAGAGATAGCTTCTCTCTCCCTCTCATGTTCTCTATTTTCTGCTAACACTGGTGCCCGTGTTCATCTCTCTCTCTCTCTCTCTCTAACACGTGCTTCAGTCAAAATACTGTATTAGTGTGTGAGCCTCTCTGTCCCTCACGGTATCAGTGTGTCTGAGAGTCTGTGTGTCTTTCTGTACTCATTGTCTGTGTCTCTCTCTCTCTCTCTCTCTGTGACAAAGTGCGTCTCCCAGTGTGTCGGGGTGCGTGTCTCTCTCTGTGTCGGGGAGTGTGTCTCCCTATGTGTCGCCCTGTGTGTTGGGGTCTGTGTGTCAGGGAGTGTATCTCTGTGTGTGTCAGGGTCTGTGTCTCCCTGTGTGTCAGGGTCTGTGTCCCCGTGTGTGTCGGGGAGTGTGTCTCCCTGTGTGTCGGGGAGTGTGTCTCCCTGTGTGTCGGGGTCTGTGTCTCCCTGTGTGTCGGGGTCTGTGTCTCCCTGTGTGTCGGGGAGTGTGTCTCCCTGTGTGTCGGGGAGTGTGTCTCCCTGTGTGTCGGGGAGTGTGTCTCCCTGTGTGTCGGGGAGTGTGTCTCCCTGTGTGTCAGGGTCTGTGTCTCCCTGTGTGTCGGGGTCTGTGTCTCCCTGTGTGTCAGGGTCTGTGTCCCTGTGTGTGTCGGGGAGTGTGTCTCCCTGTGTGTCAGGGTCTGTGTCTCCCTGTGTGTCGGGGTCTGTGTCTCCCTGTGTGTCAGGGTCTGTCTCCCTGTGTGTCAGGGTCTGTGTCCCCGTGTGTGTCGGGGAGTGTGTCTCCCTGTGTGTCGGGGAGTGTGTCTCCCTGTGTGTCGGGGAGTGTGTCTCCCTGTGTGTCGGGGAGTGTGTCTCCCTGTGTGTCAGGGTCTGTGTCCCCGTGTGTGTCGGGGAGTGTGTCTCCCTGTGTGTCGGGGAGTGTGTCTCCCTGTGTGTCGGGGTCTGTGTCTCCCTGTGTGTCGGGGAGTGTGTCTCCCTGTGTGTCGGGGAGTGTGTCTCCCTGTGTGTCGGGGAGTGTGTCTCCCTGTGTGTCGGGGAGTGTGTCTCCCTGTGTGTCGGGGAGTGTGTCTCCCTGTGTGTCGGGGAGTGTGTCTCCCTGTGTGTCGGGGAGTGTGTCTCCCTGTGTGTCGGAGTCTGTGTCTCCCTGTGTGTCGGGGTCTGTGTCTCCCTGTGTGTCGGGGTCTGTGTCTCTGTGTGTGTCAGGGTCTGTGTCTCCCTGTGTGTCGGGGTCTGTGTCTCCCTGTGTGTCGGGGAGTGTGTCTCCCTGTGTGTCGGGGAGTGTGTCTCCCTGTGTGTCGGGGAGTGTGTCTCCCTGTGTGTCGGGGTCTGTGTCTCCCTGTGTGTCAGGGTCTGTGTCCCTGTGTGTGTCGGGGAGTGTGTCTCCCTGTGTGTCGGGGAGTGTGTCTCCCTGTGTGTCGGGGAGTGTGTCTCCCTGTGTGTCGGGGTCTGTGTCTCCCTGTGTGTCGGGGTCTGTGTCTCCCTGTGTGTCGGGGTCTGTGTCTCCCTGTGTGTCGGGGAGTGTGTCTCCCTGTGTGTCGGGGTCTGTGTCTCCCTGTGTGTCAGGGGTGTGTGTCTCCCTGTGTGTCGGGGTCTGTGTCTCCCTGTGTGTCGGGGTCTGTGTCTCCCTGTGTGTCGGGGTCTGTGTCTCCCTGTGTGTCGGGGTCTGTGTCTCTCTCTCTGTGTCTCAGCCTTTGTCCCGCCGGGGTCCTTTCTTACAAACACAGGTGTCTGCCGCAGAGCCGCAACGGATATGTATTTAAAAAAATCAAAGTGACCCAACAATAGAATCGTGATCAATAAAATCTCTCGGCGGGAGGGGAGGGGGAGGGGGAGGGAATACACTGATCACAAATCGAACCAGCGGGACAGCAGAAACCATTTGCTTTGCAAAATATGGCGGTAAAGTCAGTCAGGCAGTCTCGGGGGGCGACTATGTGCGCGGATTGCGGGTGCCGGCGGGTAGGAGAGGACCCGGAGCTGCTGCAGACGGATACACCGCACAGAGCGGCTGCGGAGGTAAATGTCGGGGGCGAGAGGGGGGGAGAGAGAGAGAGAGAGAGACACACACACACACACCGTGGCCGGGCTCGGCCTGGCGACCCGGGGGGAGAGCCCGGGGTTCGCGTGTTGCCGAGGGGCAGTGAGGGTGAGGCTTCCCCCTGGGGTGGGTGGGGAGGGGGGACCTCCCTGGCCATTTGTCCCCCGTCCCCCCCCACCCCCACCCCCTAAAATACCATATATATACATAATATACTATGTTGTAATATGTGTTCTATATTTTAATATATTACTCATGTTCTATATTGTGATACATACGACATATAATTCTATTTTAATTTTTTTTGAAAAAAAACAATATGTTTTGATCTATAATTCTGTATTGAAATCTAGATATATATATATAAAGTATATAACAATATATATATATATATATATGCATGTCTGCGTCAAAACCTCAACATACTTTACGTTGTCAGCCCACGGCAGGTGTAGAAGCTTTGACAGCGCAGCGATGGTAATTGACGGAATCGGGTTGAGGAGTGCAGTCTCGTAGCTTAGTGATTAGAACGCTCGCCTCCCGAGCGAGAGGACTCGGGCGGGGGGCGAGACCTTAGGCAAGTCTCCGCACTCCCCACTCCTCTGTCTACCCAGCAGTAAGTAAGAATCCAGTTGTTAGTTGACTGGCAGATCGCTTTCCAGGGGTAATAAATCTCCCCCCCCCCCATCCCCCCCCCCCCCCGCCCTCCACACCCCAAACAATACTGTCATTCGGTCACTCAATCCATGACTGTTTGTGGGATACTGCTGTGCGCAATTGGCTGCCGAAATACAGAGTCAATTCACTTTACGATATATTCTGTGAAGCGTTTTGGGACGTCTCGACATCGTGATGTGGCGCTACATCGAATGCGAGGATTATTATTATTATGAGCCGGGGCCTCGCTTGTGGCCAAGCGCGGACTCGCTTGCTTTAGAGCTGAAGAATGTGCGTAATCTTGTCTCTCTTTTTTTTTCTTGGGTCGTCAGATTCATAGGATGGCCACAACTGAAACGATGCTACCTGAGAATAAAGGGGAAGGAAAACCATCCCGAAGCGATATTCAGTATCCATTGAAAGTACTCTACTGTGGAAGTAAGTTCCTCAGACAACAATGGCGAGAGTAAGCAGCAGCGAAGGGCCAAATGACCTCCTTTCACGCTGTAAACTCCACACGATTCTTTTTACACCCAGGACATTTTTAAGGGGTTCTGGAATTTCCCAAACTGATTTTTTAGCTGAAATAAGTTGGAAATGTTAATGCGAGCTCATATTTTTTTAAGTCACTCTTGTGTTTTTCCCTCTTCTTTCCAGTTTGCTCATTACCCACAGAGGTAAGTGAATTCCATTACTTTGCAAATAGATTGTACTTCTCTTAGTTACCGTCTCTCTGTTGTTTATAAAAATGTAAACCTCTCACTCTAGTTTAATACTGTACCACAGAGGCTGAGAAAGTTTTCAGATCGCCGAGTAATTTAGACAAACGAGTGGATTTCTGTTGTGCTGGGTTCCCTTTAGCAGTATGCTAGACTCTAGTGTGGTGTGGGTTTGCAATTTATTTGGGGGGGGGGGGGGGAGATGGAGTGTGGGGCGGTTTCTGTGAATGAACGCACTTTGTCAGAGAGTGGGCTGAATTTTATCTGTGTTAAATGTATACCATGAGTTACACTTTTTGTCACTAGGTGTCGGCTTGGGTGCTCATTAAATGCACCACCCAATGTGCTGTCACTGACATGGGAGCTTGGTAGCTGCTTAGATCAGCGAGACCTCAGCTCAGCCAAGACCAAGAGATGAGACACCCTCCACGTAACTTGTTTCCTGAATCCACAGGCTGGGAGTGAGGGAAGCTCCTGGCTAAAGAAACTATTGACAACTGCTGTGCTTTCCTTCCAGTATTGTGAATACATGCCCCAGTACACCAAGTGCAGACAGTGGCTGGAGAAGAACTGTCCTGAGGAGTTTGCAAAGCTTAGTATAGGTAAAGGAGGGAACAAAGGGGTGACTTACTGTACTACTGGATTGATACTGAGCTCTCCACTCAGCGCACTCTGGCCTGCTTCATGTCCCCCACCCTGCCCACCCCACCATCAGCCACCATCCACTATTGGTTGGGCCTTCAACCTCTCTTTGGAACTCCATCCCACAGTCCCTTCGCCTTACTCCCTTCCTTGCCTCCTTCAAGCCCCACCTCAAGACTTTACCCTTCGACCACGTCTTCGATCACCCACCCCATCCTCCCTGCGCTCCGGCCCTCCTGATCCCAACCCCCAGCTCGGGTGCAAATCCTTGATTATCTGGTGTCTCTGGACGTCCTCCCGACATGAAAGGTGCTGTGTAATTGTCATTTGTTGTTGTTGGATTACTGTTTCGAAATATGAATGAATGGTTGAAATCTTTTCTGGGTGTTTCTGGGGAGGCAGTTACTGGGATCCGCCGCTAGGAGGTGTTTGAGGATTGATGTGTTTTGCACTGAGTGGGTCTGTGTTGCTCCTTGTGTTTAAAGCAGATCAATGCCTACAGCAGGACGCGGGGGGCGGGGACACGCCCGCGGGAGAGGAAAAAGAAAAGAAGAAACAAACGAGAGGTACCTGATTTCCTGGTTTTCTCCTCTCCTAAATGCGTTTTAACTGTCCCAAATCCTTGACTGTCCAATGCCTTGGGACGTTGCCCCGCCGAGAACTGTGCTGTGTAAATGTAATTTGTTGGATGTTAAACTCCTCCACCCCCCCCCACCCTTTCCTCCACTGTGGGTTGCCATGTTGGGTATTATTCACGTGTGAGCCTTAACGATTGGTGTCGACATAGTATTCAACAACGCCGGGGAGGGGGAGGGCATGATATGATCTTCTGGACATCTCAAAGCAGAATTCCTGCAGTTCAGTGTGATGCTGACCTGATTTGCAGGTGGCATAGCGAGTACTAGCACGGCTTTTCGGGAAGGAGCAGGGGAGAATGAGATTAGAGTAGGGAGAGTGCGGATGCATGGAGCTGAACAACCTTTTTCCCCGGGGGGGGGGATCTGAAAGAGCAACCCCTGCAGTGATGAGCTAGTTTGAGCGGTTCTCTGTTTCCCTCTCCAGGCGGCAGAGGTGTGATTAGAAACAAGAAAAAGACGGTGCCCCAGAAAGTCACGATAGCCAAAATTCCACGAGCCAAAAAGAAATACGTGACCAGAGTGTGCGGCCTGGCAACATTCGGCAAGTATCCGTCCGGATTCTCTCCACGTTTTGCGTGCAAATAAAAAAAATGGAATCGGGAATATTCCGCCAAGTGTCCCGTATTCTGACAGGAAACTGGGAACAGGCAAAGGCCATTGGCCGGTGAGTCCAGTTTTGTCACAAATTTTTCCCCATCCTCTCCACTGTGCTTACCAATTGCTCTCATTAAGCCCCTTGATCAGATCCTCCCCTAACCTCAACTCTTGGATGTGTAAAGCCAGTTTAGCCCCAGCCTCTGGGGGTGGGGTTCATGGTTAAACTCGTTTACAACAACATCATGCACTTATATAGTGCCTTCTGCGCTATTATATATATATATATGTAAATATATATATATACCCATCATAACAATCTGCCTGGATATCAATCTGTCTGAGTTCTCTCTAAGGTTAGTACGAGTTTCCTAATTATGGTTCCTTCGCTCTTTTCCTCTGTCCTCACCGATATATTTTTAAATGATCAAATGCCCCCGAGATGATAACTTGAGCTCACCCTGTAGACGTGCTGGGTGGAGAGATACTCGTTATGCACACTACCCATGACAATAATCCTTTTTTCTGCGTTAAAAAAAAAACGAAACAGAGATCGAGTTAAAAGAAGCACAGAGGTTCTTTGCTCAGAAATTCTCGTGCGGGGCTTCGGTTACGGGGGAAGATGAAATCACGATTCAGGGCGACGTGACGGACGATATTATGGATGTTATTCAAGAGAAATGGCCTGAGGTAAGAAACCTCCGTGATCGTGACCCTGTCGCCTCCATCCTCGCCCGACTCCACTGGCTCCCCATTCCCCAGGGGAGTTCAAAATCCTCATGCTCGTTTTCAAAGCCCTCCACGGTCTTGCTTCTCCCTACCTCTTGTGACCTGCTAACTTTACTCCCCCTGCCATGTACCCATCCTGATCCCAACTACTGTCCTTGACTGTCCAGCACCTTGGGATGTTCTCCCGACTTGAAAGGCACTGGTAAATGTTATTTGTCGTTGTTGTCTTCTGTTTGCAGGTGGATGACGAGTCCATTGAAGATCTTGGCGAAGTGAAGAAGTGAGGTGACAGACAGACAGCGCTTTATCATTCTGGTCAGCGGGCAAAATCAATTCGGCTAAAAGATCAAACACAATCAAGCTTTTTATTAAAGACATCCCCTTCCTCCTCCTCCTCTCCACAAATGGCCTCAGTGGATTTGAGGCACTTACTTATTGTTTGGTTGCCAAAGCCCCTGTGGGATTCCTGGATCACATTGAAGAATGTTGTGTGCACTAAGTCCTTGGTTTAATAAAAGTCTCAGTTTGGATTTCATGCCAATTTGTTCTTGTCTGAACTTCTCTGTCATTTACCTGTCCTTGTGGTTAACACTTTCTGCGCCTTTACCTTGTCAGCATGGTGCTCGGGTGCTTTAATGACAACAAATTAGAATCCGGGGGAAAATACAGCAGACACAATTGTGAAACATCTTCTCACTGGACATTTAATAAGTTGAAGCTAAGATAGTAATTAAGGCAGTTTCCTCATGGCTTTTTACAGAAATGAATCCTAGACTTGGAACCAACAAATGGCTCCACAAACAGTAGAACCCTGTTATAAGGTGGTAGTTGAAGTCCATATTATTTCCAATCTGCCTTATAATGGGGTGTGAGCGTGAGTAGCTCTGGTCAACACACAGCGCATATGCTCAGACACCGCCCGACTCCACTTGTATATGCAGGATGTAGCAAGTGGTGTCGCCGTGACCTGAGCAGCCAAAACCAAAAGCAATGGTGTTCCCACTAGCGTAGGGGTTAGTGCGCTCATCTCACAAGCAAGAGGACCCGGGTTCGGTTCCTGGGTGGGGCGAAACCTTAGGCAAGTTTCCTTACTCCATACGTCTCGGTTTACCTAACAGCACGTAGGAACCCGGTTAGTCAATTGGCGGATCGCTATCCGGGGGTAATAATCCCTCAAAAAAAAATTCTGGAGGGTCATTCAATCCACAACTGGGACACTACTGTGCGCAATTGGCTGCCGTGTTTCGCCCACAAAATACAATCAGTATATTTTACAATATATTCTTTGAGGCGTCACAATGATGTGGTAAGGCAGTATATTAAATGCAAGGATTAATATATTATTCCAACAGTGGGTCAGCTGAAAACCAGTGTTATAACCTGGGCCAAAGTGCAGGGAAACTTGCAGGGGGGTGGGGGTTGATTGATGCTATTGAGGAACATTTTACTGCCAATCTACAGTTTTTCATTTTATTGATAAAAACTGAACATGAGAAAATATCAATTATTACAAAAAAATTGCTTCTTTAACAAAATACATAGACACAGAGAGACTCAAACACACACATACAGACCCGGACATTCACATAGAGACACTCACAACCACATACAGAGGAGAGAGACAAATGGATAGACATTGAAACTCAAAACATACACATTCACACAGACACTCACAAACATGGAGAGACACTCAAAACACATACACTCAGACAGGAGAGACACATAGAGACACCCGCAAATACAGAGAGAAACAGACACACACATACAATAACAACAAGATTACATTTGTACAGTGCATTTCCCGACGGGAGGATGTCCCAAGGCGCTGGACAGATCATAACATGTCAACGCAACAACAACTTGCATTTACATGGAGCCTTTCATGGATGAAGTGCCTCAGAGTGCTTGAAATCAGCTGTTTGAGATACATATATCTCCTGGGGAGCAAACAACTTACCAACAAAGTCTACCTGTTCAAGAGGATGTTGAAGATCCAGGGACAGTGTTGGAAAAGAGAAGGGAGCTTCTCTGCTGAGTCCTGGCTGACAGAGAAAATCAGTCACTTATTTCATCCTTGTTTGTGGGACTTTGCTGTGTGGCTGCTGCAAATTGCCTCCAGAAACCGAGCCACTGCGCTCCACAACAATCCCACCTGTGATGTTCCAACCCACATCATAGTTCCCGAGCTCCCCTTGGCTTCACTCAGGCACTGAACGTTTCGGTAGTTTGGCAGTCAACTGGACTCCGTTTGCTTGGCTTGTCCTCAAGCTCTCCCTCCTGGGAAGGAGCCTCGGTGTCGGTGGCTGCCCCCGAGCGGCAGGTGTTGAGCGTCCCAAGGCGCTGTACAGTTGGGTCAGGACCCGAGCATTGGGGGGGAAATGGTCAGGGTGAGGGGAGGGTAGGGAGGGAGCGAGGAGGGGGTAGAGAGTCGAGAGGGGAGCTGAAGGCTGAAGGTCAAAGAGAAAGGTCTTGAGACCGGCCTTGAAGGAGGAAAGGGAGGAAGCGAAGGCGAAGGCACTGGGGGATAGAGTTCCAGAGCCTCGGGGTTGAGAGGCTGAAGGCCCGGCCACCGATGGTAGGGCAGTTGGGGCGGGGGATGTGGAGCAGACCGGAGCCAGAAGAACGGAGGGTACGGGTAGGTAGGTAGGTAGGGGGATAGTAGGTCGGAGAGGTAGGAGGGAGCGAGGCCGTGAATGGCCTTGTAGGTGAGGATGAGGATCTTGAAATCGATCCTCTGGGGGATGGGGAGCCAGTGGAGGCGAGCGAGGGTGGGAGTGATGTGGTCACGAAGCCTGGTGCGGGACAGTACACGAGCTGCAGAGTTCTGAAAACAGTCCTCAGCAAACATACAAGATCAAAGTTGGCTAAAGTTAGGACAAAGTTACAAGTGACTGATTGCTTTGTAAGAGACGTTTTCCAAGCGCAAGCAAACAATTATGCAATTATCTGGTCCTGTGCCCTCCACACAAGCAGAGGTGCAATTAATACTCTAACCCACGTTTAAACCACCAGTAATATTAATAATAATAATCCTCATGCCCAATACGGGGCCCGTGTCTCGAAGAGCTTCCCAGCCAAATACCGTGAAGTGTAGTGACTGTGTATCTGCAGACAGAGAGAGAGAGGGATACAGGAGTGGAGAGAGAAGGCGGGAGGAGAGAGGGAGGGGCACCAGCGAAGTGCCACAAACAACCACAAAGCGAATAATCCATTTCTCTGGGGGATTTTGGACCATGACACTGGCTGAAATCTACTTCTCATTTCCCAAGTGTCACAGAGACTGCCTTCCGGGCATTCATCACATCTAATAAGCGAATGAGTAAACAGAGGCGTGTGGAGTAAGGAAACTCGCCCAACATTTTGCCCTGCCCGGGGATCAAACCTGCTCACTTGCGAGGCAAGTACTTTAACCACTAAGCTTCAGGACCCCACAAACAGTGTGCAAGCAGCCCAGGGGCCAGCAGGGAAGAACAATGTCTTACAGCTGCTGGAAATACAGCTTCATCATTGTAGACAGGACCAGAAGAGGAATATTACAGTGTGGTTAGTGTTTGATAACCACTGACCTCTCTCTCAATAAACGTCCTAACCATTGCAAACAGCAGCAGCAACAACAAATTGCACCCATGAATATTGATGCTATCAGCGCCTGAGCTGAGGAGTCGCCGACAGGAACCAAGCAGGAGGGCCTCGGTCTTATCGACGTTCAAAAGGAAAAAGTTACATCATCCAGGACTTGATGTCCAACAGACAATCCACCAGGACAGCAACGGTCTTGGAGTTGAGTGTGGAGGCACAGAAAGAGTTGGATGACATCCGCATCAATATATTATCATTATATTATTATGTGCAAACGATTTGACCCATTATAATAATCCTCATGTTTGGCTATAGCAGATTATGAAGTAAAAACATCTAAGCCCTTCACAGAATTATTTTCTCTGATCAGTGTAATGACTGTGCATTTGTCGTGTTTGCTCCTCCTGTAACGACATCCATCTCAATTCCTTGCTCTTCCCCACTTTGCATGTTGTAACCCTTTCGTCATATGAAACAGTAAGCAAATGAGTCAATAGCCTCTATGGCGCTGCTTGACAGCTGGTTCCAAGTCCCAAGTTACATAAAATGTTTCCTCACACAAAGGGTAGTGGAGGCACTGAGCCACCAGGCCATAAATTGGGATAGTAAATAGAGAGATGGACAGACACTTGGAATGCAAGAATATGAAGTGGAAGAGGGAAGGCATAGAGAATGCGATGGGACTGAAAGATCTGCCATGATCTAATACACTGGCAGAGCAGAGTCAATGGACTGTATTCATTTGATATCTCTACTCTTCCCCCTGGACAGCCATTCTTCGCTCAGTTTGGTTCAAGCCAACATTAGGACTTGAGCTCCCAGTCTAGACCAACATTGTGAAAGTTGCTTTTTTTGTATAAAATCAAATGTTGAGCAAAAGTTCACACATCCCACAAACCAAACCAATTAAACAATTGGTGCCTCTGAACGCACCAGGCTTAAATCGAACTTAACGCTCCATCGGGCTGGACCGATTTGGCTGGACCTTATCAAATCCTACCTCTCCACCCACACCTCCACTAAATTGTCGTTCTATTCCAAGACAATCTTGGAGGCCAAGGACAACCTCAGGCTCCTCTTCCCCATCACCAACCAGCTCCTCCCCCTCTCACTCCTCGCCCATCCTCACCTCCAATGCCAACTGCGAGGCGATGCTGGACTTCCTCAAACCCAAAGTCGAGGGGATCTGCTCGGCTACCTCTACCTTTCCGTCTACTACACCCTCCCCATCTCCTCTTCCCACCCTGGCCCATACCCATCCCTCCCTCCACACCTTTGAACCTGTCTCCCACTCCTCTCTCACCACCACTATAACCTGCAAGAAACCGACTACTTGCTCCCTGGACTCCATCCCTCGTACTCTCCTTACCTCCCAGCTCCACCTCCTTGCCCCTCTACTCAAAGACATCATTACCCTCTCTCTGTCTACTGGTACTGTTCCCACCACATTAAAAAAACTGCCTTTATCACTCCTGTCCTTAAAAGACCCTCCCTGGACCCATCTCTACTTTCAAACTACCACCCCAACACCAACTTACCTTTCCTCTCCAAAGTCCTGGAACGAGTTGTTGCTTCCCAGCTTCGCTCCTTCCTCTCTCGCCACTCCCATCACAAACCCCTGCAATCCTTTTCCGTGCCGCCCACAGCACAGAAACAGCTGTGGTCAAGGTGACAAATGACATTCTGTCCATCTGCGATCAGGGCTCCCTCTGCCTCCTCGTCCTCCTTGACTCCTCTGCTGCCTTCGACATCATCGATCACTGGAACATCAACCACCGCCTCTCCTCTCACTTCAACCTTCACGGCTCTATCCTTGACTGGTTCAGACCGTACCTCTCACACCGCCTCCACTTCATCTCTAGAAAAGGTTTCTCCTCTATCCCCCGTGCGGTGTTCCTCAGGGCTCTGTCTTTGGTTCCCTTGTCTTCAATATCTATATGCTCCCTCTTGGTGACATCATCTGCGGACATGGGGTCAACTTCCACATGTATGCAGATGATACCCAACTCTATCGGTCTGCCTCCACCCTTAACTCAAGGATCACTGCTGTCCTGACAAAGTGTCTGTCAGACGTCAAGTCCTGGATAAGAACTAATTTTCTTCAGTTGAACGTCAACAAGACCGAAGCTCTCCTGATCGGCTCCAGTCAGCGCCTCCACACCTCAGGCCCTGACAGCATCACCATCCGTGAATGCACACTACAACTTACTAAGCCAGTACGGAACCTTGGCGTCTTGTTTGACCCTCAACTATCCTTTCTAGACCACATCTGTGCCATGACCTGCTCTGCCTTCCCCCACCTCCGTAACATCGCCCGGCTCCACCACTGTCTTACACCACAGGCTGCCGAAACCTTCATTACATCAAGGCTTGACTAGGCACCTCCTTGCTGGTCAGCCTCCCAAACTCCTCCCTCCATAGGCTGCAGGTCATCCAGAACTCTGCACCCCATCTCCTCTCCCGCATCAGGATCCTTGACCCTATCACCCCCATCCTTGCCAGGCTCCACTGGATTCCCTTCACACAGAGGAGACAGTTCAAGATCCTGGTCCTCACCTTCAAAGCCCTCCATGGTCTTGCTCCTCCCCCTCCTCTTTGACCGTGCTTTTGATTTCCTTGCAGCCCCCCCAGCCCTACATCATCCCTGATCCCAATCCCCAGTTCGGGTCTGAAACTTTGTCTGTCCAGCGCCTTGGGACGACCTCCCGATGTGAAAGACGCTGTACAAATGTAATTTTGTTGTTGTTGTATTCTGACGGCTTTTATCATGTGCAAAATGGCTGCCCCGCACCAGCCTATCACAGTGACAGTGACTGCCTGCACAGCGCTTTCAAGATATTTCAATATGATAAGGTGCATTTTTCTGATGAAATAAGAAGGGCTGCTGATTGAAGTTCTTGTCAATACAAAATGCAGAAGTAAAGTAAAGTAAAAATTAAAATGCAGAAGTAAAGATGAGGTGAAAGTTACAAAACTGGTGATTGCACAAAATTCCTCCTCTCTCAGCCCTCCACAGACACACCCAAAGCCATCGCGCACACTCACTTTTTTTAATATATCAGTTTTGTAACTTCCATCCCATATTCTCTTCTGCATTTTTATTGGCAAGAACATGAAAACAAATTTTTTTTTGACAAAGAGCAAGAGACACAATCACCCCCCCCCCCCACCACTCCCAACAAAACTCCCTCAGCTCAGCATTAATCTACACGCAATGTCAAAGAACTAAAGTCAATGGCTTTTTACAGTCTACTTTTCTTGAAACAATAAACTATCGCAGTAATTAGCGACTATTTAGCTGCTGACTATATATGACACGAGCCTCTCTCTCCACCGCTCTTTTGAGTTGTCACCTTTGATGGTCTTTATATTGTATCTGGAAAATGATAACCTGACGAGTTTTAATTAGCAGATAGGAGGTGAGCACAGAGTTCACCCACCATGTTAGTACTGTGCTGATTGACAAAACGGGGCTTTTTGACTTCATTCGACTTCATTTTTGACTTCCTTAGCCAGTACTCTCAATGGCAAGTTATGCAGTTTAGACTCTCGGAGGTCCATTCTCTGGGGACCACCAAGCCTTGGCTCTCACCAACCTGCGCCTGATCTGTGCCAGCAGGAAACCCTTCATCTCATTAGGAACCAACCCGGTTATAACTGTCTGATAGCTTCAGTGTTAGACAGCGAGTTGCAGTAGCTCCTTCCGCTCCCTGTGTGTATTTGTGTGTGTGTGTATGTGTACGTGTGTTGGCTATGAGAGCTCCTCCACCCCACGCACCCCTGCCGACATTCATTCACCTCTATCAAAGACTCCCCTAGTGCCCTGGCTGACATTTCTCCAGTTCAAGAGGCCGTATGTGGGACAGTTACTATGACTCCAATAAAAAAAACAGTCACTACCCTCAGCAGTTTTTCCCCACGATCCACTTTCAGATGCTGCAAAGAATGTCAGTTCTCCATTACAGTCCGTGCTTTTATAAACCAAACAAATAAAGGTTTGTACGACATCCGTTTTGCCATTTGTTACGTAAATAGCTGAAGGTACTCGCCCACATTTTATTGTGTGTTTCAGGGTTTTTATTTCCAAGAACGTAAATCGTTTTGAGTACATGTTTAGTCACACATTTGAATGAAATATACAAAAGCTGTACACCCGCAAAGCTTCAGGTTGTCTGTATTTGTCATATACAAAACACTGGCAACACTCCAAGATCAACGACAAGCAGGATTGTTAGTTGATTGATGGATCGCTTTCTGGGGGAGAAATCCCCCAAAATGACTGTACTAACCCGGACATGGACCGCAACAGCCTGCCTTCGGTCACCCTCCAATCCCCATCCTCCCTACCCTCCACCCTCCTGATCCCAACCCCCAGCTCAGGTGCAAGTCCTTGATTGTCCAGTGTCTCGGGACGTCCTCCCAATGTGAAAGGCGTTGTGTAAGTGTAAGTGTAATTTGTTGTCTTCTGTTTGCAGCTTCGGTGTTAGACAGAGAGCTGCAGTGGTTCCCTCCACTGCCTGTGTGTGTGTGTGTGTGTGATGGGGGAAGAATTTCACCAAAACGTGTTGGGATGTTTAATAAATTGAAGCTAAGATAGTAAATAAGGCAGTTTTCTCATCGCTTTTTACAGAAATTATCCCCGACTTGGAACCAACAAATGGCTCCATGTACAGTGGAACCCTATTAAAACAACAAACCTTGGGTAAGTTTCCTTACTCCACACTCCTGATAATAATCCCTCAAGAAAACAAAATTAAAAAAAATAAAATTGGTCAATTCAATTCATGACGGTTTGTGGGATCCTATAGTGTGCAATTGGCTGCTGAGTTTCGTCCCCAAATATACTGCGAATGGGACAAACTGTATTGCTTAGAGTGGTGGATTTTTGAGTGTTTGGATTGACAAATAAAGAAGTTTACAAACACACCCTTCATTTCGAGCGATTTATATTACATCCTCTAGCAAAGCACTCGCATTGCAAGCGAGAGGACCCAGGGCTGGGTCAGATCTTAGGCAAGTTCCCTAACTCCACACGCCTGTTTACCTAACAGTAAGTAGGAACCGGATTGTTAGTCAATTGGTGGATCGCTATCCCTCCAGAAAAAAAATTTGGTCACTCAATCCACGACTGGGATACTGCTGTGTGTAACTGGCTGCCGTGTTTCGCCCACAAAATACAGTCAGTACCTTTTACAGTATACTCCTTAAGACATCACAACGCATGTCTACCTGTTCAAGAGGATGTTGAAAATCCAGGGACAGTGTTGAAAAAGAGAAGGGAGCTTCTCCTGCTGAGTCCTGGCTTCAGAGAAAATCAGTCAATTATTTCATCCTTGTTTGTGGACTTTGCTGCTGCAAATTGCCTCCAGAAACCGAGCCACTGCGCTCCACAACAATCCCACCTGTGATGTCCCAACCCACATCATAGTTCCCGACCTCCCCTTGGCTTCACTCAGTCACTGAATGTTTCGGTGGTTTGGCAGTCAACTGGACTCCGTTTCATCGGCTTGTCCTCAAGCTCTCCCTCCTGGGAAGGAGCCTCGGTGTCGGTGGCTGCCCCCGAGCGGCAGGTGTTGAGCGCCCTCCTGAAGGCGGTCTGAAACATCGAGCTGGAGAAGTAGTAAACAATGGGATCCAGCACGATGTTGAAGTAGGTGACGAAGAGAGTGTTGTAAAACACTTGGACCGAAATTGTATACCTCCTGCAGTTGAGATCCTTGGTCCTTCTGTGGACAACCACGGCTATCAGCGTCACACTGGTCGGCAAGAAACATAAGACAAAGACGATCGCCACAGCAGCAAGGAGCTTGATGGTCTTCCTGTACTTGTGTCTCAGCTCGGGGCTCATCTGCCTGAGCTTGAAGACGATGCTTAGGGTGGAAAAGAGGAGGACACAGGTGGGCAGGGTGAATTTAAAGAAGATAAAGACCACATTGTGCCAGATGACGGATGCTGTGTCCTGTGAGTTGTCCATGTCCAAGGTCTCGCAGAGGGTCTTCTTGTTGTATTTGAAGTCGTGACGTTCGGCCAGGAGGTAGGCAGTAATGGCCACGCTCTCCGCCCACATTAGGCAAGACACCTTCACAGCACACAGCACCGAGATCTTGCTGACCCTGTGGTAAGGGTGCATGACTTTGAAGTAACGGTTCATCGCCATCACCATCAGGAAGGCGATACTCGCGGCGCGATTCAGAGAAAACAGGAACAGATTAATGCGGCACATCGCGTCACCAAACACCCAATTCTTCCCACGCACAAAGTAGTCTGCCCGGAACGGCAAGCAGAACACAGCGAGCATCAGGTCTGCGATGGCCAGGTTCAGGGAGAAGACAGTGTTGGGCTTCCAGGACTTGATGTAAAAGCAGAAGATCCACAAAGCCAGCACGTTGGCCACTAAGCCCAGGCTGGAGGTGATGATGATGGCCGGTGCATTATAAATGGACGGGATGTCAGCGATTCTACAGTTGATGGTTGTGTTATTCATTGCTGCACTGTACAAGCTTCCTTACACAGCTCACTGCACCCCGTCTGACTGAACAGTTATACAGGTCAGATCTTGCAACATAGATCATGGGAGGAGCCACAATACGGCTTGGATTGTAAATGAGCAGCACAGCAATGGTCCAGAGTTCTGATACTACTATAATACTACAGCTACACAGGGTTAGAGAAAACACATCTGCGATGTGACCTGCCAGCACACAGTCCTCAGCAAACATGCAAGATCAAAGTTGGCTAAAGTTAGGACAAAGTTATAAATAACTGATTGCTTTGTAAGAGAGGTTTTCCAAGTGCACGCAAACAATTATGCAATTATCTGGTCCTGTGCCCTCCACACAATCAGAGGCGCAATTAAAACAGTAACCCACGCTTAAACCACCAGTAATAATAATAATAATCCTCATGCCCAATACGGCGCCTGTGTCTCAAAGAGCTTCACAGCCAAATACTGTGAAGTGTAGTGATTGTGTATTTGCAGACAGAGAGAGAGAAAGCGAGAGAAGGGGCGGTGGAGAGAGAAGGCGGGAGGAGAGAGGGAGGCGGGCAGCAAAGTGCCACGAACAACCACAAAGCGAATAATCCATTTCTCTGGGGGATTTTGGACCATGACACTGGCTGAAATCTACTTCTCATTTCCCAAGTGTCACAGAGACTGCCTTCCGGGCATTCATCACATCTAATAAGCGAATGAGTAAACAGAGGCGTGTGGAGTAAGGAAACTCGCCCAACATTTTGCCCTGCCCGGGGATCAAACCTGCTCACTTGCGAGGCAAGTACTTTAACCACTAAGCTTCAGGACCCCACAAACAGTGTGCAAGCAGCCCAGGGGCCAGCAGGGAAGAACAATGTCTTACAGCTGCTGGAAATACAGCTTCATCATTGTAGACAGGACCAGAAGTGGAATATTACAGTGTGGTTAGTGTTTGACAACCACTGATCTCTCTCTCAATAAACGTCCTAACCATCGCAAACAGCAGCAGCAACAACAAATTGCACCCATGAATATTGATGCTATCAGCGCCTGAGCTGAGGAGTCGCCGACAGGAACCAAGCAGGAGGGCCTCGGTCTTATCGACGATCAATAGGAAAAAGTTACATCATCCAGGACTTGATGTCCAACAGACAATCCACCAGGACAGCAATGGTCCTGGAGTTGAGTGTGGAGGCACAGAAAGGGATGGGTGTCATCCGCATAAATAGATTATTATATTATTATATGCAAATGATTTGACCCATTATAATAATCCTCACTTTTTGCTGTAGCACCTTATGAAGTAAAAACATCTAAGCCCTTCACAGAGTTGTTTTCTGTGCATTTGTAGTGTTTGCTCCTCCTGTAAGGTCATACATCTTAATTCCTTGCTCTTCCCCACTCTGCGTGTCTATAGCCTTATGTTATATGAAACAGTAAGCAAATGAGTCAATAGCCTCCATGGTGCTGTTTGACAGGTGGTTTCAATTCCCAAGTTACATAACATGTTTCCTCACACAAAGGGTAGTGGAGACACTGAGCCACCAGGCCATAAATTGAACCAACATTGTCAAAGTTGCCTTTTTTCTATAAAGTCAAATGTTGAGCAAAAATTCACACATCCCACGAACCAAACCAATTTAACTATTGGTGCCGCTGAACGCACCAGGCTTAAATCAAACTTAACGCTCCATCGGGCTGGACCGATCTGGCTGGACCTTATCAAATCCTACCTCTCCACACCTCCACTAAATTGTCGTTCTATTCCAAGACACACTTGGAGGCCAAGGACAACCCCAGCCTCCTCTTCTCCATCACCAACCAGCTCCTCCCCCTCTCTCCTTGCCCATTCTCACCTCCAATGCCAACTGTGAGGCGATGCTGGACTTCTTCGAATCCAAAATTGAGGAGATCCGCTCAGCTGCCTCTGCCCTTCCGTCTACTACGCCCTCCCCATCTCCCCTTCCCACCCCGGCCCATACCCATCCCTCCCTCCACACCTTCAAACCTGTCTCCCTCTGTAACTCCAGCCCGCAGTCCCTACGCCTCGCCCCCTCCGTTGCCTCCTTCAAGACCCATCACAAGACCCCTTTGACCGTGCTTTTGATTTCCCTGCTTGGCCCCCCTGCCCTCCATCCTCCTCGATCCCAAAACCCAGTTCGGGTCTGAAACTTTGTCTGTCCAGCGCCTTGGGACGACCTCCCGATGTGAAAGACGCTGTACAAATGTAATTTTGTTGTTGTTGTATTCTGACGGCTTTTATCATGTGCAAAATGGCTGCCCCGCACCAGCCTATCACAGTGACAGTGACTGCCTGCACAGCGCTTTCAAGATATTTCAACATGTTAAGGTGCATTTTTCTGATGAATAAGAAGGGCTGCTGATTGAAGTTCTTGTCAATACAAAATGCAGAAGGAAAGATGAGGAGAAAGTTACAAAACTGGTGATTGCACAAAGTTCTCACCTATTTCCCAAATGGTCACTGTTGAGGAGCACATGCCTGTGGTTGATTGTAACTTCCATCCCATGTTCTTTTCTGCATTTTTATTGGCAAGAACATGTAAACCAAGTTTTTTGACAGAGTAAGAGACCCATCACCACCGCCCCCCCCACCACTCCCAACCAAATTCCCTCAGCTCAGCATTAATGTACACGCAATGTCAAAGAACTATGGTCAATGGCTTTTTACAGTCTACTTTTCTTGAAACAATAAACTATCGCAGTAATTAGCGACTATTTAGCTGCTGACTATATATGACACGAGCCTTTCTCTCCACCGCTCTTTTGAGTTGTCACCTTTGATGGTCTTTATTTTGTATCTGGAAAATGATAACCTGACGAGTTTTAATTAGCAGATAGGAGGTGAGCACAGAGTTCACCCACCATGTTAGTACTGTGCTGATTGACAAAACGGGGCTTTTTGACTTCATTCGACTTCATTTTTGACTTCCTTAGCCAGTACTCTCAATGGCAAGTTATGCAGTTTAGACTCTCGGAGGTCCATTCTCTGGGGACCACCAAGCCTTGGCTCTCACCAACCTGCGCCTGATCTGTGCCAGCAGGAAACCCTTCATCTCATTAGGAACCAACCCGGTTATAACTGTCTGATAGCTTCAGTGTTAGACAGCGAGTTGCAGTAGCTCCTTCCGCTCCCTGTTTGTATTTGTGTGTGTGTGTGTATGTTTACGTGTGTTGGCTATGAGAGCTCCTCCACCCCACGCACCCCTGCCGACATTCATTCACCTCTATCAAAGACTCCCCTAGTGCCCTGGCTGACATTTCTCCAGTTCAAGAGGCCGTATGTGGGACAGTTACTATGACTCCAATAAAAAAAACAGTCACTACCCTCAGCAGTTTTTCCCCACGATCCACTTTCAGATGCTGCAAAGAATGTCAGTTCTCCATTACAGTCTGTGCTTTTATAAACCAAACAAATAAAGGTTTGTACGACATCCGTTTTGCCACTTGTTACGTAAATAGCTGCAGGTACTCGCCCACATTTTATTGTGTGTTTTAGGGTTTTTATTTCCAAGAACGTAAATCGTTTTGAGTACATGTTTAGTCACACATTTGAATGAAATATACAAAAGCTGTACACCCGCAAAGCTTCAGGTTGTCTGTATTTGTCATATACAAAACACTGGCAACACTCCAAGATCAACGACAAGCAGGATTGTTAGTTGATTGATGGATCGCTTTCTGGGGGAGAAATCCCCCAAAATGACTGTACTAACCCGGACATGGACCGCAACAGCCTGCCTTCGGTCACCCTCCAATCCCCATCCTCCCTACCCTCCACCCTCCTGATCCCAACCCCCAGCTCAGGTGCAAGTCCTTGATTGTCCAGTGTCTCGGGACGTCCTCCCAATGTGAAAGGCGTTGTGTAAGTGTAAGTGTAATTTGTTGTCTTCTGTTTGCAGCTTCGGTGTTAGACAGAGAGCTGCAGTGGTTCACTCCACTGCCTGTGTGTGTGTGTGTGTGTGATGGGGGAAGAATTTCACCAAAACGTGTTGGGATGTTTAATACATTGAAGCTAAGATAGTAAATAAGGCAGTGTTCTCATCGCTTTTTACAGAAATTATCCCCGACTTGGAACCAACAAATGGCTCTGTGTACAGTGGAACCCTATTAAAACAACAAACCTTGGGTAAGTTTCCTTACTCCACACTCCTGATAATAATCCCTCAAGAAAACAAAATTAAAAAAAATAAAATTGGTCAATTCAATTCATGACGGTTTGTGGGATCCTATAGTGTGCAATTGGCTGCTGAGTTTCGTCCCCAAATATACTGCGAATGGGACAAACTGTATTGCTTAGAGTGGTGGATTTTTGAGTGTTTGGATTGACAAATAAAGAAGTTTACAAACACACCCTTCATTTCGAGCGATTTATATTACATCCTCTAGCAAAGCACTCACATTGCAAGCGAGAGGACCCAGGGCTGGGTCAGATCTTAGGCAAGTTCCCTAACTCCACACGCCTGTTTACCTAACAGTAAGTAGGAACCGGATTGTTAGTCAATTGGTGGATCGCTATCCCTCCAGAAAAAAAAATTGGTCACTCAATCCATGACTGGGATACTGCTGTGTGTAACTGGCTGCCGTGTTTCGCCCACAAAATACAGTCAGTACCTTTTACAGTATACTCCTTAAGACATCACAACGCATGTCTACCTGTTCAAGAGGATGTTGAAAATCCAGGGACAGTGTTGGAAAAGAGAAGGGAGCTTCTCCTGCTGAGTCCTGGCTTCAGAGAAAATCAGTCACTTATTTCATCTTTGTTTGTGGGACTTTGCTGTGTGGCTGCTGCAAATTGCCTCCAGAAACCGAGCCACTGCGCTCCACAACAATCCCACCTGTGATGTCCCAACCCACATCATAGATCCCGACCTCCCCTTGGCTTCACTCAGTCACTGAATGTTTCGGTGGTTTGGCAGTCAACTGGACTCCGTTTCATCGGCTTGTCGTCAAGCTCTCCCTCCTGGGAAGGAGCCTCGGTGTCGGTGGCTGCCCCCGAGCGGCAGGTGTTGAGCGCCCTCCTGAAGGCGGTCTGAAACACCGAGCTGGAGAAGTAGTAAACGATGGGATCCAGCACGATGTTGAAGTAGGTGACGAACAGAGTGTTATAAAACACCTGGACTGAAACCTCATAGCTCCTACAATTGAGATCCTTGGTCCTCCTGTGGACAACCACGGCTATCAGCGCCACGCTGGTCGGCAAGAAACACAAGACAAAGACTATCGCCACAGCGGCAAGGAGCTTGATGGTCTTCCTGTACTTGTGTCTGAGTTCAGGGCTCATCTGCCTGATCTTGAAGACGATGCCGAAGGTGGAAAAAAGGAGGATACAGATGGGCAGGGTGAATTTGAAGAAGATAAAGACCACATTGTGCCAGATAAAGGATGCTGTGCCCAGTGGGTTGTCCATGTTGAAGTTCTCGCAGAGGGTCTTGCTGTCGTGTTTGAAGTCGTGAGATTCAGCCAGGAGGTAGGCAGTAATGGCCACGCTCTCCGCCCACAGTAGGCAAGACACCTTCACAGCACACAGCCCCGAGATCCTGCTGACCCTGTGGTAAGGGTGCATGACTTTGAAGTAGCGGTTCATCGCCATCACCATCAGGAAGGCAATACTTGCAGCGCGATTCAGGGAGACTAAGAACACGTTAATGCGGCACATCACATCACCAAACACCCAGTTCTTCCCACGCACAAAGTAGTCTGCCCGGAACGGCAAGCAGAACACAGCGAGCATCAGGTCTGCGATGGCCAGGTTCAGGGAGTAGACAGTGTTGGGCTTCCAGGACTTGAGGTAAAAGCAGAAGATCCACAAAGCCAGCACGTTGGCCACTAAGCCCAGGCTGGAGGTGATGATGATGGCCGGTGCATTATAAATGGACGGGATGTCAGCGATTCTACAGTTGATGGTTGTGTTATTCATTGCTGCACTGTACAAGCTTCCTTACACAGCTCACTGCACCCGTCTGACTGAACAGTTATACAGGTCAGATCTTGCAACATAGATCATGGGAGGAGCCACAATACGGCTTGGATTGTAAATGAGCAGCACAGCAATGGTCCAGAGTTCTGATACTACTATAATACTACAGCTACACAGGGTTAGAGAAAACACATCTGCGATGTGACCTGCCAGCACACAGTCCTCAGCAAACATGCAAGATCAAAGTTGGCTAAAGTTAGGACAAAGTTACAAGTAACTGATTGCTTTGTAAGAGACGTTTTCCAAGCGCAAGCAAACAATTATGCAATTAGCTTCCAACAAACAGACTGCCAATATTAAGTTGAAAAAATGCATAGGAGAGCATGCAGGTGCCCGATAAGTGAGCAGGACAGTGTTTTGATATTTGAAGCTTGCGAATAACACAAATGGTCTTGTGCCCTCCACACAAGCAGAGGCACAATTAAAACTCTCTAACCCACGTTTAAAGCACCAGTAATAATAATAATCCTCAAAGCCAAATGCTATCAAGTGTAGTACCTGTGTATTTCCGGGGGTGGGGGGGGGCGGGGGAGAGAGAGAGAGAGAATGGGTGGCAGCGAGGTGGCACAAACAAGCACAAAGAGAATGATCCATTTCTCTGGGGGATTGTTGACCAGGACACTGGATGAAACCCCTTCTCGTTTCCCAAGTATCACAGGATCTTTAACTTAATTAATTACACTATGCCGTTTGGCCACAAGTTGAATGCTGAAAGGCAGCTATTTGATGCTAATCACTATACCTCTTGACCTATTTTGCCTTCAGAATAGGAAATCATATAAAGACCGAGCAAAAAGATGTCTATCTCTCTCAATCTTGCAACTGTGCTTATTTTCAGGAGGGGTTTGTACTTCATACCCCACATACACATCATTACCTATTCTGCCTTCCCCCACCTCCGCAAAATCGTCCAGCTCCTTCACTGTCTCTCTCCTCAGGCCACCGAGACCCTCATTCACTCATTCATCATATCTCGGCTCCAATTAGCTCCTTGCTTGTTCAACTTCCCAACTCTTCGTTCCACAGGATGCAGGTTATTAAAAAAATATCAGTTTTGTAAGTTACATCCCATGTTTCCTTCTGGATTTTTATTGGCAAGAACTTTTTTAAAAAATTGTTTTTGAAAAAGGGCGAGAGACCCCTCCACCCCCAACATAACTCCTGCAGCACAGCATTAATCCACCCAATGTCAAAGAACTAAAATCAATGGCTGTTTACAGCCAATTTTTCTTGAAACAATAAGCTACTGATGTAATTAGTGACTATTTAGCTGCTGACTTTATATGACGCTAGCCTCTCTCTTCGCCTCTGTTTTGAGGTGTCACCTTTGATGGTCTTTAATATTGTATCTGGAAAATTATAAGCTGATGAGTTTTAATTAGTGGAACGGAGGCGAGCATAGAGTTCAGCCACCACGTTAGCACTAAGCTGATTGACAAACCGGGGCTTTTCACTTAATTTGACTTAACTTTTTGACTTTGCTAGGCAGTGCTGTGAATGGCAAGCCATGGGATGTCCTCCCGATGTGAAAGGCGCTATACAAATGTAGTCTTGTTGTTGTTGTAGTATGTGGTTTTAGCTGGTTGGATACCAGCAGTTACCCTAATGCATACTCTGTCCCTAAGGCTTGGTTCTTGCCAACCTGCGCCTAATACTTTCCATTCTAACAATCTATCTCTGGGATTTACACATGTAGGTGAGATGCATGGAATTCTCAGTTTGGTTTAAATATTCTTAAGCACAGTGATGGGTTTCCGCATGTGTCAGACACCCAGCTGCCCCCCAAAAAAGATTTAATTTGCCAACAGGAAACCTCACCTTATTAGGAACCGATATTGTGTGGATCAGCACTTTAACCTGGTTATAAATAGCAGATAGCCTCAGTGTTAGACAGTGAGCTACAGAGGTCCCTGTGAGTGGGTGAGAGTTTGGCTAAAGTTGACAAGATTCTGTAAAAATGCCAGTTCTTTGTTACGGTCTTCGCTTTTATAAAACAAATAAATAAATGTTTGCCCTCCATCGATTTTCCCATTTCTTTATGTAAATAGCTGCACGTACTCGCCCACATTTTACTGTGTGTTTTAGGGTTTTTATTTCCAAGAACGTAATTTGTCTCGAGTATACGTTTAGTAACACATTTGAATTAAATATACAAAAGCTGTACACATGGAAAGCCTAAGGCTGTCTGTGTGTTTGTCATATACAACACAATGGTACCACTCCAAGAACATTATAAACCGGATGTGGGTTCATCAAATAACACCGGTTGATTCGCCCACTTGTTAAATGCAGAGGACCCGCTGATACAAATCACAGGGTTGGCATGTACCTCTCAGACCACAACATAAGCAAATATCACCCACATCAAAATTCATCCTACTCTTCGTCTGCCCAGATATCATCATCATCATCCACTCTTCCACCCACAACTTAAATGTACTTTTAGTTCAATTACAAAATAGTGAGACTTTAAATGTAGGAACTGGTAAAATACTTAAACTCTATAAAAAGTTTGTTACCTGGGCATCAGGATCTGTCATTAATCTTAATTAACATTGGCGCAAAACGCCCACGATTGAACAGACAAACCCAACGAATGAACACTGCAGAAAGTGATGTCAACTTTCTCAGTTGGTGGGCAGAGAAACATTCTTTCTGTGAAGTTCTGAGGCTCCTACATCTTCTCACGGAGACACTGCTGCAAGGACAAAAGTGCAAGGCATTAAAAGTTACGCCACAAGTTTAGAGCAGCGTTAAGGGAGAAGCTGCCCCCCTTTAAAAAGAGATTTTTCCTGCCCCATTTTTATCTTCTTCGCATCTGAAGACTTTTTGTCACTCCGACCATACCAGGTCTCCTCGCCTTTCTTCCCGGCTCACCGTAAAACCGCGCTGTCATGAAGCGCTCCCGAGACGCTGCCCCGTATGAAGGTGGCTGCATAATCGCAAATTGTTTTTTTTTTGCCAGTTCTGCCCTTCTCCTCCCAGTTGGTTTATTTGGATGAAGGAGAGGAGGTTGACGGGGAGAGGCAGTTGCTGAAGTTAGGTATTTCAGCCCTTAGATGTACAATAGACAGAACCACAAGTGACTTTGTGATTTCTGAATGATTACCATCTTGACTTTGCATTCTTTGATGTGAATTTTGTGAAAATCCGGGTGGCTTTCACTGGTTCCCTGAAGCTCAGATTACCTGTAAAATATCCTCTGGGGAGAAGTTCGATTGCACGCTCTTTCCTTCCCGCTTCAGACACTCGATGGCGAAAGGCATAATATCGTTCAGGCTGCAGAAGTCATAGGACGCTTAGTGTGTGTTTGAGGGGGAATCATTTTATTAATTCAAACACAGTTTCTGTTCCTGGTAACTTTTTCTGATTAATAATTACCATCTTCGTAAAGAATTACTTCTTTTCATCCGACCCAAACATGCCCCTCACCTTCCCCACCACACCTAAACCCAACCAAATGAGGCTGTATTGCAAGTGGGATGTAGTTGTTAGCACACTCGCCTCAGAGCCTAAAGGATGTTGAAAGTTTGAGTTCACAATCCAGGCTAATACGTCAGCGAGGCACTGGGGGAAGCCCTTTGGGTCTGAATGAGACATCAAATTGTGTCGGTTCTTCAGGTGAACATAAGAGAAAAGGGAGTTTCTCCTGGTGACCTGGTCAACAATCCTCCAGATTAGGGAGGGATCGGTGGGGGCGGGGGGCGAAAAACCTTAGGCAAGTTTCCTTACTCCACAAGCCTCTATTTACCCAGTAGTAAGCAGGATTGTTAGTCGATTGATGGATTGCTTTCTGAGGGTAATAAGTCCTCCAAAACAAAAAATTGGATTAATCAGAATAATTAGACAGGAAGTCCCTGAATGCTGTTTTGTGACTCAGTGAGCGTCACTCACCTGTTGCTGCTCATGAGGAAAGCCACCAGCTCTGGGCCTCGCTTTCTCTCCATCATGTGCTGCTTCAGCAGAGCAAAGTATTCAGTCCCAAGCAGTTTGGCAAACTGCTTCTCGTCTACCACCCGATCCAGCACTAACTTTGTAATCTTTCAGAGTTAGAAACACACACAGGAGCGGGTCAATGCCAGCTCACCAATACTCCTGCACCTTCCCATTTTTCTACCCAGCCCACACATCGCTAGGACTATAACCATCATGACGTGGACAGCAACAGTATCTAGTATTTATAGAGCGCCCTTCACACAGGGCGCTTGATAGCAGTGAAGCCTGACACTGCGTCAGGGAGTGAGGGGAAAGGTGACTGCAAACCCAGTCGATGAGGAAGGTCTTCAGATGCGACCTGAAGATGGAGAAGGAAGTGGCAAGGCAGAGGGATTGAGGGAGAGTTCCAGAGTTTCGGGGCGTGGACAACAAACTACATTTATACATCACCTTTCACATTGGGATGACGTAAGAGATTTGAACCTGAGCTGGAGGTTGGAATCAGGAGGAGTGGAGGGCAAGGAGAGTGGTGGTAGGAGGGTGACCGAAGGCGCAGTCAAAGAGGAGGGTCTTGAGACGAACCTTGAAGGAGGAAAAGGAGGAGGCGAGGTGGAACTGTGGGACTGAAGCGACTGTAGCAACAAATCGCTAAGACAAGTGCCTTGTCTCAGTCAGTCACTGTCTCGCCTTCAAGGGAAGAGAGAAGGGAGTTTCTCCCATTGCCCAGGGCAGTAAACAACAATTGCTGTCTCTAGTGCTTTGAGACGCTGCCGCTGCTAGATCAAGTGCGTGGGATGGTTATAATGATAACTCTCTGTGTCAGAGTCGGCTTTTTACCTTCGAGCCGAATCCTGCGACCTCGCCAGTGCTCATGTGGTCCACAACCTGCTGCAAAATCTTCACCGGATCAACGGACACAAGAAACCTCTGTGGAGAGCAAGCACAATGCCTCACTGTGTAGCCCTGCACACATCACACTGACATTTCCTTACAAGAACCCGAGTGGGTTTCTGGTTTTAAAATCAGAGAGAAGCAAAAAGCCATCCTCTTCAGTGGTTGTAACAACAACAACAACAACAACAAGATTCCATTTATAAAGCGCCTTTCACGTCAGGAGGACGTCCCAAGGCGCTGCACAGTTGGGTCATGACCCGAGCAGGGGGGAAATGGTCAGGGTGAGGGGGGGGGGGGCGAGGGGGGGGGGGTAAGGGGGGGGAAGGGAGGGAGCGAGGAGGGGGAAGAGAGTCGAGAGGGGAGCTGAAGGCTCGGTCAAAGAGAACGAAAGGAACACTGAACATAATTACCCGCCAGTCCGCCAATCAGCTAACAAGCAGGTTCCTTGTGAGTGGCGTGTGTGTGTGCGTGTGGAGTAAGGAGGAAACTTGCCTAAGGATTTGCCCTGCCCGGGAATCAAACCTGGGCCCTCTCGCTTGCAGAGAGAGTGTCTAATCAATACGCTACAGGACTACACTCATTTTATGGATCAAAAACACACATATATATAATATATATATTTTAATCAAAGGTAGTGGTTTAATGGGTGCGGGTAGCTAGCTGGGACTGCGGTCAGCGATGTTGCAGACTTTACACACCTGTATTTGTTGCTCTTTTTTCTCTGAATAAGGGACGAGCAGCAAGCAGCCCAGAGAGAACGAAGACAGCTCCAGCTGTGCAAACTGCTTCGCGATGCCAAACAGGTCGACATCGAGGAGAACCGGGCACCTTCCAGAGCAGAGGGAGGGGGAGAGAGAAAGACGGGTGGTAGGGGAAATTCACAAGGAATAAACTCATATATTGAATCAGGCATGTGGAAAAAACAACCCACGTACAAGAGGAAATCGATAAGCAGCTCTATCAACCAAGTTATCTTTGATACTTAAAATAGTCTCCATTAAAGTGTGGATGGAAATGGTAAAAAACAACCTGGAGGAGTACATTAGATCTAATCTCTTTAGATTCTGCAGACACTGCAAAACGATATCCTGGAAGAAGTTCAAGGGCGTGGAAAGAAACTCCACATAAAAAATTCAGATTCCCTGATATGTACAAGGCTACTCTAGACATGGAAATTTCCATGTGTGGGTGGCAAAAATTCAGTCTGGTTTGGATATTCTTTGGATATTCTTAAGCACGCGTCAGACACCTGGCTGATCATAGTGATGGGTTTTTGCATGGGTCAGACATCGGGTGATCCCCCAAAAATCCATAGGCTAACACAGCGGTTGGCGGAGGGAAGAGATAGCGATGGATTTGGAAGCACCTACTTGATTAAGAGGACAAAAGACTGGTAACAGGCCTCCAGCTGCCTGGGACTTGGCGGGCTCGAGGCTAGTCAAAGAATGAAACAAGACAACATCAATACAAACACTGCGTTCTGCTGACATTTTGTAAAATGGTAATGAAGTGAAGTGAGGATTAACATACCTGTGAGGAAGGGTGCAAGGATCACACTGCGCCATGCTCGGGTAAAGTTTGGGATCTGCAGGGATGATAATAATAATTATAATAAAACTTACCCTTGATATAGTGCCTTATCACGACTTCAAGAAGTCTCAAAGAGCTTCAAAGAATGTACTGTCAAGTGAGTTTACTGCATATTTTGTGGGTGAAACGCGGCAGCCAATTGCGCACAGCAGCGTCCCACAAACAGTAGTGCATTGAGTGACCAAATTATTATTTATTTATTGAAGGGATTATTACCCCCGGAAAAGCGCTCCGCCAACCGACTAACAACTGGGTTCTTCCTTACTGCTAGATAAACCGAGGCATGTGGAGTAAGGAAACTTGCCTAACGTTTCGCCCTGCCCAGGAATCGAACCTGGGAATCGAACCTGGGTCCTCTCACTTGCGAGGTGAGTGCTCTAAAATTACAATTTTGTGATTGTGAAACATTTGATTGACAGGGCTGCCCGCAAACCCAAATCTGTAAAACTGCTTGGCTTCTCTAGCTGCACTCTCACCTCTGGATCATGTTGGGACTTGAGCTCACAGTCCAGTGCAGTGCTGGGGGCACCACTGCATTGTCAGAGGAGTTAGGAAAAGGAGTTAGGAATGCGTTTGTGTCAGAAGGGGAAATTACACAGACATATTAGTCTTTAACCAAACTAAGACATGTCAGTGGTAGGCGTTACGTTTGCTGAGACATTTCTAGAACTGATTGGCACCATGAAATATGACAGCTCTTTCGATATTCACACAAGATCAATGGCCATTTGCCAGCTGGGGACATCTCTTAAATATAACAGACATAAAAAGTGATCAGCAGCACACGAAGGCAAGAGTGTTTACAAAGCAAAGCATTGCCATACCTGCCACAGAGCGTGCACTGCAGTGATTGCCATCAGAACCTTCCTCAGGTAGTTATTCTGCAAGACACAGAACAACAAACACATGCAGCACCAAACAGCCCTAGTTTATAATGAGCCCTAGAGACTTGAAAAGATGATGATGTAACATTCCCCTTTATTACATTGAGAGGCTAAATTGTCCCCAGGATCGGGAGGTGAAAACTAGCCAGGCTCCTACTCCTTGTCCCCTTCACCACCTTCTACTGGTAGGGTGCGTTTGGCAGCCAGGTGAGGAGAGGTCAGGCTCGGCTGTGACCCCCTCTATAGTGGAGTGGGTCTGATGACACACAAACAAAAATAAAACCCGCCCTGCACACAGCGTTCAGGATGTAGATTGTGTGAAGCCGCTGTATTCACCATGTTAAAGCCAAGAAGCTTCTGCAGGATTCCATTCCAGAGCAGCTGGTCAAACACCCCATACTCCAAGCTCAGCTCAGTCACCAGACGGACAGCCTGTGAGGAAAAACATAAAACAATCATTCTCTTTGCTCAGTTTCGCCCCTTTTGAATAGGTTTGCTAATTGGACAGTGTGTGCAAGTGTACAGGGTGTCTCCAAAGTCCTGTTACCCGCATTTTTTCTCTCTCTCTCTTCAATGCACTGACCAACAACTGAAACGTGGAAGAATGATGATAATTGTATTGAGAAGTACAAGTGTTTAACTGACAGAGGATCGCTGTGCGTGTGTGAGCGCCATCATTTTCATGGCAGATAATGATCCGTCGCCATGTTCAGTATAATGTCTTCCGTAATATGGATGGATGGGGTGACAAAGCAAAATGCATCTCCGACAGCTTGTTTCAGCTCCTCCATAGTCTCATAGCTGTGTTTTGTGACAACAACTTGCATTTATATAGCTCTCCTCATGCAGGGCAGTGCCTTGGAGCACTTAACACGGGATGGTAAGAGGACTTTGTGGACACCCTGTAGAATGAACTATTCTTGCTGACCCTGGGTTCATGGTTGTGGTTCTTCCACAAGCCTTTAATCATCCCCTCTTTGGCGCTGTTGTGGAAGGACTCCGTGGTATAAGGAATGTTCAGCATCTCAAACTCCGCCAGGTAAATGCAGCACTTCAGATACGACCTGGAGGAGAGAGGTCTGTCGTTAACACTCACTTGAGTAAAGCCCCGCGCTCAAGACACAGACACTTCAGTGAAACATATAGGAATAATTATCTTCAAGATTATCTGTATTCACACTCAATCTGAAAAAAAAATCAATGAGGATTAACCGGCCAAAGATCAATTAATCCTACAGAACTCTCTGTCCCTCTCAACCCTCGGGGGATATCTTATAATAATAATAACCCTGCCTTTGATATAGCATCTTATTACTTCGTTGAGGCATCTCAAAGCACTTCACAGAATATATTGAGCAAACCGTGCACTCCAACACGTAGGCAGTTCAGTGAATTATCTGTATTACAATAGAATGTAAAGTAAGGTAACTGTATTTTGTGGGAGAAATGCGGCAGCCAATTGTGCACAGCAGTGTCCCACAAACAGTTGTGGATTGAGTGATCACATTTTTTTTGGGAGGGATTATTACTCCTGGAAAGTGATCCACCAATCGACTAACATTCGGGTTCCTACTTAATAGTAGGTAAACAGAGGCGTGTGGAGTAAGGAAACTTGCCTAAGGAATCAGTTCTGGGAATCGAAGGCAAGAGTACCAACCACTAGAATTTAAGATACAATCTGCCTCCACCATCTCTCTCTGTGTCATTCTTTCCACCCACTCACTGCTCTCCAATGTAAACCAATGAATGACTTCTTCTTGTGCATCCCCTACCCCCTCCTTGCTACAGAATTATGTTAAATACAAACACTAGACACCACACGTACTTGACTTTCTCAATGGACTGCTGGCTGATAGCAGTTATCATCTTGCTATCTGCGATGTGAAGCAAGCACTGCAAAGCTCGGCTCCTGTGTGCAAATGTCAGCTGTTTGTTGACAAAAGGCTAGAAAAGCCAAAAAACATAAGCGTGTGGTCAGGTTGGATCAGATCACTAATCACTTTGTAAAAGTCAGCACTCAAACACAAAGCACTTCCGGCTTGAACAAAAATTCAATTGAAACAAGTACTGGCAGATAACTGAGGTAGATAGATATTTGTTAGGTCAGAACATTAAGGGATATGGAGCCAAGGCGGGTATTTGGAGTTGAGGTACAGATCAGCCATGATCTTGGAGAATGGCAGAGTAGGCTTGAGGAGCTGAATGGCCTGCTCCTGTTCCTATGTAGCACGCGCATGTAGATATTGGCACTTCAATGCTCTGCAAGTGGTTAAACAACATTGCATTTATATAGCGCCCTTCACGTGGGATAGCATCCCGGAGTGCTTGGTTAGGGACAGGTTGGCGCTAGCACATGGCATGGAAATCCATTCTTAGACGCTGATTACTTACAGAGGTTGAAGCAGTTGCAAAAGTTGAGAGGAGCTTGGCGCTATAGTCAACGGGGTACGGCTGAAGGAGGTAAATAACTCTGCAAGAAGAAAAGGGCATTCGATTGATAAAATGCACATTTCAAGAAATATTCCTGTTTAAAAATAATCCTCTAAACTCGAAGTGAACCCAAGCTCAGAGAAGCGTCTTTTAACAGAACCACCCTGTATATTACACCATGAACAAAAAAAAACACTTCACCTCAACAGAGCTGCATCTTCCTGCATATCGCTGAGAAACTCCAGCGGCATCTCACCCTAAACGTAGCGGGGAAAAATACACTATTAACCTTGAGAGAGCTTTATTAAGCCTCCCTAAGTAGTCAAGGAGAATTTTCCCCGTCAATTAAGGATTAGCAAAGAGTGTTACATTGTGCCACTGTGTGTGTGGTTTCTTGGGGATCAGGCGAGTGTCAGACTCACGTGGAAACCCTTCACCATGCTTAACAGCATCTAAACCAAGTTGAGAATTCCATGCATCCCACCTATAGATGGAAATCCCAGAGGTTATTATTGGAATATTCGGCTCTGACGTGGGATTTTCCTTAACAAGGAATCCCGAGCCTTACAATGCGGAATCCCTGTGGAGGTGGGAAGTATATTACATCGAAGTGATTGGCTTCCACGCCTCCTGAGCGGAGTCCCCGTGGGTGGGTGAACTGACGGAATTCTAACCTTTGTTAAAGCCCCCATGCCAGGCGCTGCCCGTGTGCCCTGCCTGTTCAAAACTTACCGCATCTGGCTGGCTGGGAGGGCATAGCCACTCCTCCAGTAAGGCGCTCCGGATTTTATTGATATCCCGGCTGTTTATTTCAGCGAGCTGGTTAGCGGCGGTGTGGATATCTAAAACAAGAACTTCACTTGGTAACCACATCAAGTGCAATATAGTGCCAGGGCAAACTCCCTTCTCAACAACAAAACAAATTGCATTAAAAAGCGCCCGTTCACATCGGGAGGATGTCCCAAGGCCCTGGACAGTCAAGGGTTCACACCCAAGCTGTGGTCTGGAGTCAAGAGAGGTGGCAAAATGACCGAAGACGCAGTCAAAGAGGAAGGTCTTGAGACGGGCCTTGAAGGAGGCAATGGATGGGGCGAGGCAGAGGGACTCCAGGATGGAGTCCCAGAGGGTGGATGCAGAAAGGCTAGAGGCCTGACCTCCGATGGTGGAGCAGACGGATGAGGGAGAAGGGGGGGCGTGGGATGTGGAACAGGTCAGTATCCGCCGAGCGGAGATGGCGGACATTTTGTTAGGGTTTTAGGAGGTCACAGAGGTAGCGTAGAGCAAGACACTGGTAAGTTGTAAACTCACCTCCAAAAGTGTCATGGGGCAGTTAGTGTTGGTTTTACGGAGCTGGTGTATGTGTGTGCACGTACCTGGATAGCTCCTAGCAGTAGGCTGTTTAAACCTCTCCTCGATACTGCTGTGCTCATACAGTGAGCGGATGAGCTTGGCCGGCAGCTTGATTAGTTTCAGGTGCTCGGGGCTATTCAGGGTGTGAATCCTCAGTACATTCTCAGTGGCTGACCTCTCGTACTCCACTCGCAACTTGCTCAGCGAATTCTCAGCTTTCTGGTGAGCTTCGTCCTGCAAACAGACGAGAAGTGAGGGTTTCTAAACCTGCTAAAAGCCCGCAGGCAAAAAAGTTAGCGAAGAGGCTGTTACCGAGGTACGTACACGCAACCCCTCCCAGTTACTCAGTTACTAAGGTGAGACAAAACAGAAAGAGCTGTTCACTTTGTCCCGCATATGAGATAGTTGTCCAATTTCCTTTTTACGAGCGATGGTGGCCTCTGCTAGAATGACTGTACCTTTGGCGAAGTGCTGTTCAGCCAGTTCTCAGACAGCTGCAGGCAGAACTTCAGGGCCTGGATCTTATCCGGTCCTGCAATGGACAAACAGTTACCAGCAAATTCAACATTAAAAGCCCAACATGAAATCCAAGAACTATTATTACAACAAACAAATTAAAATGTAACTACTTCACACAGGTAATATGTGGAATGGACTACCCAGAGAGGCTGGAGGGGGAGACAGATTGTGTCACTAAATTCATAAGCGAATTAGAAAGCTATTTGGCGAAGGAACAGATCAAGGATTTGGAGAGATAGTGTAGGACTAGTCTTATTCTATTGGTCCAGCCAGATTGGCTCACAAAAACAACAAATTACATTTATACAGCACCTTTCACAACAGGAGGATGTCACAAGGTGCTAGACAGTTACGGATTTGCACCCGAGCTAGAGGTTGGAATCAGGATGGGTGGAGGGTAGGGAGGGTGACCGAAGGCGCAATAGATTTACCTATTGGAAGTTCTTGTGCGATCCAATGGGAAATAGCGATTGCCCACTCTGGGTTTGTGATTGACAAAATATAGGACTGGATGGTCTGGACAGTTTCAGCAGTTTCCTTGGTTATCAGTGACACACTTCCCTCCTTGGCCTGCTTTAGGGCTCTAGGCTTCAGCGTCTTGGCAAAGACGTGCTTGACGGCAGACATGTAAAGCTTGTCCAGGGAGACCTGGAAGAGAACCACCCATAGTGAGAGGCAGAGACCACCCACCCACTCACTCACTCAGAAACACGCATACCAACCAAGCTCTTTGGGCTCAACAGTACAGTTCAATCCTGCCTGAAGCATGGTGCCTAATCCAACTTTCCTGAGCTCTATGATACCCCTCATTTTTCAAGCTTCTATCTCATTCCCTTTTAAAACGAATGATAGAATCCGACTCAGTAACAGATTGCGGCAGCTTCCCACACCCACAGTCGCTACCGTGGGTCTGAAACTCACCTTCATCAGTTTGGATATCAGGAGCAGAGTGGGAAACGTCTCCTCACTGAGTTCTGCAGCTGTAAAGACAAACGACGACAACACTTATGTAAAATTAATAATAATCCTCACACTTGATATAGCGCTTTTCACATCTTCTAGACATTTCAAAGCGCTTAACAGAATATTCTGTAGTGAATTTGTGGGCGAAACGTGGCAGCCAATTGCCCACATTAGTGTCCCACAAACAGTCATGGATTGAAGTGCCCAATTTATTATTGTTTTTTCTCTTGAGGGATTATTATCAGGTGTGTGGTGTGGAGTAAGGAAATTTGCCCAAGGTTTCACCCTGCCAAGAATCAAACCCAGGTCTCTTGCTTGCTCTAACCACTGAGCTACAGGACTCAGTGAAGCTACAGAACTTCACACTCAATCACACTGACTCAGTGAGCAGTCGAGCAGCCTATCACCTATTATATTATATATCAATTATATATATTAATTATATATTAAATCAATTATATATTAAACCAAGGTCCCGTCTGCCCGCTCAGGTGGACGTGAAAGATACCCAACTATTCAAAATGCGAAGCTGGGAATCTGACGCTCAGCAAATAAACTTACAGATGATCGTCCAGAACCTCTGGGAGTTTTCAAAGAAAAGCAGGTGAAAGGGCAGCCGGGTTTTGGTCGCAGGTGAGAGGGTGATTGAATGCTCCATCAGGTACTCATGTTCCAGGTCTGACAGAGGAGAAACACGATTGTAGGAGTACAGGTGTTGCAACAGACTTAAAGCCTAATATATATAAAAAGAAAGGGCAGATTTGTTACAAAGATCCATAGCTGATAGATAACCATTCACTTGGGGAATTTCCTCTCCAAATTTTTAATACGAAATTGAACCTTTCCTACCTGATCCAGATTGATGCTGACAATCTTCTCATCTGCCAAATTTATAATCTTTAAGACGCCTTCAATGACTTCATAGTCGTAAGGGTCCATCTTAAACAATGTTTAGAAAAATAAATCAAGGTTAAATGTATGTTTCCAAGATGAGACTCAACAACAACAATAATAATAATCCTTGCGTTTAATATATTTGTGGGACCTTGCGCACAACAATGAGGAACTAAATTATTATTATTATTTTTTATTAAGGAATTATTACAACAACAACAAAATTACATTGTATAGCACCTTTCACGTCATGAGGACGTCCCAAGGCCCTGGACAGACAGAGTTACGGACCCGAGCTGGGGGTCGAGGAGGGTGAAGGGCACGGGGTGGAAGCAGGGAAATCGAACGCACGGTCAAAGAGGAGGGCCTTGAGGTGGGTCTTGAAGGTGGCAAAATGGAGGGACTGTGTTACCCCCGAAAAGTGATCCGCCAATCGACTAACAACTGGATTCCTACTTACTACTAGGTAAACAGAAACTTGTCCAAAGTTTCGCCCCGCCCGGGAATTGAACCCGGGACTTCTCACTCGCAAGGCGAGCGCGCTAACCACCTCGCTACGGGACTCCACAGTAATTGCTGTGAAGTGCTGTGAAGCATTTCCACATATAAGGTGCTATAAAAATGCATGCTCCGTCTTTAACAAGCAGGGCCCTGATTCTCAGGCAAAGCGGGAGTGGTACCTTGTACAGAGAGCTGTTCAGACTGACTACCAAGTCTGAGGTGATCTTTAACAAAGGAACAATCTCGACAGCTCTGGCCAACAGCTCTGTATGGGCCGGCTTCACGCCCCCCGGCTCCCCTTCGCCACTGTGGGCGCTGCCCCCACGCAGCAGCAGAGTTTCGACGTACAGCTGCAGAGCTATGTCGCTATTCAGCTCAAAGGTCCTGAAAACACACATGCCACAATAATAATAATCCTTGTATTTGATATAGCGCCTAATCATGACATTGAGACATTTCAAAATGCTTCACAGCATATATTGTGGTGGATCAACTGTGTATTTTGTGGGCAAAATACTGCAGCCAATTACACACAGCAGTGTCCTACTAAGAGTCGTGGATTGAGTGATCATATTATCATTAGTGTTATTTTTTTGAAGGAGAACTGGAGAGCGATCCGTCAATCGATTAACAACCTACTGACGGTTAGGTAAACAGAGGCTAACTAACATTAGTTACAGCTGAGAATTTCTTCCCATCGCCAGGTTTGCCCTTGGAACTCTATCCCTTAACCTGGTTCTGTAAAATGCCCTGAGACGTTTCTTTTATGTGAAAGGCGCTGGCTGCGTGATTGCAGGTCACCATTGTGGTCTGGTTTGAAATGTGCCGTGAATGCAAATTTATATTGATGTCATGTCAGGATGTCCCAAAGCACTTTAATTGTACTGGCTGGGCCCCCGAGGGAAGGGTGAAGTGGGGGTGGGGGGGGAAAAGAAGCTTTGCTCACCGGCAGTACTGCAGGATCAGCTCTGAGTCTGTGTTTGGGTTCTCCACCAGAACAGGGATCAGTTCCTTCTTCTTGGTTGCACACTCCTTGAACGCTGACTGGAAGGAGATCTGGAAAACGCCAGAAAACAAATGAGATGGTAAGGTGAAGCAACATTGGCGAAGCCAAAAGTAGCTCCAAAAGAAGAAAAGGTTGAGAAGAAAAAAGGTTAAAAAAGTGACTGTTTTGGGACAGGAATTAACATTTATTGTGTGTCTGTGAGGGGGTGGGGGGGGGGGGGGGCAGAGGGTTGCGGAAGAGAGAAGAGTGTGTGGGTCAATGTAATCAGCTAGGAGGAGTGCATGACTTTGAATCATAGAATTCTATAGCATAGAAGGACATTCGATCCATCGTTCCTGATCTTTGAAAGAGCTAACCAACTAATCCCATTCCACCACTCTTTCCCCGTAGCCTTGCAAATCGTTCCTTTTCAAGTATATATCCCTTTTGAAAATTATGATTTGAAAGACTTACCCCGAGTTTGCTGAGCCTGAGACCCCACTCCGAGTCAGCAATCAGAGAGGTGAAACTTTCCTTCTGCTGCGACTCCTGATACCAATCTGCCAGCTGAGCACCGACCTGGGCCACTGCCTGAAACAGCCAGTCCCCAGGTCAGTGATCACAAACTATGCTTCCTCTGAAGATCAGTCAACACACGAACTGTGTCACAACACACACAAACACAAAGCACACGCGCCTGTGTCCACGTATACACACAGTGATCAACGCAACAGAGTGATGGCACATTCCCACCCAGAGCCAGACGTACCAAGACTTTGCTGTAATTTTGCCACGTGTCATTGATGACGTTCCACAGCTTCTCAAACACCTGCCGTTTGGGCAGCAGCGTGCAGTATGCCAGCGCCAAATCAGTGTCCACCACACGGCAGTTAAACACCTGAGCAGACAGCAGGTTAGCTGGTTAGGGGCACTGTAATAAAATAATAATAATCCTTGCATTTGATAAAGCGCTTTTCACAATCAGACAGACACGAGCGGAGAAAAGCTCCTAGAGAGAATGGGGCAGCTATATGGGATTAGGCTTTCTTGGAGGAGTAAACACCAATTACAAAGAGGAAGGGATGGAGAGGAAGAGAGACTGAGGGAGAGAGATCCAGATCCGTTACACTTATATAGTAGCCTTCACATTCGTAGCCTCAGAATTGCTTCATGTTAAGTAGAGTAAGGTTACCTTGTGTAACAATGCCACAGACGCAGCTGAAATGAGGGACAAGGCTGCCTTCCCCATGTCCACAACAAGATCCTTGGCCACGGTTACGGTTTCCTTCTGGAAAAGCTACACAAAGTGTGAAAGGCAGGGAGTCAGTGAGTGCTCTCATGCACAGAGGCCTGCCTCCCGTTAAAGTCCCACCATAAGCACTCTGTTCACTTTTAACATCACCCTTTTAACCAGGTGGCGATTAAACTCTTGATGGCATCTCAGGCACCAGGCAGTCTGCTGCCAATCTCCTAAATAAAAGCCTGGACCTCGATCAAGTGACACAGGAACATGAGGAGGGCATTCAGCTCACCCAGCCTGCTGCATCAGATCCTTAAGTTGCAGCACTTTAAGTCACAGTACTCTACAGCACCAGAGCAGAACAAAGAGGTCACAGATTCAGGGTTGCAAAGGGCGATTTGTGGACAGATGTCAGGAAGCATTTTTTTTACAGAGGGAAAATAACAACAACTTGCAGTTATACAGCGCCCCTCGCGCAGGATAGCGTCAGAGTGCTTGATGGAGCACGACGTCGAGCCATGAATAACAATAAATAACAACTGGAAAGGGACACTGACCCTCTCTGGATCAGTTACAGCACGCTTCACTTTCCTCTTAATAAGTCGGGTTGCACACATAGTCCGCATCAGAAGAACTGCAGTTAGTAGAAGGTTGGTTCTCACCTTCTTGCTTAACTCTAAACTCATGTTGTTGGAGGTGAAGTGCTGAAAGCAGGTCCCGAAGGAGTTGATGGTCACCTGTAAGGCTAGCTGAAGCTGACTGCACTCCTGTAAACTCTGCAGCAAGTTTGTGACCGGCATGTTCACTGGCAGCAAAGGATTCCTGTCTGCAACACAGACCCCAAAGGTTACCACCATCCGCCCTGCTAGGTAATCAGAGGCATGTGGAGAAGGAAACTTGCCTAAGATTTCGCATCGCCTGGGAATTAAACTCAGGTCCTCTCACTTGTGAGGCAAGTGCTCTAACTGCTACGCTACAGGATTCCATGTTCGAAAATGGAAAATTGGGGAGCGGAGCGCAGAGGAGAGTTTGTTTATGTCAGGTAGTTTGTGTGGAGAAAAACACCAACACAGCCGTTTCTGTGCAGTGACATTGTGAAACCTTGTCTCAATCAGTTGCTCATTAGCATAAATACCTGTCTTATCTGGACTCATCGCCACACTCATGCAATCCAACGGGTACAATTTTTTGCCTGGGTGGAATAGAGATAGCGTTAAAACAAGATTGTATTGCTGAGTTTCTATATTAAGAATTCTTCTGAAAAACCCATCTACCTTATATAACCACTACACTTGTTCCAAAGTGAATTGTAGACCCTTTGAAACTCCATCCCACCGTCCCTTTGCCTCTTCCCCTCCCTTGCCTCCTTCAAAACCCGTCTCAAGACCCTCCTCTTCGACTGTGTCTTCACTACCTCACACCACTACACTCCCTGAGTGAGAGGCGATGTGTAAATATAATTTGCTGTTGTGTAACCAGATCCTCCCACTCAGTGAAAGAGCAGTAAGGTAGAGAAACAGATAGTCACACTAATTGGACCTTTAGCAGATATGAAAACAGTGGGGATATTAGTCTCTGTGTGGGTGTGAATGTCTCTCTCTGTGCCTCTGTACCCATTTACCCACCTGGATCAGAGGCTTGACCTTCTACCTTAGGCTGCTTCAGATCCAGTAAAATCACCACATCGCACGCAACTAAAGGTTTTCACTAATATTGCAGGGACTTCACTTCCACCCATGGGGCTAAGGGCACAGGCAGCATGCGGAGAAGCAGGACTCTATTGGGCTACCCCCAGCTGGAGCTAATAACAAACAAACCAACATGAGGATGTGAAACCGCAGCTCAGACGGAAATACCTGGCAAATGGGGCACAAAGGCAGCTGTGATTTTGTACATGACGGGCAGCACCGACAGCTGGTTCAGCACTATGCCATCCTCGAGGAAGAACTCCTCAAATATCCACTCATCGTATGGGTCACGATCAATTCCCATGTTCGACATCTGAGCACCGACAGAGGTTATGGAGGGTTGGGGGGCAGAGGAGTGGGGGAGATTGGGAGGGTGAGAGGAAAAGAGAAAGAATTGGCATTAACAAGAAAGGAAGGACTGCTTACTCCTCAATGGTCCCGCTTTGCAGCAAGCTCCCCCAAACAGCTGCAAAAATCAGAGAATCCCAATTTATCTGGAGCATTGTTGGCCAGGACCAAGAGAAACCCGATTTAATACTTATCCAAAGCATTGACAATGCAACAACAACCCACCATCCCAAACCGCTGCTAAACCTCAAGCAAGCATGAAACTTCGTAGTTACTTCCAAAGCACACCCAAACTTTACCTTTGTTATAAATCCATAATCCTCGATCATGCACTGTCTGTACACATCCATGGCCACACGGGTGCATTTACACAACTCTTGGCAGTCGAACAAGAAGTCTGTGAACATTGATATGGACGTGGAGGTTACATTCCAGCACTGATGTCTGCAATATCACTCACAACCTTATACCCTCAACGCGCGTTGGGTTCGGAGGTTTCAACAAAACTCCCAGTCTCGGCCCTGGCACAAGGGACAGATACCAAAACACTATCCAGCTATCCCACCTAACCTCAACAATTCCCAAGATGATCGCCCACAAAATACACAGTCAATCCAAGGCACGGTTCAAGCGAGGCTTTAAGGATTCTTGAACGGTGAGAATTATTATTACCGGTGCTGCAGATGGTGATGGCTTGGCAGGTCAGTTCATAAATAATAGCCGGCAAATTCATCCCAGGCGGGATTATCATGGGAATGTTGGCCTCCAACATCTGGCACAGCTTCTGAGCTACGTGATGCAACACCTGGGCAGTCTGATCGTTCTTATATTGTTCATAAAGTTCACTGCGAAAAGAAAAACATATAATAATTTGGTCACTCAATCCACGAATGTTTGCGGGACACTGTTGTGCGCAATTGGCTGCCACATTTCACCCACAAAACACATGGTCAATCGACTTTTCAATATATTCCATGGAGCGCTTTGAGGCATCTCAACAAGGTGATAAGGTGCTACATCAAATGCAAGGATTATTATGATATTATTAATAAAAATTTCTTACCTGCAAATATTCAGCGCCTTCTCCACTTTTCCGTCAGCAAGAGCTCTCAGGGCGAGCTGCCCTCCCGCTTGCTGCTCGGAGTTCTGCAGCAGGAGGGAGAGTCTGTAGAGCCTGCCCTCAGTAGGAACCGTGGCTTTGTTCTCTGAGCAGCCGTTCACAAGTGGCTCCTTCCCCGACTTTGACCTGGACCACGTGCTGGCTAACGCTTGCACCTGCTCTTCGTACAACTGCAAGAGCGCTTCTGGACTCTCGTAGTCTCGCAAAGAAATAAAGATATCAAAATATTCCTGTGGGACGATGGACGATTGTAAGTAAATAGCGTAGCCACTACGGGAGGACTCAAAGGATCAAACACCCAAGGCTAAATTATTGAACTTGAGGAAGTCTCCCCAGTGGGGAAAGAAGATTTCAAAACCATCGGAAATAAACAATGCTTTCAGATACACCGAGGCAGCAAGGCAAGAAGGTGCAGGTTCACTCAGGGTTGTGAAAGACAGAACAGAAACAAAGGCTAAATCAGAACACCTTAGCAAGACTGGTGGTCGAAGTCAGGACACTGGAACAACTTGAGGCTACAGTGTAAATCTAGTCATAAGAAGAGCAACAACAAATTACATTTGTATAGCGCCTTTTTTGCACAGAAGCGTTCAGACTGAACCCTGTGTCTAGGGAAATGTTCTTTTTACTTAACACACTCTCACTTGGACACATGCGCATATACACACAGACACACACACAAACAAACACACCAAGCACACACAGTTTAAAAACATCAATCGTTATACCTGTAAATTTCCAATGGTTTCAAACATTTTTAAATGGCTTTGGTACTCTTCCTTTTTCGAAGTATCATCTGCCAAAAGAAAAGCAGCCTTGTTGACAATAATAATAATCCTTGCAGTTGATGTAGCGCCTTATCATGTCTTCAAACCGTCTCACAATTACTTATGTAATTGGAGTTAAGGTACAGATCAGCCAGGAGCTAATAGAATGATGGAACAGGCTCGAGGGACTGAATGGCTTCCTCCTGTTCCTGTGACACAGGCTGCACCGAGCCCATTAATACAGCGTGCTGTGGAGTGCACACACAACTCACCCTTTTGATGGGTCTGCAGGAATTTAAGAACCTCCACCAAAGCCTTTGCGATTGACACCAGATGCTTTTTCCCCTGAAACAAAGAATAGCAACTCACAATCTGGCGTATATTTGTCTCCACACAAAATATGTGTCAGTTTCGCTCAGTCAGTTATGCTCCCCTCTATCTGGGTCAGAAGGTTTGAGCCAAACCCGTCTCAGAATTTTGCTGCGTCAGTTGTTGCAGCCCCATCTCACTGCATTTAGGCAATAAGTATTGTGAGCAAATTATTATGACAAGACAGTACAGTGAAGAGGCCGGCCTCACCTCAGGGCTATCGGGCTGGTCCTGAAACTTCAATCGGGCCCACGTGACCAGCCTCATTGCGGTGTCCTCCGCTTCGCTGAAGGCAAGAGACTTCAGGACGTTAAGGCAATCATCTCTCTGTTAAAAGGACGGAAAGAAGAAAGCCAGCATGTGTAATCCGGTTTCTCCCGAACACCCAGTAGAACAGAACAATTTCTTATGAAATATTTCGTCAGCCTTTCCCCGGCCCAAAGATGCTGAGTGAACAACAGAACATCTCGCTATTTAAAGAAATTAAGAGTAACTAGCGAAGAAAGAAACCATTGTTATTCAATAGCCAATCCCCTTTTACATTGTGGGATCTGTCCTCACGAGCTCTGAACAGAGATCGGATGAACCTACCCGTCCATTGGAGATGAGGTGCGAGATTCGAAGAAAGTAAACGTCCACGGGGGGCAGCATATAGGCACGGACCACCTTCAGAGCGTCGTCCAGCGAGGACCCCAGGTCCTGTTTCAAGATGAAGTTGACTAGCCTCTGCCCGAGAGAAGAGATTGGCAGCGTTTAACAACAAAACAACATGACACGACAGGCTGGGAGGCCAAACTCTCCTCTGCGGGAGTATAGGAATGCCAGGCAAGGACAGAATGGGGCTTGGCTGTACAATATATAATACCAATCACATCACACTAATAAGACAAAATAATTGTCCAAGTCGCCACTGTAAGAATCGCAATGTTTTTGCAGTCACTCACATAAAAAGAGCACAACATTCACTCCAACCTCACCATGATCTCGTAGTCATTGGACACGTTGAAGTTGCGTATCCCGTATCCTTGTAACAATTTTTTCATCTCCATGAGTCTGTAGCTTTCCTGCAGCTGCTTCACCCTGACATCAATGCAGGGAGTTAGTTACTGCGCTTACCCTCATCTACGTCAACCCTTCAGGGTTCAAAACAGATACTTCTAACCAAATAGCCTCGGTGGGCTAATAAATATCCCTGCGGTGGTCCGTGCCGTTTAGAGGGACTTAAAGCCGCCGGGCCTTGAGCAGATTGGGATCTGCCCAACAGGTCGTCTCCCAACACCAGCTCCACCCCCATAAAATTCAGCGGTGTCAACAACAGACAACATTTGTGTAGCGCCTTTCAAGTTGTGAGGATGTCCCAAAGCGCTGAAGGCACAAGCAGCCTCTCCCAAAGCTTCCACTGACCATCTCGAGGCAGCCAGTGTGCAAGGTTCCCACCAAGGCACCTACTTGCGGTGGTTCTTTTCCAGGTGCTGCTTGACCAGCTCCTCCACCGCATCGCTCCAGGGCACCACTGCGCCATACATGATCTGCAGCACTGCATCGAAGATCAGCTGTGGGGGTGGAGGGGAGGAACGTCAGTGAATGAATGAACGAACGACCAGCGAGCACATCGAAATGATACACAGCAGTGTTGAGGTCAAGTCCATAAGAGCGTTTAAAAGGGAATTAGGCATGCACGTAATAATAATAATACTTGCCTTTGATATAGCAACCTTATCATGTCTCAAAGCGCTTCACAGGATTCACTGTGAAATAGAGTGACTGAGTGTTTTGTGGGAGAAACACGACACAATTGCGCACAGCAATGTCCCAGACAGCCATGCGAGTGAGCGACCAATTTTATTTGGGGGGATTGTTGGCCAGGATACTTGGAGAGGAACTCCCTTCTCTTTTCGAATAGTGCCATTGGATCTTTTAACATCCATCTGAACAGAAAGACAGGACCTCGGTTTAACATATTATCAGAAAGGCAGCACCTCCGATAATGCAACACACCCTCAGGGTTGCATTGGAGAGTCAACTTAGTGAGTTCAAGTCCCGATGTGGGGATTTCAACCCACAACCTTCTGACTCAGAGGAAAGAGTTCTACCACTGCGCTAAGCTGACACACAGGTAAAATACTGAAGGATTTTGGAGCAAAGAGCAGAGGAATGGGATTAGAGAGTTCCAGTGGGGAAGGGAAGACCAGCACAGACACAATGGTCTGAATGGTCTGGAACGTTCCTACGATGACAATCCTGTACACAGGGTTTACTTACTTCAGTGTCGGTCATACAGCCCAGCACAGCCATGGCTTTAGCCTCCCACGCAGTTTCAAAAAGAGAGGCCGAACGTGAGCTACAACGCTCCAGCAAATCCTATAAAGCAAAGCATTGGTGGGTCACACAATCTCGCTGTACCAGCTGCTCTCAGAGTATGGGCAGAGACTTGGTGCAGCAGAAGCGAGTCCCAATCACTGCCCGTACTACAGGTGTCCACAAAGTCCTGTTACTCCATGTTTTTTTCTCTCTACAGGGCATTTTCATGGCAGATAACGATCAGTCTCCATTTTTCGTAACATGGATGAAAGTGACAAGGCGAAATGCATCTCAGACAGCTTGTTCAGCTCCTGCGTAGTATCATATCGCTGTAGTGTAACGTGGTTGGAGGTGGGTAACAGGTCTTTGTGGACACCTGTAGAGTGAACAAGATGAGACCTCACTGCTACGGGAGAAAAAGCCAGGTTAGAATTTCATGCACAGCACAAGTCCCCACAGAATAAAATCCCATATTTATATGAACTCCAGCGATCCCAATCATTTTGATAGGTTCCTGAGCCGAGCAGAATACAACCGTTGGAATAAAAGCCATGTTAACACAGTAGGCTATAGCCTATAAAAGGCAGGAAGCAATACCAGCCACAGTATTCAGCCTCACTCACCTTGATGTACTGCAGCAGTAGCTCCTCTCTCTGCAGACTGTGCTTGTTTATGTACGGCTGGATCACCTTCTCAAGTGTAGAAGGAATAAGTTCTGGAGCCAAAACTCTATCTAACATGCGAAATACAATGGTAGCTGTAGTTTCCTAGAGAACGAACAAATTACCGTGAGCAATATCTTCAGACCGGGGTCAAACACAAGTCTTTCAAAATGAAAACGAATTGAACTTTCAAACGTATTTCGATTCCTTTCCATTTTTAAGGTTAAGAGAACGTATCTTCCCTGCGTCTATCCTCGACGCAAGATAGCACTGACCTTTTCAAACTCGGAGAGTGCCAGTCTGCAGTTATATTTTCTGTGCAGGTTAACCAGCTCCTGCAGGTTGTTAACCAGCTTCTTTAACTGGTGCATCTCCTCGCAATCCGTTTCTTCCTTCTATACCCGGGACAAGTGGGGACAGAAGAGCTCATTAGTCATCAACCGAGTATGTATACAAGGTGAACGAATGACTTTCAAATTCCAAACTGCGGTTACTTTAGATTGCACGCACAAAATAGGTCCACGCAACTGCGGGATTTCCGCACATGTAAACACTTGCACGCACGCACACACACACACACACAACCAGACACACACAATCTCACACATTCAATGACACACACCACAAAAGGTTGCAATTTGAGCAACGAATAACTCCCGTACCACTGGGATCCAAAGCCAGGAGGTGGCAAGTCCGAGATCATTTGGGTTCCGAGCTACAAAGTACAACTCTGCCATTTGCAATCCGTTCTCTGGCCAGTGCGCCTGTCAAATGCAAATCAAATAGGTGGTCACTTGACTATCTACTCGCTTTAATATTTACAAACAGAAACTCAGGGGTAAATTTGGATTCTGAGGGAAACGCGAGCCGGGTTCATTATAATGATCTACAATCAATGTGACTTATTACCTTCTCGATTAGCTCCAGGCTGCGGGCCCTGTGTTCCAGCCACCTTGCTATAACTTTCTGTCAGGTATTAAGCAAACACAAAAGTAAGGGGATCTGCGCCAAATACAGAAACTTGTCCGGGCTCAAAACCAGTCCCCTTTTTTTCCAAGAAGTTTTGAAATTTCCACCAACAGCAGGAAAAACAGAGTTAGCAATTATTTGCTGTTACATGCTTACAGCCAAGTAGGAAACTAAATGGGAAATGCAACCTACAACCACAACCGGCATTTATATAGCACCCCTCGCACAAGGTAGCGTCCCAGAGCGTTTGACAGTGGCAGAGCACAACTCCGAGCCGGAGGGAGGTGACCGTAGGCAGGTTAAACCTCTAGAAACAGGCTGCAGAATTGGCTTACTCGCGTTTTAAAAACAATTAAAAAAGCAACGCTAATCATCAAAGAGGTTACCATTTAATTCAACCTGGATTGCGTCTTTTTTTTATTTACAGATGCTAAATACTATACTCTCATGGTAGCGTAACTGGCTACCTTTCCTCTGGGTACAATCCTTAGCACAAAAGGAATGATGACGTTTTTGAACCAGAGGCAGAGGTCATGCGATGGGGTGTTTGCGGTGATGCAGTTCAGCAAATTTTCCAACCGCTTCACATCAAATTTGCTTTCAAATTCCACCTGAAATTGAGAGAAAACAGATCTGGAATTAAACACTGGCTGGTCTTTATGCCACAGCTACAGCAATTGAAAGACAACTCAAGGGAAAATACCACCATGGTTTATAACCGGAATTGTACAAAGGAACCCTTATAGCAACTTATATCAAAACAACAACAACGAGATTATACTTGTATAGCGCCTTTCACATCGGGAGAACGTCCCAAGGCATCGGACAGAGTACAGCATTTCAGACCCGAGCTGGGGTTGGGGGAGGGGGAAGGGGGTGGTCGATGGCATGGTCGAAGAGGAGGGTCTTGAGGCGGGAAATGAAGGCGGCTAAGGAAGGGGCGAGGCGGATGGAATTCCAGAGGTTGGGGGCAGAGTGGCTGAAGGCTCTCCCGCCAATGGTAGGACGGGTGGGTCGGGGGACGTGGATCAGGCCAGAGCCGGGTGAGCGGAAGGAACGGGCGAGTTGGTAGGGAGTTAGGAGGTCGCAGAGGTAGGGTGGGGCGAGACCATGGAGGGCTTTGTACGTGAGGACCAGGATCTTGAACTGGGCATCTCAAAATGCTTCTTCACTGGTAATTGCCATGGTAAGTGCAGTGACTGTTTGTCACAAACACAAGGTGAGAGATCAACGAGACTGCAGGTTTGCGGGGTGGGAGAAACATCACAAAGGAAAATGCAAGCGCTTCCCCTGCATTCCAAAATACAAATAGTGTAAATGCAGAGCTTTAGGCCCATTGTTGAGCAAGGTGGTTGAGAGAAATGTTACCTGGTGCCTTAGCCAAAGGTACTGAGCACACGTCAAGTTCCCCCCCTGGAGCTGCATTAGGAAGTCATTAAAAAGGTCCTCATTGTTCAGAAACTCAATCCAAGTGTTGCCACTGCAAAAGAGAGAAGCAAACCAGAATTCTAATTGCTAATACAACAACAAATTACATTTATTCAGTGCCTTTCACATCGGGAGGATGTCCTAAGGCGCTGAAATAGTTTTTAAAATGAAAAATGAAAGATTATGGGAGGGGAGGAGGAAGAGAAGGGGTAGGGATGAAATGTTCTTCCAGAGAGCTAGCACGGGTACAATGAGCCTCCTTGTATACATAATCGTTGAAATGTTATTTAAACTTTGAAGCGAACACAATCCCAGTGGAAATTATGGAAATACCAACTGCTCTTTCAGTTCTCAAACATATTTGGGGACATTTATTTCCTAGTCTCAGTAAATAAACAGGTACAAGTAAAGTTACAACAACAACAAAATTACATTTGTAAAGCGCCTTTCACATCGAGAGAACGTCCCAAGGCACTGAATACCAACCTAAACTGTGCAGGTCCGAACATCCCATGAAAAGTAACTAGTCTTGCTTGTGTTCTCAGCACCTGGAACGTTTGTTCGGTGAAATGGAAAGAAAGAAGCAATTGTGAGCAATCTGTAATCAATATGTTTATAGATGAAGAGGAAGCATTTAACTCGGGGTGCTCAACGCAGGATAAATCTTTAACAGGGAATTTGATATCTTTCTAAAAAGAGATATTTGCAAGGTGGCGGGGAAAGACAGGTAAATGAGACCGAATGGATCGCTCTTTAAAGAGCTAGCAACAGACATGATGGGGCACTCGATCAGTAAAACAAATCCATCAATTAAAAAGTCTTAACTTTATCAATACCTCGGCCAGCCATGCAGCTTGCTCTTCAGAGATGCCAGTTGGATTTTTATCTGCTTTCTTCAGAATCTGGCAAAAGTAATACATCAGTCAAAGACCTGCATCCTTTCTATAATAGTAATAATAATCCTTGCATTTGTTACAGAGCTTTATCAACTCGTTGAGACGTCTCAAAGCACTTCACAGAATATATTGTAAAGTGGATTGACTGTGTACCTTGTGACGAAAAGTAGCAGCCAGTTGCGCATACCAATGTCCCACAAACAGTCATGGATTGAGTTTTGTTTCATTTTTTTAAAGAGGGATTATTACCCCTGGAAAATGATTTGCCAAACGACTAACAACCAGGTTCCTACTTGTTGCTTGGTAAACAAAGGTGTGGGGATTAAGGTTTTGCCTGCCCGGGAATCAAACCCCTGCTTGCAAAGTGAGCGCACTAACCACTACACTATGAAGAAAGTCCAAACACCCAGCAAGATACGAGGGAAACAAGACTCACCCGATTTTTGGCATAATTCAGCATTTCCAAGGTGGTCTCAAATGTTGGCCAAGCGACATCCATACAATATTTCACCACAAACTGATCATCCTGGAAAAGAAAGGCACAGGGTGCTGGAAGCCTAGATGATTACGGCACAGAAAATGGCCCTGTGATCATGCTAGTGCCAGCTCCCCTGCTGGAACCACCTGCTGTAATCTTCAATATTTCCCCTCAAACTGTGAGCCGCACAGTTGCTTGGTCATTATACCTGTATTTTATGCAGATTTTCTTTGGCGTCATTGACTATGCCCTGCCAGGATGAGGGGCTGCGGCTGGTCATGGCAGTCGAGGCCAGGTTCTCCAGGACTATATTGAGCTCGACTTTGTACACCAGCTACAAGAGAGGATCAAGGAGACAATACAGGAGGCAAATTCAGCTGGGTTTCTGCTGAAGAATAACTTGAAGGTTTGGAAAATTTTGAAAGCAAGTTCAGTTGCTTATAGCTATGTTGCCCCTCTTGCTCTATCCCTCTGCCTTTCCCCCTCATTCCCCATCTTCAGGTCGCGCCTGAAGACCTTCCTGTTCGACCGTACTGCCGAATTGCTCCCCCCTCCCCCTCGGCACCATGCTTCACCACCATCAAGCACTCCAGTTCACTAACCTGTGTGAAGGCCACTGTATAAATGCAAGTAGTTGTTGTTAGTCACTGGAGTTTGCATATTGCATATGCTCGGGTAGATCTTTAGAAGCGCGGAGATGCTGACCAAGCAAAAGAACTACAAAGTTTTTACTGTGAAATTTTATCTTTTAAAAAAACTAAGCGACAATATTTCATGAACATTTTTAAACTGAGAGCTCGACGTACCTCCACGTCCAACCCAAACTGGATGGCAAACCTCTCGGCTTCCTCAAACTTGTGCTTGTGAAGCAGGCGACTTAATCTGCAAACAGAGATGACAGTCACACACAAACACACAGGGATTGGTACAGGGAGAGGAGAGAAGGTTACACACGGGAAGAGGAGAGAGAGGTTACACACAGGGAGACAAGAGAGGGAGAGGGTTACACACAGGGAGTGGCACACTGAGAGCAGAGAGTTATACATAGATTGGCAAAGTCAGAGAGAGAATAAGGAAGTTAGAGAGTAAAATTCAGATCATTTTTACCTGTTTTCTGGCAACGCTTCTGTTAAGCATCTCATCACCACAGCAGAGACAGCTGCCTCGGGTGATCTACAAGGTAGAATTAAGATTTGGTTTAAAAAAGATTTCATTTTGCCATTCTCTGGAACTCCCACCCAGACTACTGCACAACTACCTCCCTCCCTGCCTCAAACCCCTCGTTAATAAATCTTCCCTTTCCCTCGCCGGACATCCACTGTGACATTTATCAAACGCTTTGAGAGGTGAAAGGCGTTATCGTATGCAAGTTGCAAGTTATTATGATGAATACAATAACATGGAACTCACCACAGGATTTTAATTTTTTAAAAGATTGCATAAAAAGCTTTTTTTTTTGTTACCTCTTCTGACTTTCATAAACTCCTTCCAGAACATATATTGTGTCCTGTAGAAGAATAAATATTAATAAGTCAACCCAAAACTCCATCAGGTAATGTTAGTCAACACACGAGAACCAGGTTCATTCATATCGTCACAAAGCAGCGCATCAACTAAACTCCTTAACACAATTTAGTTTATATTTTTAATCATACCACATACGCACACACACAGACACACACACAATTTCCCTTCCATACAACACACTCAATGATCAACATCGACAAAGGGACACTATAAAGGTACATCTTATGTTATTATTATGCTACCTGAGTGATGCCGGTCTGAACCAGAGCTGAAACTCCTGCCACCTCCAAGGAGTAAAGCAGATTCATGGTTGGAAGTGAATACACCAGGAGGTTCCTCATCTGCAAGGGACAAAAGGCAACCACATTTCCATCATCCAGAACAGTGCAAATAAACAACCCTTATGCTCTTATATAACGTTTCTAACATCCAAATGTTTCAAAGTGTTTGACAAGGGAATTGCCAGCAAATGCAGTGAGTATGTACAGTACTTAGTAAAATTTACATACAGCAAAGTGCCACAAACAACCATGTGATGATGAAGTCGGCTTAACATCTTATCAGAATGATGGCGCCTCTATCAACGAAGCACTTCCCCCAATACTGTGCTGGAGCGTTGTGACCTCAGAGCCCCAACGTGGAATCTACCACAATCTTCAGCTGGGGAAGGAGCTTGCCTAAAGTCCTTCTCATTAAAAAAAACAAACCCAAAGCACAGAAATTCATTACCCATTTATCATTCTGAGCCGTCAGAGCAACAAGCTTTAGGTTGGCATTCTCTTGTCTGGAGAAAGAAAATCAGAAGAAATCATTATGCTTGCCAGGTGTGAGCAACAACAACAAATCACATTTACACAACGCCTTTCACATCGGGAGGATGTTCCAAGTTTTTGCACTAAGGTAAATTATTTACGTTAATAATTGAATAAGAATAGTAATGTAAATGTGTCTTAACTACATAAACTTTGAGATTGTTCCTTCTATCTGTAATTACAGAGACAGCCCTTTGCCTTTCTGCACAGAGGGAGAACAGCAGCTGGTTACTAAGGGTGACTGAGCTGGGACATGGACTCATTCAAGAATCTCAGTACCAGCTTGATGATAATAAATAATAATAACCCTTGCATTTGACATAGTGCTTTATCACATAATTGAGACGTCTCAGGACATTTCATAGAATATACTGTAATTGCCAATTGCGCATAACAGTGTCCCACAGCCTCGTGGATTGAGTGATCACATTATTCTGTGTTGGAGAGTGAGGTTTTGGAGGGGGTGAGATTGAATGTGCTGAAGAGCTTTCTTCATCTGAACCTCTCCTGTGAAATCTTGTTCAAACACATCTTAACTGAGAGATTCGTTCTCGATCTTACTTGGTCAGAGCGGAGGAGTCACCCTCAGAGGTCAGTAAGAAGTCTTGGATGTGAACAGAAGGCCAGGACCAGACCATGACAAGGGCGCAGACATCCCACATGCTGAGAAGATTCTGCAGCCAATAAAAGCATAAATTAGTTCCCAAAAAAGGAGCACGCTTTAAGAAAGGAGTGAATGATGCGTACTGAACACTCGCAACAAAGCCTTACTTACACTGTGGTCCAGGACAAACAGCAGGTTGTCCAGAATTTGACATTTCTTCACATCTATTGAGGAGAAACAGATTGGCTTTGTTACAAAATAAAAATATGAAGATCGATGCACACAGCGACCCCATCCTGCCACGGTGTTTCAGGTAATTATCCTCACACTTCGTAATAGCGCCTTGTCACGTCGGAAGGATTTCTCAAAGCGCTTCACAGGACTTGGTGTGAAACGGAGTAACTATATTTGTAGGCACACACGGCTGCACAATTGCACATAACAACGTACCATGAACAGCCATGAAACGAGTGACCAGTTTTATTTTATTTGGGGGGGACTGTTGGCCAGGCCATCGGGAGGGAGGAACTCCCTTCAGAGTTCAGATCCAGAGAATTTAGAATCCGGGCTATAAGGGCTCCACAGGAGACCTAAGTTTAACCCACGCTCTAGTGAGGAGCTTCATAACAGGGTCGCCTGCGCCTACACAAACAATTCCCTCAACACATACCTTGCATCATGGATGAATCGACCTTGCTGCTGATGGTTATTCCTTTCTCCACAGGATCCACCTTCCATTTTGACAGGACACAGTCACCTGCCCCCTGAGCACAAGAACAGATGGAGTTTACACTGTGACTGTCTTCTATTTTACATTCCCCTCCTCGTTCCAAATTTAGCCCCAAATTCAAACAAATCAGCTTCTAGTCTAGATAAGCAGCCGCCTTTTCCTTCAGCGACAACATTGGACCGTACCAGTGGGAGCCCTGAATGGCCTGTTTCTATGCTGTACAGTTCTATGTGATTCACATCATTTCTGATCAGCATTATTTTGTAAAGCTCTTTGGGACATCAATTTTATGTGAAAGGCGCTGGGTAAATGCATCCTGTGGTGCTCAATGTCCACATCCACCGAGTTATACTTAGGCCTGCAGACTGACTGACCGACCAACCAGAGAAATACTAACACAGAAGACCAACGAGCTTCTCACCCCGAGTATTAACTGAACACCACTCTTCAAACTCTCAATGGCTGCATGATAGCAGCCAGCCGTGTGCTGGTCCTCCGTGGCGATGTACTTGATCTTTATGTGTTCCTTGAGCTAAAGGGCACAGAGGGAAAAGGAAAGAAAACATTTGATTTTAACAGAACCCGTCAGTCATAAACGATACAGTTCTTTTAAAGGGTGAAAGTCAAGCCGTCTAAAACCTTACTGCTTTTGCCGCTTCCAAGTCCGTCGTCTCGATCGCTGCAACAAAGAAAGGGAAAAAAATTGCTTTAATGAGACAGAAGGAAGTACGTGCAGCTTTTATTTACATTGTCAAAATGTCGCAGAGCCCTGCACAATATAAAATGAAACAATAATGAAGTGAATGGAGCAGTTGATCTGCCCCCAGCAAACTCCTGCAATACGCAGCAACCAATTCATTCATCTTTAGGGGTGATAATGGATGATAGTAACTCGAGGCAGAATCTGTAATAGCTCTCAAATCACTCTCAAGAGGGAGGGAACAAGACAGTTATCTAAAGAGGAGCAATTAGCAGGGATCAAATAATAATAAATAATAGTTATTGATTTTGATATAGCCCCTTTCGCATCAGGAGGATGTCTCAAAGTGCTTCACAGATTTTATTGTAACGTGTAGTGACTGTGGGAGAGGGGAGCAGTGTGGGGGGGGCAAAGGCAGACATTTAAGACTCAAAGAGCTAGCAGACATGGTTGGCCGAATGGCTTCTTCTGCGTTGTTAGGTTCTATGGGGGTAGGTACGAATCATCTTCCTTCGAAACCCTTAAAAGATGAGGCTGTGATCAGTTACCTTGTTGAAGATTGGCGAGGTGAAGACCAGAGACCCAGAAGAAGCCATGAGTGGTAAGGAGCAGCGTGTGGTAACTGCCTGGAAAAGCACAAAGCAAAGTGTTTAGAAGCACTGTACCTGAGTGGACTGTGAATCACAATCGTCTCATCAGATATTTAAAGGCCTGCACCACTCGTTTAAACAGCCTCTCTTTCCCACTCTGAATTGTGTTGCTGATGGGACACAAGCTGTCGGTCTTAAAGGGGTTACTAATAATAATCCTTGCATTTGATGCAGCGCCTTATCACGACATTGAGATGTCTCAAAGCGCTTCACAGCATATACTGTAAAGTGAATTGACTGTATATATTTTGTGGGAGAAACACACTTAATGGCACAGAGAGTGATTTGCCGCTTCCACCAACACATTTTATTGTTTTTTTTAGGAATTCACGGTTCTGTTTTTTGGCTCCAGACTTTCTACCTAAGTGACAGATGTCCTGCTCCAAAGAAAGAGACCAATATGTCTTCTGATCCTCTTCTGTAGAGCCTTTTATCAGCGCCTGCAAGACAGAAAGACCTCCAATTTTTAGCACATTACGACGCCAAAGCGACCTTTCCGTTCTCTCTGTTCAGCAAACTCTGGCCTGCTCCATCTCCCCCGCTCTGCCCGCCTCTTCAACCTTTCTGCCCCTGCTCTTTAGAACTCCATCCCACAACCCCTCCACTTCACCCCCTCCCGCCCGTCTCAATACCTTCATCTTCGACCGTGCCTTCGATCATCCACCTACCCCCACCCTCCCCACCTCCTAATCCTAACCCCCTGCTTAGGTCCAAATTCCTGACTATCTAGCGCCCTTGGAATGTTCCATACATGTGTATAGCATCTTTCACATCGGGTGGGATGCCCCAAGGC